TTTCAGTGAGATAGTTCAGACAGTTTGCAAGGATAAATATGGACTTCCTAAAAGGTTACATGCACACTAAAAGGTCACAGTACACCATGCTCTTGTGATTTCTCAGCCCATTGGGAGCATATACCATTTCAAAATGGCATGCCCCTTCACAGGAGCAGGGGAAAAATGGGGTACAGAGATCAAATCATTGGGTCATATTCCAGGGAATATTAGGATTAAGGTCTTCCCCGAAACGCTATGCGTGCTAGTGGCTGTACAAGAATGTTTAAATCCCTTAACATGCTATATATTAATTCCCTCCACACATTCTCTTGTGTCAACTACATTTACAAAACCCTGTTCTTAAATGCAAACCATGCTCTGAAACTCTCACTGGACAGATGTAATAGGACCCATTATCACCACACCAGAAATAAATATATCTTTGATATCCCCAGGGTCAAACTTAATCTGTGTAAACACTATGCAAATAAAGGGACCTAGTCTATGGAACTCACTCCCTAGTGAATTGAAAAGCTGTCAAACTTTTGCCTCATTCAAAAACAAAACCAAAAAGTACCTAATTTCATCTTCGTAGTTTCCTACACTAAGCTTTAAATTTGCTCTGTATCTAGTGTTACCCAATCTCCCAATCTTTATGTACTTAATCCTAACAACTTTATCATTGTGTTCATTGCTGTCTTCTTTTATGTGCTAGCCATATGCTGTATTGTGCCTACTAATTTTTGTTAAACTACCATTCAAGCTGTCATTGCAATCAACCTGAGCTACCTATGTGTGTTAATATACCTACAATTTTCTCTCATCTTTTATTTTTTCTTGCTATGTAACTGTTATCATTTTTTTAAATTTTGCTAGTATTTACCTACTTAAAATTTTCTTAGATTAAGGACCTGCCCAAAACGCTGCGCGTACTAGTGGCTTTACAAGCATGTAATTACTATGCTATGTATCCTCACAATCCCAATATACCTTCTTGTATACATATAAATAAATAAATAAAATAAATAATAAATAAAAGGTAACTTAAAAATTAAAAATAATACTGAACAAATCCTTGTTTATATATTGAGTTTGCACTTATCAAAAAATATCTTAGCATTTTGCTAAGAACTGAACCAAAATTTAAAAACAAAATTTTTTAAAACCTTGTATGGTCCCAAAATGGTACATAATACTATAGTCCAGATTTTTGAGGTCACACTGTAATCAGATTAAAATTAATAAGTGCCTCTTACACCTATCAGATTCTGACTATTATGCTGCACAGTATGTGTGTATTATGAGTTCTTTTCCCTGGAGTTCCTAAGCAATTCTCTTTATTCTTGGTATTACTTCTATTTTTGTGTGATGTACTGTAATATAAAAATTTACATAAATTTAGGTAAATATTAAATTTTATTTTTAGTATTTTAGAATACTAAAAGGAGAGGTTAATGTAAATTCATTTGGTATTTTTTGTATTAATTTTAATTTTAATATTAGTATGTAACCAAAACCTGTATTATTTACAAATCACATGCAGTATATAGTAGTGTTTATTACTTGAAATAATAACTGATTGGCAAACTTGATCATAAAAATTTAATATGCAACTCAGATATGAAAAATAGAATGGAAACAGAACATTCCATCTAATAGCAAATTTCATTTTTGGTACAACTTGGCAAGGAAATACTGTATATATAAAATCTTTAGTCTGATGCATTGACATAAATTAAGGCTCCTACATACAATTTTGTTAAATGTTGGGGAAAACTAATTTTTGTTATCTTCATACAAATAGAAGATCTACTATTATTAAACACACATATGAATGATTGGCTACCTTCAGATGATTGTGTGACTTAGTATATGATGTATTTTAATTATTTACAACTGTTATCCTGCTGGTTGATAATGAGAAGTTTGTATTTTGTGCTGTACTGGATTCTGGCAAATATTTGGTAATGGTATGTGAACTGCATACAGTAATATGAAATAGGGATACAGTACAGGATTGTAAGTGAAGTAAACCTAGTGATTGTAACAATGATGTTTTATTGTAGTTTATGAGGAAAGAATACTAAACTAACCCATTCCATGAAAATGGTGTTGCCCAAGTGGAACTCCACCTATATACAAGAATCCCATTACGAGCTTCCCAGTAAAAGACATTTAGTTAGACTAAGGCATGAAGCCTCAAGTGATCCATCCAGAGACATATAGCTGTATTTAGTAAGGAACTGATACCAATACTCATTAAATAAAATATTATGACTAAATAATAAAATATTATGACTAAATAATAATGAACGATAAATTATTGTTGTTGTTCTTACCACTGTTTTGTAGATGCAGTAGTAAATCTTTAATTTTTTGTGAAGAACACTAAGACAGCTGCATAGTACAGGTAATGCTTTTGTGGTTCTTTCTTTAGTGTAATGTTTTAATACTGTATTCACTGTAGAGTAGCTACTGAGATTCTGATGTGCATCTTGTACATAAACATTTCAGAATTTTTAACTAAGTACTGTACCATAAATTACTATAAAAAAATATAATCATGTTTTGAAGGAAAAGAATGTTTAATAATGATTCATTAATATTCTGATCTTCAATATTAATCAACTTAAACGTAGATAAAATAATATAGATATACTGTAATTTGCTTTAAAAATTGGTAAATCAATCTAATAATAATTAAATATATGCTTTAAGCCATTGCTGAACAAACTCAAGTCAGTTGAGTTCAAAGATATTTAGTCAAACACGTTTTGAAATTGTTGGAAGTGTATGTATGTGTGTAATTATCTAAGCATAGTTACAAGATGACAGCTGTGGAGGGGGGATGGGGTTGGCAGGGTGCATTTGTCATTAGCCAAGTGTAGTTACAGGATGAGAGCTACACTAGTCATGTCCCATATTTCCAATATTGTACCCTTTTTTTTATCATATAGTGCTTTGAAACCTACTGACAGTTTTGGCATCCACTGCCTTCTCACTGAACTTGTTCTAACCCTCGGCCACTGTTTGCAAAAGTGAACTTTCAGATGTTTTTTTGGCATCTTTGTTACATTAGCTATGGCCTATTGTTCTTGAAGCTGCAGGTTTCAAGAAATTTTCTTTGTCAATTTTGTTGATTTCTGTTACTACTATATTTTGTATGTAGTGATCATATTGCCTCTTTTTCTTCTATCTTCTAGCTTTGGTATACTTCATTTAACACCTCTAGTCTCTCGTCAAAGCTCATGTTTTAGGTTCTGGAAGCTATTTATTTTCATATCTTTGCATCTTTCCCAGTTCATTGATGTGTTTCTTGAGATAATGGCACTATACAACCGTTATGAATAAATTGGGTCATGAACAAATCTTTTAATATTTTGCCATCAATGTATTTAAAAATTGATTCCAAAGTTTGAAAGCACAGCATATGTTCCTCACAAAATGTTCTCTATGTGATCTTCTGTGACAGCTTTCTATCCAGAACCAAACCTAGATCTCTTAATTTATCAAGGTTTTTAAAGCCTTTTCACATAATTTGTAGGTTGTGTGGCTTATTTTCTCTTTTTCCATATTCCATACATGGCATTTATTCACATTAAATTTAATCTGCTATATGTTGCTTCATACACTTATTTTGTCCAGGTCAACTTGTACTGCATGACAATCATAAAAGTTTATCTTCCCAAGTAGCAGCTTGGTATCATCAGCAAAGATGTTCATATAATTCTGTATTCCTTCTGGTAGATAATTGAAATAGATAATGAACATTACTGGTGTTAGAACTGAATCGTGTGGTACTCCACTAGTAACAGTTCTCCAGTCATCAGTGCCTCTGACTACTGGCCCTCATTTTTCTGTCAGAAATGTTGTTATGCATGTTAGAAGTCTTCACATCATCCCTCCAATAAGTTCCAGTTTCCAAAACAATCTTTTATGTGCGACTGTCAAAAAACTCCGTTAGATCCAGAAAAATGCAATCAACCCAACCATCTCTTTCCTTTAAAATCTCCGTCATATATATTAAGTAGATTTCTTACGCAAGATCTTCCTGTTAGAAAACCACACTTATATTATTTATTTATATATATACAAGAAAGTACATTGGGGGTTAAGAGAGAACATAGAGTTTAAGTTGAAATTACAATATTGTAAAGCCACTAGCACGCATAGCATTTCAGGAAAGTCCTTAAATTAACCTTAGAGCAAATCCTTAAACTAACAGAAAGTTTTAGAGAAATAAGAGTAAAATTGATAAAAAGTGTTTAACAAGTACTTTACAGCTTTACTTTACAAGTACAGATGATTTTAAATAGGATAATTAAAGTAAAATTGTAAAAAAAAAATGTTTACAGGTACATTGCAAGAATTTTTGACACAAAAGCAGATCAGAACAATACACAAGAATAACAATACACAATAATGAACAAGGAATCCCAAGTACAATTAGGAAAACATCTAAGGGTTATACATTGGATCACTGAAGCACAATATGAGGATCATTACTAGGAGTAATGCAGTAGAATATGCACTCAATACAACAACCATGATAACAGATGATCTAAGATAACAATGGTGAAGAATATGGCTTAGGTACAAAGAATGGGGGATTGGGTAGCACTAGAAACAGTGTGAAGATAAAGCTCTAGGTAGAAGACTATGAAGATGAAATTAGGTACTGTTTGGTTTTATATTTGAATAGACAAAAGTTGGATAGCTTTTCAGTTCATTAGGGTTCATTTCTCTCTTATGTTCTACCCATTTGGTTTTAATTATTTTTCTAGTGTTTTGACTATCACCCAAAGGAGCAATGGTTGCTCCTTTTGACCCAAAGGAACAACGGTGTCAAGCTCAACAAGCCACAATGTAGGACTGAGAACAGGAGATGCTTTTACACCCGCGGGGTTATAAACCCATGGAACCGCCTACCCACCGAAGCAGTATATGCCAAAACTCTATTTAAATTTTAAAGTCACTCTGGAAAGATCATCAGCACAAATAATAATAATGGGGGAGACCTTCGACAAACCGCCGTCTTCCTGACCTCGTCGAGGCCACTAGAGTAAATCAGGTAAATGATGTCACACCACAAATGTGTGGCCCAACACGAGACAAGTCTCCACCAGCGCCGGCCCTGAGGCACGGTTGCCAGGGCCAAATTGCTGAAAGTAGCGAGCTGACGGTCTAAAAGTAGCGAATTTGTAATAGAAGTAGCCCATTTTTTTTTAAGTAATTAATACGGGTTTCAAAGTAATATATTTTGATATATAGAGTACACTACACGTTTTTAATTGTTCTGTTAATATATCTCTGCAAATATGATAATAAGATAACTTACCAATATTTACTGTATGAAGCATAATGGGTGTGGAGTCCTTCGACCACGTCTTCACAGTTGAAAATTATCAAGATCTTGATAAGACAAAAAGCCAAACTTAAAAATATTTGAAAAACTAATCTGCAAGCACCTTTACTCTTATCTAGTCAAACACAATATACTTAGCTCTTGCCAATATGGCTTCAGACCCCAAAAAGGCACTAACGATGCACTTATTAGTATGATTAACTTGATACATGCAGCTCTTGATAAAAATGAGTTCCCTGTTGGGTTATTTGTTAACCTACGTAAGGCTTTTGACACTGTTAACCACCATAACCTTCTTAAATTACATCATTATGGAGTCACAGGTTATTCCCTCCAATATCTTCAGTCTTACCTTACTGACAGGCTCCAGCATATTTCTGTGAATAATTCAATTTCTCCCACCCTACCAATCAACACTGGTGTTCCTCAGGGCAGCATACTTGGCCCTATCCTCTTTCTCATCTACAATAATGACCTTCCAAATGCCTCTCAACACCTCAAACCATGTGTTAAGAATGTTTTACATACATGTCGGTCGTTCCCTATAGTTGATTATGCAGCGCCTGCCTTACTCACTCTTTCTCCTGGTCAGTGGGCAAATGTTGAGGTTATTCAAAACGATGCAATGCGAGTCATAACAGGAGTTCCTAGATGGACTAAAATACTAAACCTAAGACTGGAAACCAAGCTATCGTGGATTGAAATATGGGTAAAAGAGATTGCTGAATGCATGCTGACCAAGATATTGCCTAGACCTAGAATCAGTTCACTTAAAGATATAATCATTGGAACACTAACTCTGGACAGAAGAGCCTCCAATAGCAACAGGTGGACCCATTGTGTGATAAACACCATCAATACATTTGATATAACAAACACAATCACTGAGAAGGGTGTCGACGAAATACATGCAGACTTTGTTATGCAAGCCCCTTGGTAATCTCTGCCAGCGGACTTTAAGATTACGGCTCTTAAAGGAAAAAAAGAACCAGACTAATCCTCATCTGCTACGTAATATTGCACAGATGCATATAGAAGCAAACTTGGCATCTAACAGCTTCACATACTTCACATATGGATCGGTAGACCAGCAGGGACAAGAAACCAGAGCTGCAGTTAAAGCAGGAAATTAACTCTGTAAATAGTTGGAGATTCTCAAATGGGTGTTCAACTTTACAAACAGAGATGGTAGCCATTCAAGACTTTGGAACATGCTCTTCCTGAACACTGACAACATGTTATCATACATACAGATTCCAGAACTGCCATTGAAACCTTGCAACAAGAACACATACGTGATAACATCCATCTGATCATAAATGTCATATCATTAATGCAAACATTCAAAAAACAAGGCCGACAGGTACTTATCAACTGGGAGCCAAGTCATGTGGGAATAATAGGAAACGACATTGCAGACGAAGCTGCAAAACTTGCAACTAAGAGAAGAAATGTAGACATTTACATACCACAGATTAAGAAAGTAATTAGAAACAGAGCAATGCAAAAGATGTACAGTAACCACAACACAGCAGTTGCAACATCAGGATCTGCGGGTTGGTACAAGAATTCAACCAACTACGAACAACTTAGTTTGATGAAATGGAGCAGTAGAACAACAGAAGTACACTTACATCGCATCAGGCTTGGATACCCATATGCATGGGAAATAGGCTTATAGGTTCCGGAAGATGAGAGGAAATGTCAACACTGTGGAGAAATTCCTGATAGACCACTGGAACATAACATAACACAGTGCAGAGTTACAAACCCATTAGGATTTCAACTTAGATTCAACAGAGCAGAAGTTGTTAAACACATGGGACAAAATCTTACTGAAGCGACCATACGAGTCATAAATACTCTTACTCCGCCCAAGTAAAACAGAAACAAGCAACACTTAGTGGGCCAGTCAGAAGCTTAGGGTCCGCGCAGGAATATCCCTGCAAAAAAAAAAGCTCAGTTCAATCCTACTCCTAAAGACCCCATTCATTTCATGAGCCTATTATATGCATCAATAGAAATAAACTTTATTCATTAACAGCATTTAGAAACAATCATATAAGGAACAGGATGAGCCCGTAGCCAACGTGTGCCAGAGCCTTCATATGATCATTTAACCTGATCTCCCAATACATCAACCTGTTGAGCGAACAAGTTCCAGATGCGAGTCAGCCTAGGATGAATGATCACTGATGTTCTATTGCTCCATTGCTCAAACAATTGTGTATTAGCCATAAGACATACCATTAATGTATAATGACTTACTGTAAATATATATAGCTCGTAAAATAGATCATTTTCTGTAACTAGCTGACATGTGACTATAAAGTGTGAAGGATAGATGAAATTGTTTATGTAATAATCTAAGATGAGGTCTGATAAAGACCTTTTGTGCCATCTGTAATGCTTTTTGCGCTACCGCTCACAGGATGGGTATGGGGTGCACAATAAACTAGCCGCCTTCGGCGGCCACAATCAACAAATGGAGTAATGTTCTAGAGAAAGACAGTTCCAGCACAAGACTGTTGAATGTTGAGAGCCTATTGCTTCCTGTTGGATAAGTAACCCTTGATCCAACAAAGAAGCCGACCAACAATAATCATTTTCGCAAGCTCACTCAAGGTAATATGTCGGTTTGCAATATCAAAGGCAGACTTGAGATCTAGGAAGGTGGTATATGACTTTTCAGTCTGCAGGGTGAGAAAGGTGGTGATGGAATGATTACTGCGTAAAGCGTTTCTGGCAAAACTTTGAATACCTTAGATAAGATTATTTACAGGTATAATTAGAAAACAATGCTAAATGAGAAGTAAGCTAACATATGAGATGATCGAGGGATATAAAAATGATACACAACAAAAAGGTGATTCATTAAAAAAAAAGTGATTCAAGATAGTAGGCATAGAGTACTACATTATAGAATCTTTAGTTTTAGCAATAATGAAAAAGTGTTTAACATTAATAATAACAGCAAGGATGTACAAAGGTACATTTTATTAAAGCCCCTAGAATTTAGCATAATATATATAGAGTAAATCAGTAAATTATGATAATTGACTGAGCTCAAAATGCGTGTATAGTGTGATGCCAACCTGCAAGCAAGCACATACAAATGGTTCAACAATAAAATAATATTTTTAGACCATAAACTAAATAAAATGCCGTCTTTCGACGGTGATGTTTGCATTAGTCAGTCAGTCGCGTTCAGGCCCATTATGAATGACCAGCAAATGGATAAGTAATTACGTGAATAAAACTTCATCCTCAGCTTCGACATATTAAGGGTTTTATGTCCCCATTAGGTTAAGTATAATCCTAATTCAACACATTATAAATAAGCTATGCGTCATACTATACACAACTAAAGGCAAGAGGCGCTACCCTGGAGTTGGAGAGTTTGAATGTGCGCGCCAGTGAGGCGTCTGGTGATTGGCTACCGTCGCCACGAGACGGAGGACGCTCATTGGCCAACACGATTTAAATGTCCGACGCCGCTAGCCGAGTGATTCAAACGAAAGCGGAGGTCGGGGTGTCCTGCCTTTACCACTATTTTGCTACTCTTCTCCTCGGACTTGTACCGCTTTTAATGAGGCAAGTGTCGGGGCTGTCGGTCACGGTGTCAGGTAATGTTTTCTGCAACGTTTGGTACCTGGATGGTGGTGAAGGGAGGAGAGTGAGGTGATACAGGGCGTGTTCTAACTGTATTGCCCTGTAACTCCTGATTGTCTAGGCTTTTGTTGGTGAAGTGTAGGGGGTGTCTACGGTGACCTGGGGCGGGGGTGTGTGGGGGTGACCTGGGGCGGGGGTGTGTAGGCGGTTGCGACCTGGGGCGGGGGTGTGTAGGCGGTTGCGACCTGGGGCGGGGGTGTGACCTGGGGCGGGGGGTGTCTACGGTGACCTGGGGTGGGAGGTGTGTGGGGGTGGGCGGGGGAGGTTGGCAGGGGGGTGAGCAGGGGGGTGTGTGTAGGGGGTGACCTGGGGCGGGGGGAGGGGGGGGTGTCGACGGTGACCTGGAGCGGGGGGGGTGTCGACGGTGACCTGGAGCGGGGGGGGGGGGAGGGTCCGACGGTGACCTGGAGTGGGGGGGGTTGTCAATGGTGACCTGGGGCAGGGGGTGTCAACAGTGACCCGGAGCGAGGAGGTCGATGGTGACCCGGAGCGAGGAGGTCGATGGTGACCCGGAGCGAGGAGGTCGATGGTGACCCGGAGCGAGGAGGTCGATGGTGACCCGGAGCGGGTGGGGGGGGGGGGTCGACGGTGACCCGGAGCGGGTGGGGGGGGGTCGACGGTGACCCGGAGCGGGTGGGGGGGGAGGGTCGACGGTGACCCGGAGCGGGTGGGGGGGGAGGGTCGACGGTGACCCGGAGCGGGTGGGGGGGGAGGGTCGACGGTGACCCGGAGCGGGTGGGGGGGGAGGGTCGACGGTGACCCGGAGCGGGTGGGGGGGGAGGGTCGACGGTGACCCGGAGTTTCGACGGTGACCCGGAGCGGGTGGGGGGGGGGGTCGACGGTGACCCGGAGCGGGTGGGGGGGGGGGTCGACGGTGACCCGGAGCGGGTGGGGGGGGGTCGACGGTGACCCAAAGCGGGTGGGGGGGGGGTCGACGGTGACCCGGAGCGGGTGGGGGGGGGGTCGACGGTGACCCGGAGCGGGTGGGGGGGGGGGGGGTCGACGGTGACCCGGAGCGGGTGGGGGGGGGGGGTCGACGGTGACCCGGAGCGGGTGGGGGGGGGGTCGACGGTGACCCGGAGCGGGTGGGGGGGGGGGTCGACGGTGACCCGGAGCGGGTGGGGGGGGGTCGACGGTGACCCGGAGCGGGTGGGGGGGGGTCGACGGTGACCCGGAGTGGGTGGGGGGGTCGAAGGTGACCCGGTGGGAGTGGGTGTCGATTATTTTCAAATTGTTTTACTATTTGTCATTTCTTTAAACAAATTAACCTTTTACACGTATATTTTGTAAACATTAAAACAGTTTCTTGGTTTTCAGGCAAGATGACCTTAAACAGAAAAGTCTTAAAACGTGTGCATTCGCCACTTAAGTCTCCAAAACGAAATAATACTTCCTTACGCAAGAAAGCCCTCATTAAACAATTGAGTGGTGACGTTCAGTTTGGTGCAGCATCTAAGGCTAATCTTAAAGTCGTTGTCAGAGTTCGGCCACAGAACAAATATGAAGAGGAGAATAATGCAAGGTCAGTATTCAGCTCATTGTGGTATTAAAATGGAAAGGGGTCACATGAAACATGCATGTACTTGGTACTATTTTTAGTACAATACTACTTTTACTGGATGAAATTTTTTTTCTGAATATAATTATTCTGCATGTGACCAGGAAGTAATATGAATATGAAACCGTATATTTATAACCTGCTGAAAGGCATATCAAGTAGGGTAAAGGAGTTTTTTATTGGCAATGTATTTGGGAATCTGTGTGTGGCCTGTTTTAAGTTACATGGTTATATTGTGCAAGTTACAGTACAGTGTATAGATTTTTTTTATATTGATTCCAGATGCATTGTGAAGGTTGTGGATGATCACATGTTGGTATTTGACCCTAAGGAAGACGACGATGAGTTTTTCTTCAGAGGTGTGCGTCAGCGTGCACGAGATCTCAGCAAGCGTCAGAACAGGGAACAAAAATTTGCTTTCGAGCGTGTTTTTAATGAGAATTCTACTAATGAAGAAGTGTATGAGGCAACCGTACAAGATATTATTGATACTGTTCTTAGTGGCTATAACTGTTCAGGTTTGTTGTTGCAGTTGTTTGTTTACATTATTTTTGTCATTTTGATTTGTTAATTATGCTTGCCTCCCAACTGCATGTAATAGTACATTGAAATGATACTTATAAAGTTTAACAAGTTTTCTCATGTCCCCCTCATTTTTACAAGTACTGTACTGTGTATATATAGTGTTAAATCAATGTAAATTTGGTGATTACTGTACCTATCAGAATTTTTTTTATATTAAATTTTCAGTTTTTGCATATGGTGCAACGGGTGCTGGTAAGACCTTCACGATGCTTGGGAAAAAAAACTACCCTGGGATTACTTTCCTAACCTTGATGGAGCTTTACCGACGTATTGACGAGATAAAGGATGAAAAGACTTGTGAAGTGGGGATTTCCTATATTGAGGTTAGTGTAATTAGGTATACTGCAACCTCCAAAATCTAAACTTCCATATAACAAAGCCCTCTAAATAACAGATCTAATCCATCAAATGAATTTCCCCTCCTTAATTCAGATTTCAAAAATAAATCTTAATTTCAAAGGGAGGATGCTATAAAATCTGTGTTGTTGGTTCAGTTTTTTTAGCGATATCCACAAAATTGAGTTTTTCGTTTCTTTGCTGTATTGCTAGTGCATTCATTCTTCCCCCTGTGAGTGCACACATTTTTAAAGAATTTTCCTTGGATGTGAATTTTTTTCAGTACTATGAATAAAGTACTATGGCAATTTCTTAAGACCTATATCATGGGGGTGGTTGGCAAGCAAATGGCAGTTTGTCAGCAAGTCAAAATTTGATGGAAAGATTGTCAGAAAAACATTGAAGATACCGAATATTAACAGCTGGATGATGCTATTTGTATGGTTTATGCGACGTCATACAGTGGGGGTTACCTATTGGGAGCTATGGATATTGTTGACTTTTAAGGCCAGTTCACGGTGGCTAAAGATGTTAAACACCACAGTATATTTAAGAGAAAGATAACAGTGGGGAGAGTTTGTGCTGATGTGACAGCCATGGAATCATTAGAGAGAGAGAATGGCAGCTGGTGAGTTCCATGTGTAAGTTTGTTTTCAAGTCTACAATGCAGGCAAAATTTGCTTTGTTTGAAGAGATTTACTTCAGAGGAAACTGTAAGGTTATGAAGTTAGTAAAGAAAGGTTTTTCCTATGGCCTGTGCAAATGCAGATTGTACAGACTAAAAATAGCAATTGTTTGGAATACTGCTAAGCAAAGATACTTCAAAAACTGCATTGATAAGACTTCCTCTAAAATACTTCCACTCATAAGAATGTCGGGCTCTCACATTTTTTCTTTTGATTCCATAATTTTTACAAATAGGAGGGTTTCCAGATTTAGGATGGAAAACTGAACAGGTAAGAACCTTATTGGTCCTTGATAATGCACCTGCTCACTATGGGTTATTGCATTAAAATCACTAAATGGTAGAATTATGACTTTCCTTTCTGCCAAATACCATACGGTAGCAGAATGCAGTTATAATACTGTACAGTTCAGTATAATACTAAACTGGTTACTTTGTACTGTAATTGCACATTTAACATTTAAAGGGAATGTGTTTTTGTGCAAAACTAGTGCTCCCAGGTCCATGAACTGGATTAGTCAATTTTTGGATGAAGGCTGTCAGATAATTCTGCAATTTAGTTATTTTAAAGCATTAACCTCGTACTTCTAAGCCATTGTTTCTGCTTCTCGTCTCCCTCCTGCCTTCCTTACTCATAGATCTTGTATTGAATCTAAACCCTTAGGTTTGCACTCATCTTCCGCTCCCCATCTTTGTGCATTTTACTGTATTCATTAATGCCGTTGGATGGCAGCATCAGTTCTTAAGGCAGTTGAATGTTCAGTTCAAGTTCATTGATTTAGCCAATAAGTAACCCTGTACACATGGCGTCTTCTATAAAGATCTTTGCTCCCATTGTTGACAAGTTGTATGTATAGTTAATGTACATCTTACATAGTTTTTAGAACATAATTGTTGCCTCCCTCTTCCTCTCAATTTAGTTTTTGTAAGTCACAGCATGACTGAAATCCTGGTGAATTTGGAGGTATATATTCAATGTTATAGTTCTTTTTGACCTGGAGATGTAATATTTTAGCTCGACTGCATTCTTTTTGGCCTTTATGGCAATCTGCCACTTGTCTATTTGCTTCCTTTCTGGTTTGATTAAGGTATGATTCGGTTCTGTTTTTCACATCTGTATGAGTGTTCAAGTAAGTTTAATGAGGTAATAACGTACATCTCAAAAGGATTAGAGTAGCTTGGCCAATTTCTACCTTCATCTATTTCAGGTCCCTCAAGGGGTTCACATTCGTACAGTATGAGGGTGTTCACATTAACAATCATCCCTCTCTTCTGGCATGTTTTTTACACACTGTAGATCTCACTATCAGCTGTCAGTGACAATTTCTCCTGAAGGTACCAGTTCCATCTCCCAAAGACGGATTCCTTTTGCTGGTTTCTATCCAATTTGTAATATAATTTGGAATGATTGGCACAACTTAGTGAGGTATTATAGGTAACATACTGTACTATTAGATGTCGCCTATCTCTGCCATTCTTCCTATCACTGCAATAAGTGATGGGAAACATATTTCTCACATGTTCGTAACTTATGGTCACTTAATGGAACAGTCTGCTTGTCTGAACTGCATTGTCACGCTTGATCGTTCACTTCTTTGTGTGATACTGTATCCTGATTTTTAGGATGCTTGTAAATCTTGCTTTCCAATGTTCCTTAGTCACTTTCTCTCAGTAGAATCCTTTGTGAAACCAATGCCTTTGACGTACCTTGAGGTGTTTCTGGGGTTTGGCGTCCTCGCAGCCCGGCCGTCGACCAAGCCTCCTCATTGCTGGACTGGTCAACCAGGTTGTTGGACACGGCTGCTCACAGCCTGGTTGATCAGGTATCCTTTGGAGGTGCTTATCGCGTTCTCTCTTGAGCACTGCGAGGGGTCGGCCAGTTATGCCCCTATGTGTAGTGGAAGCGTGTTGAACAGTCTCAGGCCTCTGATGTTGATGACATTGCTCGTCATGTCTTTTATTCTTGTACTGGTTTCCCGAGTGATTTGTAGGCCCTATTGATTGTTCAGCAACAGATGGTGCTAAATAGAATTTTTATTATACCACTTCATATTGTAGCACAGTATTTTCTAATTGTTGCATTTTTGGTGTACTTATTACACCACTATTCGTATTCTGATATGTTCTAGTCCAGGAAATACTTCTCATGATCAACTTCAGTAAAAAAAAAATAGTTTTTCTTATGATGATGAGACTTGTAGTATATTAATTTAAAATATTTAAACATGGTAGTGTTTCCAGGTTGACTATTCAATCTGCAAATAAGTGCTGTAAGGTTAGGTTAAGCTGCACATTATATAGTACCTTTATCTTTAATCAATTTCAGGTTTATAATGAAATGGTGCGTGACCTTTTGAAACCAGGAAAACCACTTAATGTGCAGGAAGATGGACGTCAAATTTTAATACCAGGCTTATCTCTTCACAAACCAGAAAATGCAGAGGAATTAATGCAAATGTTATCACAAGGGAACCAAAACCGCACACAGCACCCTACTGATGCCAATGCTGAGTCTTCAAGGTCTCATGCTGTCTTTCAGGTAATTTGCTTTGTAAAATGGTGTTTGTTCTGGTTAACAATTCATTAGGGAAAGATTTCCTTTGAGATTGAGTGCGACATTTATATGAATGTTTTATAACTAAACATTTAATATTTGACCATGTACTTCTGTCATTTTATGGTTATATTCTTTGGCTATGATATTTCTGTGTACTACTATGATTTGCTAATCTTTCTCCACATTTCCCATTGCTAGTATTCACATGTTTATAAAAATATTTTGTAACCCTCTGATAGATTTGCTACTCATTTTATCATTTTTGGTGATATTTGGAAAGAGAAGGCATTGGTGACTTGAGCAGTATCTCAAAAGGGAATTAGCTTTGCTGCACCAACATTTATTCACTAATGAGTGTCAAGTGATAGTCCATGTAGTCTATTACAAAGTTGTACATTAGTTTCTTAAACAAATCTAGAACGGTTAAATATATTTTTAATCTTCAAATGTTTTGAAACCATGTTGTACTGTAGTATAAAAATAAATGCAGAGTAATTTATGTAATCTAAATACACTAGCTTAAAACTTGCAAATTCTTTTGTTGTAATGAGTGTCAGTTTCTGCTAGATAGTGTGTATACGGAACATAACCAACACTGGGGTACTGACTCAAGTGTGTTGTAGTATTGGGAAGCAGATTACAGTTTCCTGTAATTCCCCCTTCCTTTCCAATATGATGGGTAACAAATTTGGTGATAGTAACATTTTGAGGGTTAAAGGATTCTTTACCTCTAAAGGATATGCTTGCTGATGGCAGGCCTTATTGCCTTATGCAAGCAATTGAACTTTAATGAAAGAGTAGCATATGAAATTTTCACTATAGGTTTAATGTACTGTATTTCTAATTGCTGGGTATATTGGTTTGCCCCTGGCAAGATATTTTGGGTTGCTGCTGCTTTAGAGCTCACAGAAATAAGATGTGGAAATGGATTTTGCTGTTGAATAAGCTTAGTACACTAGAATTTTTTTTGTTGAAACAAAATTTTAAGTTTAACACTTAATTTTATTCAGTACTTGTACAAGACATAATTATATTATATATATACTGTATATACAAATGCTAATAATTTTTTAATTAAATACTTCAGGTTTTTGTCCGTCAGCAAGACCGTGTTGGCAATATCAAATCTAACGTTTCCATTGCCAAGCTGTCAATGATCGACCTTGCTGGATCTGAAAGAGGAGCTGCCACTGGTTTCAGAGGCGCCAGATTTAGAGAGGGTGCCAGTATTAACAAGTCATTACTTGCACTTGGTATGTTGTTCACTCTTCACTCATTTTTAGTCTTCAAAGCAAGCATTGGCAACATTAAATAACATGTAAGAATTTCACTTACATTTTTTATTTGAATTGAAAGCTGTTCATTCAGTAGGAAATAACTTTTCAGGAAATTGCATCAATGCTCTGGCAGATGGACAAAGGCACATTCCTTATCGTGACAGCAAGCTTACGCGCCTTTTGAAGGATTCTATTGGAGGAAATTGTCGGAGTGTTATGATAGCTACAGTATCTCCAGCATCAACGACTTTTGAAGATACATTCAACACGCTGCGTTATGCTAATCGTGCAAAAACAATTAAAACTACCGTAAGTAGATTTGTGTACTATTGTTACGTAAATTTAGTAGGGGTACTTTACTGTATCATAGTGAAGCATTATAGATAATGATTTTGATAAGAAATTATATAAAATTATAAATCTGCAAAATATGATCATTTCTTTCAGATTAAAAAGAACATCATGAACATAGACCAACATGTTTCAAATTATGTTAAAATTGTTGAAGACCTGAGGCAAGAAATTTGCAGCTTAAAGGAGAAGGTTTGTCTTTTTTTTTTATTATATAACTTTAAAGTATATTTTAGATAGGAAAAAGTTAGTGAGCTCTTTTACTATGAATAGTAATCCATTAGGGTTCAATGGAACGAGAAACATCACAAAGTCTCCTAGAGATGATTATGAGTGGTATGAAGGCCGGTTTTTTGAAGCATTAACACTTTCGCGCTTTATATTAGAGATAACTCGTCGCCGTTTTCTCTCACGATTCCGCATAACGGCCTACTTTTCTCGTCCATCGAAAAAATATTTCTATAAATTCCATTTTTTAACCGAAATGGATGGGGATACTTTTGTTTTGTAGAGAATTTATTTGCGAATGTTTTGGTACCAGAATGAATATTATATCACATAAACTTCTATGAGTAAAAAAAAAAATACACAAAGTATGTTTGGGGGTGTGGCAGTGGGTTCCCTTTAGCCGTTGATATATCTAACACGTGGGAAATATTTGTACGTGTTATGTATATGTCTGTGTAGGGAATTTTACTGCGATCACTGTCATACAAATTATAAAATGTTTCAACAAGTATAAACATGACAAACATCAAACGAACGAAAACAATGCGTTCGTTTCTGCCGCGAATGCATACTGAGCGACGTGGTTCTATATTTGGCGCTTCTCTTACACATGCTTTGTACAAATGTTATACAGTTCATCTTATAGAAAATTTTATTGCGAACACATTGGTATAAAAAAGAAATACGTACATAGAAAAGTAGGGTCAGGAAACGTATAAACTTTCCAAGCATGATTTCCCCCCTGTGTTTTCGCCAGTGCGCTCGCGGATAACTACTCTCCACTTCACACACTCTTGCTGGTGGGCAATTACCTATATTAAACATTCATATGCATATGTCCGTGTAGAGAATTTTATTGCGATTCCAATGATACCAAAATTAGCGATGTAGGACAACTGTAGGCTTCGCAACCATTAAGAGAGTGGAAACATTTTGTTGCTGTTTGGCGCTCTCGGCGAGTGATCTGCATAGTTTTTTATTTGGTGTTGATACTCCTTATGCTTGGGCGGCATTTTATAGGTATGCTCTTATAGACAATTTCATTGCGAACACAGTGATACCAAATTTAAATACGTGCGCCTTCAATTATTGTCAGGACAGTCAAAAGAGTGTACACTTTTCGGTCTTACCGCGTAGGTGCGCGAAGTGCCGAAAGCATCTGGGGTATTGTTTTTTTTGAGCGCCGAGAGCGCGAAAGTGTTAAGAATAAATTCATTGAATGCATTATAACAGTATATGGCTTGCTGGGTTGATTTAAAATTGTATTGAAATGGAGCTTTAACTATATTTATTTGGCCAGGATCTATCCCAATTACAAATGTCATGTATTTGTCACAACAATAAAAAGATGTATTTCAAATGGTAATGTTTAGAAATGCTTTTGAACATTTATTAGGTTTAGTTTTCAAAACTTGAGATTTTTGGTAATGTGTACATTACTATTTTCATTTAAAGTTCCTGCGTGCTCAGATATTTCCCGAGATGGAAACTCGACCTATGATGGAGCTGGTCCAAAATCTAGAAGGCTCTAAATTAGCATTTATCAATGCAATGGGATTAAAGTTGGAAAATTTAAGATACTTTTTTGAAGAAATTAGCTGAGTAACAATATACAACCTCAACAACACAAACATGAATTTCAATTAGTAGGCTTTACCCATAATGATTTTAATACTGTATATATAAAAATAAATGTGTGTATTTTATTATTATTATTATTATTACTGTATAAGAAAATACATTCATGATTTTCTTCCAATATTCTGTCCATCTACAAATACAGTATCACTAAACATTTGAGCCATAATAAAAATTACCATTTACACCCCTAATATTTGCCATGCTCTATGGGCTAATTTCACTGGGTCAAATTTTAGTTTCAGTATCAGATTGACAACTTTCCCACATGTATGTGAACTCCGGTCCTGCTTCCTAGGCAAATCTGAACAAACCTTGCTTCAGCAAATCTCCAAACATTTTTGCCGAGGCAGTTTAATAAATCCAGTTTAGAAAGTTTTGCAACTGGAGATTTGCTGAAACAAGGTTGCACTGTGTATAAATATAATACTGTCTGTTCAAAGTACGAGACCAGATGCTCAGGGTTAGCCTCGACCAATTTTCCAACATGGATATAGGATTTCCAACATATGTTGGAAATATTCCAAGTGATACCCTTTAAAAAAAATTGGCATCTATAGTGACCCCTTTGTGATTTTCATGGTCTAAATTGAAATTGTGGATATTTTTCATAAAGTTTGATGGTTACTCAAGTGATGCACCTGAATTAATTTGTTAAATATTTAATTTTAAGACGGAGATGGGGGTGGAGGGAGGGAGGAATAGAGGGGTGTATGGTGGAAAGGGAGAGGAGAAAAGAGGGTGAGTGGAAGGGAAGCAAGACCTGTATTGTAAATGATGTCTAATCTGAAATCACATTAGCATGATATATGAATGAAACTTTGAAGCAACATGGTGGGACCAAATTTGCATCCATTGCATACTCCGGTACCCATGTTGAGCTATAAATATCAACTGGAAGTTCGTAAGAACTTTCATGGCATTTAGAAGTATTTAGTTCGTTCTTCCAGTCCAAGTTTTACATGATCCGTGTTTTCATTTTCAAGGGTAGTTAGTGATGCACACCTTATGCCTTAGTGCACATAACTTTGTGCTATCCCATCCAGAGCCTCAAAATTTTCTCAGTATATCACCTTAATTAGATTTATACATTAACAGAGGCTTAAAAGAGCTGTACTGTTTCATCTCGGTGTGTACACTAAGTGGTAGAAAACTAGTTTGTTTTAGTTGGTTAACTTTTAAATTTTATTAGGATATATTTAAAATTAGTTTATTATATATTCTTTATTTGACTATTTACTGTAATGGTAATTACATTTGTTGTGCAGGTAAATCAGTATGAGCAGAAGGAGAAAGAGTGGGAAGCTGAGAAAGAAGCTCTGGTAGCAGTCACATCACAGCCTTCCCAAGCATCACCTCTGAAAAATGCAGATTATGAGGAAAAAATTGCCAGCTTGGAAAAACAACTGCAGGTAATGTGTGTGTATTAGCACTTAACCTAATATAGTTTGGAAAATAACTGTACTCTTTCTCGTGGGTTGATTTTTTTTTCTTCAGGATTTATTATGTATGGTCTGTAATACTTTGAGTTTTATTTAGCATTAATTAGTTCATGCTCATTTCTGAGCATTGTAAAGTTTTTGTGACCATCCTTCAGCAATTTTGATGCGTTTGTTTCTCAATGTATGATGTCTTATGACAACCTCAACTGCCCTAAATCTGTGAGGGGAAGAATTCTGGTACCTGCTCAGAGGAAGCCATTAAAGTCTGATTAACCTGGGGAGTTTGTACTGACTCTGGAGTTCAGTGGCAGCCTCTGAAGGGCTCTCACAAATTGGCTTTTCATTATACAAAAGCAATATATTGCTTATATTTAAGAAGAGATGATTATTGTATTTCTCAATCATTGGGTGAATTTTATGCAATATCTGCCTCTGGCTAAACACTAGGTCTAACATTGGCATTTCAAAGTTTTTCATATGGCCTTGTATTCTACAGGAAAGATCACCTTTGTTAACAGTACCAGAAGTGGAACCCTCTGTTACAAGAGAAGCAGAGGTTCAACAGAGGCTAATTGATGCAAGTCATGAGCAGAAGTCTCTAAGGCGTGAGCTTCTGCAGCTGGAGAGCTCTCAGCGGGAAATGGAGTTTAAGATGCATATTTGTAATGCACGTCTCAATAGAATGAAAATAATAGCCTTTGCATCTAAGAGGCTAGATAAGGTAAAATAAAAGTTTGTCAATTAGTCAATACCTGTTACACATACACACGTCTGTTTCTGAATATATACCGGCAGGTGCCTTTTTTTTTTTTTTTTTTTTTTTTTTTTGTAAATTGTGAATATAACCAACAGAGTATCTCAAGATGTGAACGCACTATCCGAAATCTGCAAATTCGCCTTTCTCAAACCAAAAAGCTTCAAGACAGTGTTCAGATGAAGTTGTCCACAAATTTTGCCAAACTGCAGTTAATCCAGGCAGAGTTGAATCAATGGGGACCCGATTCTAAACACCCATCAAAAGCATCACAGGATCTAATTGAAAAAAGTAATGGAAATGTAAGTAATGTTTTCAGATTGCAGTGAATAAAGTGTTTCAAGATTTTAGGGAAGGAATGCATGATGTGCCAGTTATATGCTAGACATAGTTGACAGGAAGGGAAAATGTGAATTGGGTTATAGCTCAAATTCCTTCAGCTCAAGGAGGAGCCTCTTTGTGTGTGTATGGATTTTCTCTAGTTATTCCTTGTCCGTTTTTAGGCAAGAGTTCCATTCTAGAGATGCATATTCAAGAGTAGGTCTCAACGTGCTATGTTTAGGGCTCAGATAGTCCTTTTGTCCAAATTTCTAAGGGACACCTGAATGTTGGTCTGTATGCCACATGCTGCTGCTATTTTGCTGATGTAGGCTTTTGGCATCAGATTTAGGGTTATGTCTACTCTTGGGTCTTTTTTCTTTTCTGATTGAAGAATGTCTTCGTTTCAACCTGTGCTATTGTACTGGTCTTTGCACTAATCACCAAAAGTGGTGGGATGCTATTGTGGATGATTTACTCGATTGTGATAGTGATGCTATATGATGTGTAAATTGATGGATAGATGTAAGAATTTTTATCCTTATAACTATTTTTCTATAATGTGCCTGTTTTTTGTATGGGCTGATGCTGCTTATGCCAAGAAAGTAGGAAATGTAATGATTCTCTGCTACTTAGCTTTATAAAAAAAAATGTATATAGACTCTTTAATGCATACTTTTCAATAAAAGTATAATTTGAAACATTATTACTTGCCAACAAGTGGTTAGTACAGCATAGAACTTTAATTATAGGTTGAATTTCTTAATTGTCTACACACATTTTATATTTCAGCTTGCTCTTCGGGATCTCCACCAGCTTTCTGAATACTTAAGAGGATTAGTTAAAGAAGGTTTCAGTGAGCAGAATGCATCAGAGCAGCTCATCTGCCTTCTCTTGACTGCTACAAGACAGTTTTATTTACAGCTTCGTGTTCAAGATAGTTGTACACCTGAGATGGAAACCCTCTTTAAGGTGTGTGCTCAATTAACCGTACATAAGACATATTTTTATTTTCTCCTTTCATGTGAAGCTCTTGCTTACATAAACATAATTCTTATGCAGTAATTTTATATTTTGTATTGTGCATAGCACGTGTTACGGGTCACTTAAAGAACAAGGGTATACAGTATGTAAGAGTTAAATAATGTATCTGTCCATCAAAATTGGAGAAAAGATTTGTGGTCATATCTGTCCATAAAAAAATGTAACAGGTTTATCAGTTCATCTTTTTCCCATGCAATATTAAGGGACTGAGGAAATCTTTTGCATATCATGGCTCGTGGGCACAGCTTTTGTCGGGTGACCCATGACTGGTTCGATCCGCCCATCCTGCTCCAAAAGATTTTCCTCAGGTATATCACAGTTAGTTCATTGTGTAATAAAGGAATGTTTTGTTTTATCAACAATGAAGCTTTTAACACCTGAAACATGTATCCACTTGATAGTGTGTTTTAGAGTATTGTATTTTTCATTATTTGACAGTTCGATTACAACATGAATCAGTTTTATTTAAAGTGCATAATATCGTTAAGTGAATACAATATGATTGGTGAGTAGTACTTTGGTTTATGAATAATGAATGCATGACTAGAGGACTACTCATCCATTATGCTGTGCACTGACTGATCTGCAGAGTTTAAGGAAGTCCAATGGGAAAACTAAAGGGTAAGACAACGAATGGAATTTGTTCAAAGATATGCTCAAACCCACCGAGTTCATTCAACTCAGGGTTCCAACATTGCCACCTGAATTTGGTTTTGATATACCACAAGGGTTATGTTCATTTAGTGGAAGCTCGCCATTTGTTTGGTTTTGGAATTTTCGTCACAGTTCTGATAAGAGAATTCTTCACATGCTAGTTTCCTTACAGCTTGGTCGCAGTGATGTGTTCTCTTGATTTTCTCTCTAAATTTTTGCTTACCTTTTTTTTTTCCTGTGATGCTTTAAATTGCAGGAGTCTACTTGGAGGGCAGAGATTTAGCTATTACATACTTAAAACCAGGAACAATATCTAATTTGTTTTACAAGGCAAAACCTGGGGATGAGAACTAAAACCAGGGTAAATGCCACCAGAAAGTATAAAAAAAGATGAATCAAAGTGACCCCCGAGTGAACATGCCAAACGATTATTGCCGCAGGTGAAATTAACCTAACTGTGATGCACCTGACAGTTACTAGGTGCCAGCCAGGGTTGGTCACAGCCTACCTCACCCAGGAGCTGCCTGTGATGAACCCTACATGAAAGAAATGAGTAAGGAGTTACTAGGGGCCCACCAGGAGTGTTTCATTTCATTTAATACTATATATTTCTAGGTTCTATGGAAATATTTTACTAAGTGAAATATTAATTTCTACAATACAACATTTACCTTCTCGCCAAACACACACCGAAACTACGACGTTGGTACAACATTCGAACAAGTTTTAACACCTAACCAGTTATAACGACCAATATAGCAAGTTGTAACAACGTTCTAATATGTCATAAACACGTTAAGCCAAGACGTAAAAACTTTATTACAAGTTGTAACAAGTGGAAAATAGACTGTTTCGGTTTGTGTTTCCAGGGTTTAGAACCTGTCGGTAAAGAGATTTAACCCTCAGTGTTGGTATTTCCCAGGATCTATCCCCTAAACCTTATTTTTCAAAGAACAAGCCTTGCCCCTTAATGCTGCAAATGAACCAGGACCATTGGCATTCGTATACATCCAAGAGGTTTCCTTCCACTGAAGATTTTTCTATGAAGTAACTTTGGAATTCATTTTAAACAAATAATTAATACTATATGGTACATTTTAGTGTCATTTTCAGTAATGTCTGAGTATGCTAAATAAGAAAATGTAATATAATGAAGTTTTACATTCTCTTACTTAACAATTCTACTGTAATTTGTCAAAACAGTTTTTGAAATGGGCTGGCAGTGTAGGTAGAGTTTACAGCCACCATTTTGAGTGTGATGATACCTAGGAGCCTTCGACTCATCTGCATGAATGTTAGCACTACAGACTCCAAATACTTGCTCCTAAGATTCCAAGTGTTTTTCTCATCTCACATATTATATGATTGAACTATGTATGTGACATTGTAGATATTGATAATTAAGGAGAATAGGGTAGAATGTATAGACAAAATTATTGATGTTAAGGACATGGGTCTTAAAGGCTTCAATATTAACACTTTTTTCAAGGAAAGGTTGACTTCATATGGTGTATGCTCTGCTGGAAAAGTTGTACTTGAAGTGCTTTGATCAAATAATTTGAAAATAAAACTAAGGTAATTGTTTTAAGAGCAGTGTGGAAGAAGTTAGAGGCACAGTTTGGCATTGCAGACACTGCTGATCAGTCACAAAGTAACATTAGGCTTTTGACTGGCATCTTGAGATTCAAGACAGCAGGAGATAGAAAATAAAGATTTAAACTTCACAACCAGCCTTGTGCAATTGAAAAGTGTTCTTGCAATAAATAATAAAACAGTTAAGTTAAATTTTATTGGTGTTGCATGATTAAAGTACTGTAGCCTGCTGTATTCTTAAGAAAAATATTACATTTAAAGTAACTGTTCCTATTGATGGGTGAAACTATAGTCCATGTAAATTTTACAGCATGACTAGAGATTCACTCATCCATAGTGATAGTGAATTGCATCATTAAGTGAATATTAGGAGGATATCCAGAGTAGACATGGTAAAGAGTAGTGGTGTGATTGGCACAGTTTAAGAACATTATGGGCATTAGGGGCCCACAGCTCTTCAAACTCGTTCCACCCATAATGAGAAATATTGCCGTAACAAAAGTGTGCTTTCAATAGGCAATTGGACAGTTTTCTTCGGAAAGTGCTGGATCAACAGAGTTTGAGGATATGTGGCCTGCAGGCTGCTGCAAGCTACCCCCTAACAAGCCTGGCCATAGGTCAGGTTAGGAGAATAAAAGAACCCTCAAACCCGATTACAAGTAAACATGATGTTGAAATGTGCATTATAGTTTGCTTTGTGAGTAAAATATTTGCACCCACACCCACATTATCAGTGTTGATATTTTGCAGAATCCAATAATTTGTACTTCTATCAAGTATAATCTGACCTAAATGTATGATGTGTGTTTGAAAGTTGCCATCGTGTAATTTATTGATCCTATCTATATCTACCTGTCATGGTTTATTTTGCCTGTCTTTGCAAAGCAAAATTGCATTTTAATTGTCTAACCCATCTTACAAAATATAAATTGAATTCAATATTGTGAGCAATGCAATTGCGAACATTTCCTTTCCTACCTTTAGGAGCATGGACATGTTTCCAGATGTTTATTTTTTATGTAGCTGCATCCTGATGTAATTCAGGCAACTAATGTTGAAATATTTGAAACTTGACTCACCAGTCTGCCTTCATCCATTTATTCAACATACCTGAACTATCTGTTGCTCTCTGCAATCTTTCCGTATTGACTTGTACTCTACCTCTCCAAGATAGTTTCGTTGTTTACTATATTCTCCTAACACTAATTATCTTGTTGGTATTCTCATATTAGATTGCAATCTCAGAATCTGAGTATCTAAACTGATCAATCACCACAAGCACTTCACTGTTCACATGTATTTCACACATTCCTTTTCTCTCCCATTATTACCTTACTTTTGTCAACATTCACCATTTATAGTATTCACACACCAAACACTTTTAACAATACATAATATTTGACATTCTCAAGTAACATGGATTAGGCCTACATAGCAAACCCAAGGTAGTCACCAAGGAAGTGGTGGCAGCAGTGCTGGACACTATTGTAGTCTGAGGAAGTAAATACACCTCATGGAACAATGTGACTAAAGACTATTTATAGCCAGACCAGGTATTGCCTTCATGGCAAAGGTAGCTGAAGTACACTTTATCTGAATACTAGGATCTTTAACCATTAGGCTATGCCCCAGTTAATAGAAGACAATGCCCTGATGCATGTGTGGGGGGGGGGTATCTTGATTTCGGGGCTTAGTGTCCCCGCCGCCAGGTCCTAGATCAGGCCTCCGTTTTGTTACACATCCCAGCTCTCGACACCATTGTATATTATGCTTATATGCTCTTTATGGTTGAATGAAGTATTGCAGGTAAACCAATCAATGGAAACATCATGTGTTATGTGAATTGTGATTTTATTAAGTTAACACATTCTTATAAATAGAAAAAAGTGATAATCAATGATGTACGGGATTGAAAACCGTACCCTAAAGTATCGTACCTAAAGTAAGGTATGTATCCTGTATCTTACAATAAAACATATGAGGATAAATAGTAGTAGTCTTGCATACCTCAGTGTCAGCATCATATTTTGACAGGTGCCAGATCACACCGCCACAGTACAATATTTTAGAGCACCTCCACTCAGTAAAAAAGGAACTGGTAACACATTTTCATGTTTTTTTTACATTTTACATTCAAATAAATTTAATTTTTTTATTTTTATTTTTGCACTTAGGCAGGATTGACCATTTTTATATAGCAACTGTCAAGTTAAAATGTGATTCCTGATTATGGGAAATTTTTAAAAAATGTGACCTTGGCAGTGGTGAGGCAAGGCAAGGAAATGTGTCAATTCCTGCACATTCAAGGAGCAGTTGCCCCGTGGAGGTTGTCCCAAACCAGGCTTTGGGGCCGGAGTTGCTATGAAAATATTTTTACATTTATTTCAATGTCTTACTCTTTTTTTTTGCCTTTACACTAGTAATATTCAATAGGCTCATTTAAAAAATTAACATAATAAAATGTGTAGAACATTGGTGTGGTTAAATATTCTGGGGTCAGTTGTAAAACCATCTGTAATTTTATTCATCGTTACGAATTACTATACAGTATGTAGTAACCACGGATGTGGTCAAACACAATACAAGCACAGCAAAGTGCCACGTGCTAGTCAGTTGCCAACTGCACCTAACATAACTTCCCAATATACTACACACATTATCTCTAGCCACAACACTATTATCAGAATCCTGGTCAATAAATCCAAAATATGGATGATTTTCCAAAAGATCATTTATTAAAGGAACACGAACACATTTTTAAAGGAACGAATCGTGCTGTGAACATCTTAACCATTATTGGGTTCCTTGATATCTGAACTGTGTTGTCCTTATCACAGTCAGGATCTGACATTATCATTAAATAATTGCAGTTATTTTTTCATCATTATTTAGTGATGCTGTGGTCACGAGTTGCATGTCGGTGCTACTCATGGTCACTCATGGGACTGAGGCCCTCACAGCCAGGAGAGGGTGCCAATGAATTTTGTCAAAGATGGCATCTTTTTACTGGAGGCCTGAGAAAACAGGTGTGAGCCTGGTGTATCCACGGGCATTGTTAGTAGTACTGTACTGTAAATCTTCCCTCATTGTCTCTGGCAAGGTGATTATAAATGGTAAGAACATCCCTGCTGTCATGTGCAACTTGGAATGGTTAGCAAATCTGGACTAGAGCAAATGTAATGACAATATTCAAGAAAGGGTATAGGCAGAAAGCCCCTTTACCAGTCTTGTAAACATACATTTCTTGTACAGTTTGGGGAAAATAATCATGTAGCAAATATTGGAGAATAACTTCGGAGGATAAGTCATATCTGACATACTGTACTTGATAATTCTTTGACAAGGTCATTTTAATGCAGCTGGAGATGGGTGCTTCAGTAGTTGCATTTTCCTAGACTGAATAGAGTAAGGGTGTTCTTAACGAACTGGAAACGGTAACCATCAAAGAGAGATCAAACTAGAGGTGTGGACCCTAAAAGGTCCCCATTTGACTAAAAAAGGCTAGTAAATGAAAACAGGATATTGGAATTCTAATAACTGCAGGGAGGACCAAATTCAAAAAGCCTATTATTATTATATTTAAAATGAAAATGCTAAGGGGAATGGGCAAGGTGAACTGGGGTAATCTTTTTTTCAGTTGAAGAAACTTATAAATTACTTGGGTTGGAAATGAAATTGCACAAGAGCCAGAGGTATATTAACACTTGCATGCAGTAACACACTGGTATCACAGCTTCAAGAGCAAATACAAAATAAAAAAAGTAAAGTTATATGATTTTAAGAGATTGTGGTATTGTACATGGTATTGATCATCCATGATAAAAATACTGTATATGTACTTTAGTTTATTAGTGTCTTCAATACAGTTTTGTATTTGGGTGTTTAAATGAGACTGGTATATGTCTGATGCCTTGTTCTCCTTGGTACACCTACTTTAAGTGGGGTAACTGTAGCAAAGTTTTCCTGGAAGCCTTTTCTAAACATGGCTGGCTGACCTTCCCTAATGTATTCTTCAGGTGCTTCAATTGTTTAGTCTTTGCAGTGCTTCCTCGTGTATAAAATACATATTAACATCCCCTTCATAGTAATGGTCTAGTAACATCTAATTAATAGATTATTGTTGTCATATTTATCTGGACATGAACTTTGTTGAATAAGCTCTTATTATGAAAATTTGCAGGAATTAATAAGGTTAGAATATGTTCTCCAAAACTGTTTTTTGTAACCTTTTTTTTTGCTCTTTTGTAGGTACTGATACTTATCTCTCTCTTGCCAGAATATTCTTCAAGATATGGATGAAAGCAAAGTAATTTGGGCTGACCAGCAGTGTGTAAATGATCAAAAAGAAGTCGTCAATGAGAAGGAATGTTCAATACCCCAGTTAGATGTTTCGCATTTCACTGTTCTCCCAATTAGCAGTCAAATTTTCATGTCGCCTGTGAGCCAAGATTATAGAATATTCCGGTAAGTTATTGTTAGTCCATCATTTCTACTTTCCCCTTCACTATTCTCCATCTTTATTTTCCCCTTTCCCCATCATTTCTGACCTTCCTCTCACCTCTCCTCCCCAAATTCTTTGGTTTGATGAATCCTCTGTTAGTTTTAGTTCATTTATTATGCACCCCATATCCATCTTGTGGGCGGTAGTGGAAAGGGTTACAGAGGCACATAATGGGCTCAGGGACTGAGCCCCACAATTCATTTAGCTAAGCAAGTTAGTCTTGATGAGCCTAACCCATGTAACTTAAATTCTTTCAGGTATTGTATACAATTAGTGTTTCTCTAGACTCTTAATCCATACATCAAACCCTTGGACCATACAATTTTCTCAGCCCTGGTGAACTAGTTTTCCTGTAAACTTTAACAAATTCCTTTACAAACAAACAGATATTTGCAAATTCTATATACTACTGTATTGTACTTCCTTGCTTATACTGAATTCCATAATTTTCTTGATTTTCCTAATTTTACTTTCAAATAGAATTTGCATAGAGTTGGAGTTTACTTTTTGTTGAACACTAGTGATATAAAGGCTATACAGTGTGCGTGTGTGTACTGCCTTCACAAGACTGTTGCTTAGCTAAATGAACTGTGCTGTGGGTTTGTTCCTGAGCATATTATGTTTTTCTGTAACCCTTTCCACCACCCACCTGTTGGGTATTGGGGTGCATAATGAATGACATTCATGTAAAATTCTGGAAAAACATTATTGAAAAAAGTATTAACACTTTCGCTTGGTAAAGACTCGGCATTGCGTCGTTTTTCTAGCAGATGCATTACCGTTAACGACTCGGCATTGCGTAGTTTTTCTAGCAGACGCATTACCGGTAACGAAGCAGCATTGCGGCGGCGGTTTTGGACGTTATATGCATATACTCCTGTAGGGAATTTCATTGTGAATACATTGATACCAAAATGAAAGACCTAGGACCAGAATTGAGGTAACAAAGTTGAAAATAGTATACCCATTTTATTAGCGCTTACTGGGATTACGCTCTGTCACTTTCTCTGTTTTCTGTGGGTGGTATGCCTGGCTTTTGGACTTTATATTTGCATATACTCTTGTAGGGAATTCTATTGCGAACACAATGCTGTCAAAATGAAAGACCTAGGATGAGAATTGAGATGTCCAAAGTGAAGAGAGTGTATACGTTTTATTGCACCTGCATGGTTCTGGGTAATATGCTCTTACTTTCTTGCTTTTTTGCTGGGCTTTTGGGTTTTATATGCATTTAGTCTTGTAGAGAATTCTATTGCGAACACATTGATACCAAATTGAAAACCCTAGGACGAGAAATGAGATGATAAAGTGGAAAAGAGAATACACTTTTCAGTATTACCGAGCTCTAATGCAATGAGAGGTGCCTTGGGGTGGCGCAGTGCTCTTTTTCTGGGCCACTTTCATCTTGTCGGTGGGTGGAGCGCGCTGTGTTTTTTACTTTATATGCATATTCTCTTGTTGGGAATTCTATTGCGAACATAATGATACCAAAATGAAAGCCCTAGGATGGGAATTGAGGTAACAAAAGTGATAAGAGTGTACGCATTTTATCGCTCTTCTCGCTCCCGGGTAACACGCACTCACTTTCTCTGTTTGTTGTGGATGGTACGCCGGGCTTTTGGACTTTATATGCCTTTAGTCCTGTAGAGAATTCTATTACGAACACAATGATACCAAATTGAGAAACCTTGGACGAGAATTGAGGTGACACAAGTTGAAAAGATTATACACTTTTCAGAATTACTGCGCGCTCCCGTGAAACGCTGAGGCCCACCCGGGGTAGTGTGGGTCTCGCGGATGCGGTGCAATAAAGTGTTAAATGATCACAAAATTGGGCATTGAGTTTTGTATGCAATGGTGCCACATGCTCTAAAATTCTTCTAATTTGTGTTTTTATGAATTCCAAGGTTTATAATTTTTCCAATAATAGCCACAGACATGTTAAATCTTCATAATTATAGGGATATACTAGCAGAGACTAATTATCTTAAATGTTTAAAGTAAAAAATTGGGTAAATAAAAACTTTGTCAGTTGCACTTGGTGTTAAAAGATAATTGTAATGGAAATTACTGTTTAATTTATTGTCTTTGAGTTAAGCCTTTGGTAATAATTCTTGACAAATACCTTTAATGAATATAAAGTTAAATGTGATTGGTGTTAGTTCTGGATTTTGAGGAATAAAGTAACTTAATGTGCAGCTCTAAGCGTTTTAATATCATAGAGCTATAACTTTGTCTATAACTAATGCATGCATGTTTGTTGAATGCATGACATTTTCTAGAATGTGGATATAAAATATATAATTAAATATATAACCTTAAATTTTTGTTTATCTTTTTGTTCTTCAGAAAATCCAACTTGAAATCCAGTATCGGTTCCTCACAACTTCCTGGTGTGGATCTCCATTCTACATTTGCTCAGACAGAGCTAGAGAGTACCAGCAGTGCTTTGACCAGTGTACCAGAGGCTGGCCAATGCACAACTCCAGTCACAGTGTCTCGGTTAACAGCACCTGAATCTTCTGTCCTCTCCATGTTCAGCTCTGAAAAACAAAGAAAATGGACAAGTGGTCAACTTCCAGTTATTACCACTGGTTCATTACATAAAACATCCCATGTTTTGATTCAATCAGGGGACACGCACACTATTTCTCCAATGCAAATAGGTCATTCATCAAGAGGTCCTTCTAGTGACAACAAAGAAAATGAAACTACGCCCTTGCGTTTTGTTAGCATGGTAAAAGGCAGTGGTATTGAATCAATTTATGAAACACTGGACTCTGTTATTGCAAGTGATTGTCGTTTGAACACCACTGAATTATTACAAGATCCTGTAAAGTGTTCTGTAAATAGAACTTTTGCCACATCACCTAAGGCAGTCAGCACACAAGTTGACATTTCTGGTATTGCTCCTAACTTGAATGTTACTATTGATGTGCCTTCAAAATTTGATATATCAAAGGCAAAATCTGATGCACCTATTAGCTCATGGGCTGTAAATGCTACCACTGAATTGCCAGTTAATTATGGAGGTTTTCATTCAGTTAAGAACATTCCTCAGCAACCCACAAGTGACAGTGTTCCTGTTGATGAATCATTGTTAATAAATACTTTGGTCTCCAAGGAAACATCATCCTCAAGTACCAGAACAAATTTGTGCATGTCTGATAATAAACAGATGCATAATACAACTATAACTTTGCTGGGACAGAATAGTAAAAGCTCGCAGAATGGAATTAACATTGAAATGACAAAAATGTTGGACCCTGTCATGCCTATTACTGATTTACATTCTGTAGCACAAGGAAACCTAGAAGCTGCAAGCCAGCCCTTGGGCACCATAAAAACATCTAGAATGCTATTCAAATCATCTGCTTTAGATTCAACATTTAGCATTGAAGAACTAAAAGCAAAGGAATATCGGAATGTATCGGAGCTTTCTCCAGGTATGTTTTTGTCTTTTAAATCAATATATTTTCATGTGTAAATGTTGTGTAGTGTTACAGTATAGTGTGTGGAAGCATCAGCCTAGAGAGGGAAGTTTAATACAGGGAAAGATGATCACAAAAAATATACAGTGAAACCTCCATATTCAGACTTGATAGGTTCCTGAAAGCAGGACGAATGCCAAAAAAGTATGAATACTGACACAAATTTTTCCATGAAGAATAATGTAAATTAATCTGTTCTAGACCACAAAAATAAATATATTTATGCAATAAGGAAATTAAATAAATGCTAACACACTACACACATTGCCTGCACTTGGAAAGTTGATTGCATATGTAGTAGAAGCATCGTTATTCAACAGGTTCATAACGGCTTGTCAGAGTTCTGTCAGGGTGATATTTTTCAAGAAAACTTTTCACTTCTATCCCATTTTACACATTTTTTTTTATTTAATAACTAGATTTAGGCATACCAAACTAACGAGCAAACTCACAGGCACCACTTTCATATTTAGCTACGAGTCCTTTCTTTATCTATAGTGTGGTGACAACCATTTTTCTTTTTGCTGTGTTATCACAAACTTTCTTGCATGACAGGCAACTTATTTACACTAAATATAAAAAATATCCAAGAGAAGTGTAGTGGGTTGTGCTCTGAATGATGGCTATGGCATAACTGACGTGCCAGGGATGTGCGTTTACATGTGAATCCGATCAAATGGACGAATAATGGACACGAACACAATGGCCAAATGCAGAAAAGTACAAATTGGGAGTGGTACGAATACCGAGGTTCCACTGTATGTATAATTCCATTAAATAATTCATATTACATAGCAATGTAGCATCATTCACAGAATTACCCTACCACTTAATAAGACCATTGTATAGAGAGCTGCCATTATCTCAGTTTTCATGCTTTATTTTTCCACTTGACTGTTACCTTGTGCTTTACATTTACTCCCTCTCTTGCTATTGCTCAGTTTCATTTTGACAAGAATCCACTACATACAAAAATATTACTTTCATTGCTTGTGTGCATTAAGTTATTTGTTTTCAGTTATGTTATTGTGACGTGTTCTCTCCATCTTACGAATTGGCATAGACAATAAGAATACATTAACTTCATGTAAAGCACTTCACCGAACCTATTCCATTGTCGTATCTTATGCAGTGTTTAAACTCAAGCATTGTTTTCTCAAGCACTTGTATGCTGTTCCCATCTTATCTAATTTTTCTTCCTACCCTTAAATTCTCTAATATATATACAGTACTTTACCTTTCTAATACTATTACACATTACCAGTCTGCTATTGTCTATTTGTTAAGCATGCACAAACCATTTGTGTATGTTTTACTCAATCTTTGTTTGATTTTTGCTGCCATGTACACGTTATTACATGTTAATTTCTTACTCATTACACCACACATACTTTTCAGATTGATATTTACTACAGTACTGTATTTCTTTTTTTCACATATTAAGCCATTGTCTTTCCACCATGAATGAAGATTGGCATTAGCACTTCATGCAGCCCACTTGCTGCATTTCTTCATATCTTTACCTAACAAGGGTTTCCATTACATCAGCCACTTTACTTTCCCATTTTTACCTGTGGCTGTATGGAATGTATGTCATTCCTTGCAGAGGATTCAGTTTCCCCTGAGCTATTAGAGTTCTGTCCAATCCCGAATTCTACTCAGGAAAGATGATCCTTCTGCCTCCTTGGTGGCTGGCCCGGCCTTACAGCACTTCTTGCCCGGTGTCCGAATCCTGGGGATTCCCCACAGCTCTGCTTGTTTCATCAGTGGCCTGACGAATTATATTTCACTGGTTCAACCTTCTCTGCTCTGCACATCTGGAGTTTGGTCTATTGCCATCTGTATGGCACTTAGATAAGTTCTTGCAAGAAGTGCTGGACTAACTAGGCTGTGGTGTTTGTGGGCCTGTTGGACCAAGTTATCACAAGTTGAGCCTGGCCTCGGGCCAGGCTCGGGGAGTAGAAGAATTCCCAGAACCATCTCCAGGTATGCTCCAGTATGGCGAGCAGGTGACTGATTTGTAGGTGTCCCCACCTACATGTCTTTCCTCTCGGCAGCAGTATAAGGTTGCCCTATTCTCATTTGTTATCTTTTCCTGGTTAAGGTTGTCTTTGTCTATTTTGCCTTAGTGGCTTAGTGATTGTCAGCTATCAAAAGGGGACAGCAGAGTTGTTATTGTTTGCCTTTGGTGTTGACACCTGCTCGGCACCTTCTTGAGGTTATCTCGATTTCGGGGCTTGGCTTTGGGACCGCAGCCCGGTCCTCGACCAGGCCTCCTTTTTGTTACACATTCCAGGAAGCAGCCCGTAGCAGCTGTCTAACTCCCAGGTACCTATTTACTGCTAGGTAACGGGCATCAGGATGACAAACATTTTGCCCATTTGTCTCCACCTCCACCGGGGATCAAACCCGGAACCTCAGGACTACGAATCCGAAGCGCTGTCCACTCGGCTGTCAGGCACTAAACACTGATGTCAGAGGGTGGATCATTCTGCAAGTTGTCTCGTACATTTTTCATCTCTAGCCAACTCATTCTCCTGAGCAGTCCGTGTCTCTTGACTAGATTTTGAGAGCTTCAGGCTCTTTTTCTAGAGGTGGGGGTTCTCTTCTGTTGGCCCAGGTGGGTGGTTTGTTTGCAGCCCCTCCTTTTCTGGTGATAATCAAGTTGGCTGGCTTCCAAAGGAGGGGTACTTTGGTGATTTATATTCGGTTGGTTTGGGTCACCATTTCTGTCTCGGTGGACTTTATTGGTTGACCTTTGTCCCCTGTTCCAAGATTTGCATGTCTCATGTTGTCTTCCGTGTCAGTAAGTCTAGCCAGCCTGATGTCTTCTCTCGGGTCCATGGTGTTTGCAAATATGCAGCTTCGGCTGCAGTCTTTTCCAACATGTCTGGGTATGATATTTGGGTTCGGCTTCTGGCAGAGCGGTACTTAATTGATGTTTTCAGGCACAGTCAGTCTTTTTTGCTTTGGGTAGTGTCTCCTGGCCTGGGTTCTCTTCTTTATCTTAGTGCTTGCTGCCTCTCCTATTTTTCAAGTCCCATTTTAATTGTGGTTAGCTTCAGAGAACCACCAGGGAGGCTCTCCTAGAAACTGTGTTAAATGTAATGAAATTCCTCTTCTGATGGGGCTCTAGGAGCTCCCCAATTTCCTCCCTCTGTTTCAGGTTCGTTGCTAGAAAAACAATTTCTGGCAGTTTTATTTTTAATTGTCCTAATTTTTGTTACATTTATATTAATACATTATTGGTTTAATGTTTTCAGGTTGTACATCACTGGGCATGGAGTCTCCAGGCAACTGTAATGGCCAGGGAAGACAGGTATTAGATTCACTTCACCGTCCTCCTCTAATGTCGGTAGAAAATAAGAAGCCACTACTTAATATTCCAGTAACAATTACAACAGATACTCTGGGAACTGATATGATTCCACCATCCAAGGTAAGTGCTGTCAAACATTCTCATCCTACAAAAAGAAATTTGTAAAACAAATTGGAAAATACAATGTGTTTATCAATTTTTACTTCCCCCTCTTTCCTATTAGTTTTTATACGCATTTAAAGTTATGCAAAATTACAAATTTTGGGAATTGCTTTACTTTACTTTGGCAGGAATACAAGGGAAGCTTGAAAAGGCCTTTTAGACCAAGCCCTCAGAAGGGTCCCAGCAGTGTGAATACACCTGGAAAGGAAATGCTTCTCAAAAAGAATCTAACCCCAGGGAAGACCCAACACAGCGGCAACAAAAGTGGCTTAGCTTTCAAGCGGAGTGTCAGCACACCATGTCTAACTCCCTCTAAAATGAGCACTTCAAAATCTGCTAAGTCAATGTATAATGTAAAAAATAAATCCACAGGTAAGACCAAGTATGTTTTCTTGTCAGTTATTGGTAAATATGAATAATTAGTAAAATTGTATTAGTACTAGGTTACAATTTACCTTTTTCTCTTGCACATGCTGCAATATCATACTAGTCAGGAAAAATTCCCAGAAGATGCCTATTAATATGTTTTGCTCTTCAGGCAGGTTTGTGTTTAGAATCTCAAACTTCTCATTCAATAGTTAGTGATGTACCAGAGTGGCAATTGTTACATTGATAAACAAATCTTTCGGTTTTGAGGAATACTTTATATTTTAACTTAACACTTTAGTGCGCGCGGCACTAGCTGGAAAAAAAAGCAGGTTGTGCGCGCGGCGTTCTGGGCGCTCAAGCGTAAACACAAAAAAGTTTATAATCTTTTCACGCTCCTAACATCAATTCTCGAGCTACGTTTTTCATTTTGGTATCAATGCGTTGGCAATAAAATTCTCTACAAGATCATGTGCATAAAATGTCACCCAAGCATTTGCTATCCCACCACGAAGTAAATAAACACGAAGATGACTCGCCGTGACACCCAAACAGGAAGTAAATGTTCATACTCTTTCGTTTGTTGCCAGCCTCACAGTTATCCTACAGCGCTTATTTTGATATCACTGAACTCGCAATAAAATTCCCCACCTAGACATATGCCTATCAATGTCTAATTATTTTCCGCACAAGTGTGGGAACTGGGCGAAGCGTTAGCCGTGATTTCAGCAGCGACGACACTGTTGTGATGCAGCGCTTTGAAAGTTTATACTTATTTCACTGTCATGACATTATTTCTCGAGCTACGTATTTCATTTTTATAGCAATGTGTTCGCAATAAAAAGTTCTATAAGAACATGGGTAGAATTGGCCAGCAGAGCGTCAAATAAATTTGCGGCGAATAAAATCTTACGCGTGTTTGTACCCGTGAGCGTAAAAAGTTTTTACTTTGCTCATGTTTTTTCAAGTTTATACTTGATTCACTCCGTTTTTTTTTTTTTTTGTATAGTGTTCGGAATAAAATTCTCTACACAGACATATGCATATAAATGTAGAATCATGAGCGCGGCCAACACAAGAGTGTGTGGAGTGCGCGATTACCCTCGTTGTGACACCAATTCGATAGTCTCTCCTCTGTTACAATACATTGCCGTTTTCTCAAATAGGCACAGTGCCTATTAGAGAAAACAAAAATTTAATGGCAAACATATTCATACAAACCCCAAGTCGATCGAGTAGTAAATACCCAATATAACACTGTCCGTAAATTTACGTCGTGATCCGACAAGCGGTTAGGGAAACCGCCCGCAAGTCCAAGTCGAAAATCCAGGAAAGTGTTAATTAAAAGGATGAGCCCATAGTTGTCACTAATTAGAAAAATGAAATGTATGTCTACCAACAGCTTTTCTCATGTCATATACCCCACATACTGCCACCAATATTAGTGAAGCTTAGATAGAAAATTGTCAAGGGATTTAAATTTCAAATAGATAAAAGTAAAATAAAATTGTTAGTGGCAACAAGATAATTGCAAAGCAAGAAAATCTCTTAAAAGTACTTTATCACATCTTCACTGCCTATTGTGCCTGGCAAGATTGATAATTAAATTTGTCTTCATATCTGGCAGCATGTAATTCAGTTAAATATGAAGGAAATGGTCTAGTTTATCACTACAGTTATTGTATAAACTTGCAGGGGGTTCATATCAGTTTTAGTCAGATTGAGGGAGAACAAATACATGGTCAAGAATGCCAGAAGGGTACACTGAAACTATTTACAAACTTAATGCTCAAACTCCTAGTTGGTACCTTGATAATAGGAGGGTGGCATGGCTTTCTTAAGATTTGGCGAGTGAGGCTTGTCATGCCTTCTTGATGATGGTAATTCTTCCATACATGGCTACCTGGGTCAAATGAGCATTGGAAGCTTAGTATCCTTGTTGGTCTAAGGAATGTCATTCAGGTTTTCCAGTAGCAACATGTACAGAGTATGGTGTCCCTGATGTCTCATGTGGGTGAGAACTAAATCCTTTACCTTGACCATTTTCAAAGCCATAAACATAATACTGCTCTGTTTATGAATGAGTGAAAATCAGCTGTGATGGCATCGACTTCAGTTATTTTTCTTTATCAAACCTTTGTGCCATCTCGCCCCACAAACTAATATTTTTAAAGTTTCCAAGATAGCTTCTCGCAAGCTAATGTTAATTTGTTATTGTGGTTTGCTCCCAAAGTTCTCATGGCTCTGGTTTTTTTTTTTTTTTTTTTTTATGCTTCTCATCCCTTGATTGAAATTTGTTGGTTATACCTTACTCAAAATGTGCTCTCTAGAAAGGAGGTAATTGAGGTACATTATCACACAATATACAATTATACATGGCAGAAACTGGAAGCCCAATTCCAAATTTGCACGGCAAAATAACAGCATACTGGAACATGAGGTATGGTAAGACATGCAGAACAGACCCAGTGAAGAGTAGAGATGCCATTGGCACAATCAGAGAACACACATTATCAGAGGTTCATGGGTATTCAATATCCTTCCAACAAATATAAGAAATATTGCTGGAACAAGTGGAAGTGTTAGAAACAATTACACAAGTTTCTCACAGGAAATTTCCAGACCATCCAGATTAAAATGACTATGGGTCTGCAGGCCACTCCAAGCATTTTAGATCGTTATCACAAGACAAGGCTGTTGATAACTTGACCAGGCTGGGGGAGGGGGACAAACTCCCCCCCCAAAAAACTCTAGATATACTATCAGATGAGTAGTTTTGGCTTTGCAGCCACATTGATGTTGCCTTCAATAACCTTGTGGATGCTGCTGCTACTAAATATAAAGTTTGTCCCCACGTCCCAAAAGTGAACTCCTAATATTTTTACCATCATTCATAATGCAATCCTCGCCCATTGTATAAATAAATAATGAGCTAATACATATAACGAGTTGCGTACCATTAAATATGACCTCTTTCCATCAAAATAGAGAGCGTGGATTCTGTGGCTAGGTTGTATTGGCCAAATAATTGAACAGGCTTAAACCTTTCTGCATTTAGTTGCTCACCATCTCTTGTCCTGATTATTATTATCAGGAAATTTTGCTCTTCCACTGTTCATCTTTCATCTAGCCCATCTTCTACAGTTTCCATATCACAAATTATTTACTAACTTCCCAAACCCTAACTGACAGTCCATGCATAGAAAACACGGTTGTTTATGAGCTGCTGTGATTGACAGTACATAATGTTTTGTCTATTAGGGATTTTGACATCAAATTGCAATGTATTACTCTAGAGGACAGATTGGTGCATCTGCACTGATGCCTTTCCACTTCGTGAAAATGGAAAATGCTGTAAAGGCAATGCTTGTGCAGACACACTAGGCGATGAATACCTTGACTTCCCTCATGCAATTGAACATTACCAAGTTACTTTTATTTCAGCTTTTCTGACGTTAATTTACATAGTTCATCATAATTTTATCTATTATAGGATTTGGAAAAGCTCTTCATAGAACAACTAGCTTTTTAAGGCCAAAACCTCAAGTTGGCAACAATCATGATGATGGTCCACCTTCAACACGCAAAGTTCTTCCTCAGAGTGCATCTTTGATGGGTCGTAAAGATGCAGTCTTGACTTCTGCCAAACATTCTTCCAATAACTTATAAACCATGATGGTTGAGTTACTATTATTCTGTTGGAGTTGATTGTAAATTAAAGGGTCCAAGTCTTTTGGTTAATTATATTGTAAATTACTTTATCCAACTTTATTTTAATTAATTGGATCTTAGAGTGTTAAATTTAATAAAAAAATTTACAACAAAAAGGGTAGTAAAATATATTTGAAAAATTATATTTTCTATTATATATGTACAAAATATATTTAATGTAGTTTGAAATAAATATATACTGTAACTTGTTTTTTATTACGCTTGGTGGGACAAGGAAGTTGATAACTTAACCCCTATGGCCAAATGGGCGTCTGTCATTGCATTTTTTGTTTAATAATAATAATAATTTAATAAAACATTTGCATGAAAACAACCTTGAATGGGTCTATTTTGTGCAAATTGTTTTCCTGCATTTGCTCGCCCTTATCACGTCAAGGAGTCACTCATTAAGGGTGTGTGTGTATGAGAGGAAGAGGAGATAGTGAGGGAAACCTGGGCACCGCAATCTCCTCCGATCTTGTCGTTTATACATATAGTAAATAACATATCAAATAACATAGTGCTCCGAGGCACCCACTCGGACCTGGCTCCATTTGTGGTAACTTCTTGCTATGAAGTAGCCAAGCTTTAACCCAACTTGGGATAACACCCCAATACCGCCTTTCAATAATGCTGCTTCGAGAGACTCGTGAAGCTCTGCCAACTATATTATGTCACTCCTTGGCCTTTTCATTTGCATGTATTATACAAAAACATACATAATAACCGTTTTCTCCTTTAAAAGGCAAATCATAGATTTCAAAATTTTATTTTCAATTTACATTGCATTTGTATATGCATTAACAATTTACATTGAATTAACAATTTACAGTGCATTAACAATTTACATTGCATTAACAATTCATTAAGAATTCAGCATTAAAAGTTTGTTTTTATTAATTACTTGCGTTTCAGTATATGCATAATGACTATAATTATGCAGCAACGATTAAGCAGATAATGCTAGGATTTTCAAGCATTATTTCATTAAAATGAAAGCAAGAACATCCCAATTAAAAAAAAAGGTTTAAATAAAACAATTAAACAAATACTAAATGCATGTTAACATATTAGAATTAAAAACTAAAATGCTAATTTATCAAAAAAAATGCAAAATGATGTAAAACGAGACGGTAAAGCCACTTCTATTATCAATCCTGAAAATAATCATTACAGTCCAGTAGAGAGAAGTGTTCCTCCTGCTGCAGCTGTCCCAGAATAACAATACTGTGGTTCATCGGTGCTGTATGACCATGTAACTCTTGTTTACACAATCTGGGCCGTCCGGGTGACGAACAATCGCATACGCAAAACTTAAAACTTTTACTAGCAACATGGGATGTCTTGCAATTCGATACTAAGCGTTATAGACAGCTGACTTTGCAGTATGGGATAGAACGCCTTTTGATATCCTTCGTTATGCTGCTATAAATTAAGCATTAGCCAGAGGACAGTGTTAGAGAAAAACTAAGTTTCATATTTAGGCTCAAACTGCTTCGTAGTGGAGCCTCAATGCATTGTAGTGGGGATGTTTTAATTGAGAGTGGAGCCCCCATACATGGAGGTGACGCTTCCTTGCTTGGTGGTGGAGCTGTGCATTTTGGATGTCACGCTGCGCTTCTCGTTGATGGTACACCGCTGATTTGTAGTGGGCCAGTCCTGCTACGTAGTGAAAGAAGGATGCGTCGAATTGGAACAGCGCCGATGGGCCGTGGAGCAGCGCCGATGGGCCGTGGAGCAGCGCCGATGGGCCGTGGAGCAGCGCCGATGGGCCGTGGAGCAGCGCCGATGGGCCGTGGAGCAGCGCCGATGGGCCGTGGAGCAGCGCCGATGGGCCGTGGAGCAGCGCCGATGGGCCGTGGAGCAGCGCCGATGGGCCGTGGAGCAGCGCCGATGGGCCGTGGAGCAGCGCCGATGGGCCGTGGAGCAGCGCCGATGGGCCGTGGAGCAGCGCCGATGGGCCGTGGAGCAGCGCATTGTTGATATAATAATTAACCTATATCTAACTATTAAGACTGTAATTTGCTAAGCTTAAGGAATATTTTAGGTTCAATTCCTGAGGCCATTATGTGCCTCTGTAACCTTTTCCACTACCACCCAGCCAGAGGATGTGTATGGGGCGCATAATGAGTTTAACTAAACTAAAATAAAGGTTCGCTGCTGGCCTTGACAACTTTATTTGGTAATTTTGTATTGTTGCATGAATAGGGCTCAATTACGAGAGCTGGGGCCCTCGATACTTTCCCATTGTCAAGGACGCTTCCTGTCCTTGACAATGGTAAAGTGGTTCAGTTAGTTGAATTCATTTATTATGCACCCCATACCCATCTTGTGGGCGGTAGTGGAAACGGTCATCAGTGGTGATTGACTGCATACCCATCCTAAACACGGTAGTAGATCAAATACCAATCCTATGAGTAGTAGTAGATCAAATACCAATCCTATGAGTGGTAGTAGATCAAATACCAATCCTATGAGTGGTAGTAGATCAAATACCAATCCTATGAGTGGTAGTAGATCAAATACCAATCCTATGAGTGGTAGTAGATCAAATACCAATCCTATGACTGGTAGTAGATCAAATACTAATCCTGTGAGTGGTAGATCAAATACCAATCCTATGAGTGGTAGTAGATCAAATACCAATCCTATGAGTGGTAGTAGATCAAATACTAATCCTGTGAGTGGTAGATCAAATACCAATCCTATGAGTGGTAGTAGATCAAATACCAATCCAATGAGTGGTAGTAGATGAAATACCAATCCTATGAGTGGTAGTAGATGAAATACCAATCCTATGAGTGGTAGTAGATCAAATACTAGTCCTGTGAGTGGTAGTAGATCAAATACTAATCCTGTGAGTGGTAGTAGATCAATACCAATCCTATGAGTGGTAGTAGATCAAATACTAATCCTGTGAGTGGTAGTAGATCTAATACTAATTCTATGAGTAGTAATGAACCCCCATATCCATCCTGTGAGTGGTAATGATGTATCCCATACCCATCCTGTGTGAGGAAGTAGACCTATCCTATACCTCAGCCATCCCATGTGAGGTAGTGAACTTCATACCCAGTTATGAACGGTAGTGGACGCCATGCACATCCTGTGAGTGGCAGCGGACCCCACATATCCTAGTAATTGAGTGGCAGTGGAACACATTACTGAGGCACATAGTGGGCCCAGAAACTGAACCCCCAATATTCGTCTAACTATATACGTATGTCTCAGTATTGACGAGCTAGTAACATAGTTTATTAACATGTGTGTGTGTGTGTGTGTAAACTGCCGTCAAATTTTCAATTTGTAGATATTTCGCTAGTAAATACTACATTAAGATTTTCATATAAATGTTAAATATAATCGCAGATGAATATACGCTTTGTATATGTTTCGACACACAAACGAACAATAACGCAACCTCAGCCAATGAAATATGAAAATAGAGAGAAAACATAATCTTATCATATAGACCAGATAATAGACTAGGCTACCTCCTGGCACGTCTGATTGCTAGGCGTCCAGCTCACCTACCAACATGCTCCCTACAGTTAATGTGCTACTTGCATTACCAAAATATTGTACAGATATCTTCAGGATAGGTAGTGGTATCCACGATGGTCCTATCCTAATTGTACTCAACTAGTTGTAGCTCATCCCCTATATATCAGCCAATGTATAGGTGCTGTAAGATAAATGATGTTCTGCATGCTTATCATGGGTAATCCTTTAGACTATTTGAATTATTATTATTATTATCATTATTATTATTATTATTATTATTAATCAGAGAGTAATCATACTAACGTGACTGCTTCGAGTAACTTTATTGTGATTACTCTGTGTGAGTTGAAAGAGGAACGTCAGAGGTAGAACATTCCTAGATGACAGTGGCAGAGTGCATGGGGAATGGGGGGGGGGAGGGGATTATGTGAAAATCCTCTCCCAACATCAGTAGAAGCCTCAGAAAATCCTTGTGTGTTCTGTAGAACTCCGGGTTATTATCCTTATTACCATGTCATGGTGTAGTGACTAGAAGCGTAATAGTGGCTTTAGGCATTGTATGTACTAGCTCCTATCTATAAAGCCAACAAACTTTGTAAAATCTCTTTATGTATGTACCTTTGCCTAAATAAAAATTATTATTATTATTATTATTATATTATTATAGTGGCTTTAGGCATTGTATGTACTAGCTCTACCTATAAGTCAAACAATCCTTGTAAAAATTTATTGTATGTATGTACCTTACCTAAATAAAATTGTATTGTATTGTATTGTAAGCATGTGCGTAGGAACACCCACCGCATAGCTTCGAACCCTCATCACTGCTCTTACGGATTTTCCCATTAATATTGTTATTAGTATTTTATTATTATTAATTATTACAATTATATTACCGTCATGTGCGGGCAATAGTCAACTGAGGGTCCCAGGTACTATTCTCGCGGCAGGACATCTGTTTGACCAGCGTTTCCTTACACCTGATGCCGCTGTTCACCCAGTAGTAAATAGGAACGCACATGATTTGTGGAACTAATTACCGCGTAACGGGGGGAGGGGGGGGGGGAGAAATAGCCTAAGCTGCTCGATCCCTTTGAGATGTATTTTTTCTTCTTGAATTTGGTGGAGGTGGGGTCCCTTGATTGTGTCAAACGTGGGCTGGACATGTATATGAGTGGAATTGTGTGGTTATAAATAGGAGCTGCCTCGTGTGGGCCAATAGGCCTTCTGCAGTTACCTTTATTCTTATGTAGCTAGTTAAGTGTGGTGGCATGAATCCTGGTAAACGTCAAGTTCAAGTATATTTATTGAAACAAGAAAAAATACATCTCAAAGGGATAGAGTAGCTTAGGTTATTTCTACCCCCCCCCCCCCCCTGTCTCTACTTCAAGTCCCTCAAGGGGCGCACAAATTCAGTAAGTACAAATAGACAATTAACATTACAAGAATCCCATTTAACATTTGCAGGTTAATATAGTAAGCACCGTATATAAGTGTTACACTCTTAGGGCAAAATTCTTGTAGCTCCTAAGTATCCTGTCTATCATACCATTATCACACATCCAAACAATTTGATGTGATACACTACTTATTTCCTTATTTCTATAGTCAATAAGTTGACACGTTAATACATAATGTTCTAAGGTGTGGGCGTGCGGCATTCTACATAATTTACACTCCTTATCTTTTTCACTGACATCAACACCTTCCAAGTAGACCTTCCTCTACCATAGGTGAAGGACGAATTTGTATTTATTATTGAATAATTCTTAAGTGTGTTACTACTGTCCACCATTGCCATTATCTTTACCATTTCTTCACCCTCTTGGATCATCTTGATTCTTGTTTTTATTTGTTTCAAGGTTATCTGACATACAACATCAACAAGTTTTTTCCGTGGCTCTCTTCGCTATCTCATCAACTACCTAATTCAACAGTATTCCCACATGTACTCACCTAGTTGTGTCTGCAGGATCGAGCATTGACTCTTGGATCCCGCCTATCGAGCATCGGTTCTTTACAGCAATGACTCTGGTCCTATTTTCCTATCATACCTAGTTTTAAAATTATGAATAGTATTTGCTTCCACAACCTTTTCCTTAAGTGCATTCCATTTTCCCACTACTCTCACGCTAAAAGAAAACTTCCTAACATCCCTGACTCATCTGAGTTTCCAGCTTCCACCCATGTCCCATGTTCCACCGGTCCTATTTTCCTATCATACCTAGTTTTAAAATTATGAATAGTATTTGCTTCCACAACCTTTTCCTTAAGTGCATTCCATTTTCCCACTACTCTCACGCTAAAAGAAAACTTCCTAACATCCCTGTGACTCATCTGAGTTTTCAGCTTCCACCCATGTCCCCTCGTTCTGTTACTATTCCGTGCGAACATTTCGTCTATATCCACTCTGTCAATCCCTTTGAGTATTTTATACGTTCCTTTTATGTTACGTTGTTGGGTTGATTAGATACACAGTGTTTAGTGAGTTTCATATTTATTTAGTAGTCCTGGATACAGCAGTGTCGTAGACGTTGAGACGAAGCCTGGAGCAGAGCAGAGAGCTGAGTGAGGCCGGAGTCGTGGAGCTCTTTGTGGGAGAGCGTGGCGGCTCAATTGGGTATTGTGAGTGTCTGAACTCGGGGAGCGAGAGCGTGGCGGCTTGATGCGGTCGTAGTCTGCTGTCTGCTCTGTGTCGAAGCTGTAGCGTCTTGGGTCGATTAGAACTGCACACGCCGAGTGCTACATTGTTGACTGGAAATTGTACTGTCCGCTATTCAGATTGATTGATGAAGATTAAGCCACCCAAAAGGTGGCACGGGCATGAATAGCCCGTAAGTGGTGGCCCTTTTGAGCCATTACCAGTATCAAGAGCTGATACTGGAGATCTGTGGAGGTGGGAAAGCACCCTGCATGACGGGAGATGTCTCCCTTGTGAATGTATTAAGATGAAGATTAAGCCACCCAAAAGGTGGCACGGGCATGAATAGCCCGCAAGTGGTGGCCCTTTTGAGCCATTACAAGTATCAAGAGCTGATACCGGAGATCTGTGGAGGTGCGACTGTACCCTGCGTGACGGGAGATGTCTCCCGTCAAAAAAAAAAAATAAAATAAAAAAAAATAAAAAAAAAAAGGTCCGCTATTCATCAAATCGCTTGCTTATATGGTGATTACACCTCAGCTTCCTCCAACAAGATGAGAAGAGTATTACCTGTAATTGGGGAAAGGATTGTAGCTTCTGTAATTAGTACTAATTAGTTATGCTATTAAGATAATGAGATAATGGAGCGAGTATTACGACAATAATAATAATAATAATAATAATAATAATAATAATAATAATAATAATAATAATAATAATAATAATAATAATAATAATAATAATAATAATAATAATAATAATAATAATAATAATAATACGACTGGTCCAGTGGTACAATATGCGGCTTGCACTGCCTAGGTCGTAGGTTCGCGCCACCTCATAGCCCTAGAGGATTTTCTTAATAATAATTATAATAATAATCATAATAATAATGATGATATAATAATAATAATATGCTATTTTGATTTATTATAGGCATTAAGTGAAAGGAAATGTTGCCCAAACGGTTGTGTCCTGCTGTGGCAAGCGAACCCAGACCCTGGGCTATGACCCGACTGGGCTGACTACTGCGCCATAGGACCCATTGGTTTTGATTAATTATACGCTATGCAGTGACTGTGCTCCTAACCTTTCTATATGAAGGATTACACATAGTAAATATATAGGTGATGGACGCTAAGCTCACCTAATAAATCTATCTCATAGGAAGGTCATCTGACAGCTCCAGTCTTGTAGCCTATGTTAGCAAACTTTGGGTACACTATTACATAACTTTAATGCTTGAGGGAATTAAACAGTTGCAAAGCTCTAGTTATCTCATGCTATTTGGTCCTAGATCATCGAAGACCAATAATAATAATTATAAAAACAATAATGCTAATTATTGTTCCTTTAATTATACAATAAATATTTCACATTACCCGCTCAGCTGATTGGGAATGAACCAGGTGTGCCAACAGTCGGCTTGTCTGCACCCGTCTTGTGCCAAGAAGGCTTCAGTTACTAAAACTTTACCACTTGGAAGACTTACATAGATAAGAATAAGAAATAGTCATTGGTAAATATGAGTGCACTAGCTTTGCATTATAAGTAGAAGTATACAAGAGGAATCAAAATGAAAGTTGGGGGGTGTTGGCACACATGAGAGCAAAGTTTCACAAATATACCGCCAGGTAGCGAGAAGAAAACAAGAGATGTTTGGGAAGGAAGCTGCACACATTTTTTAGTCGTGTGAGTTAATTTGGGTAACTTTTGGGTGTTTGAGGCGTGTGGAGAGAAGCAGAGAAGCAGTAGGTAAGGTTTTAGAGGGTGGTGGTGGGCGAGGAAGGGAGGGGAAGCTATGTGGGGCGCCTGTGGCTGTCACCTGGATCGGAATGTTTACGCTATACAGTGTAACACGTAGTCAAGTGGCTGGGGGGGCCTCCACAGGTTAGGTGTGGGGGCGGCCGCCCCCTCCTGGCACACACACAATGGGTCCTGGAGGGGGGGCGGCAACCCACTCCACACGTGAACAAGTAGAGTCCAGAAACATGCTATATATAATAATTCTCACACTCCACACATGAAATTTAAGTAAATATTGTTTTGTAATTCCAATAAAAATAAAAAAAACATCACTCATCCAGAAGGAACATGTCTGAATGATTTGGTTTGGATTTGTCTTGTGTTTTCTACACTGACAAAAGACCAGTTTTGTATGTGTTGTTTTTTATATATTAAAGTCAACCATGTCTGTTCTTGTGTCAAGATTTAGTGGAAGATGGATGGCCAACTCGTCATACCCATTGTTCCTTCCATAGAAAACTAAAATTATATTGTATCCAAACACATTGGTGACCCAAGTATTGATCCCTAATATTACTGCCTTGGTATCGATATAACCATTATATTGTTACTTCGCTTTCATGAAGTTATTGGGTTTCTTTGTGTTAAGGATCCATAAATAAATGCATTTCACTATGAAAAAGATATGTTACTGTATTTTAAATGCGGTGTAGTATTAGTGCATTTAAACATAAATCTCTCACAGAACTTCTGTATCCTATATTATTTAGGTACATAGGACAATAGGTTTTTTTTTTTTTTGGTCGAGATATCCTTGCCTTACCTTGAGGTGGTTTTGAGGATCAGTGTTCCAATGGCCCAGTTTCTGACCAGGTCTTCTGGTTAGTGGTTTTGTGGCTGTTTGTTAATGCTGCTTGCAGTCTGATGTATGAATTACTGTCCAGTTCATCAGGTATCCTTCAGGTGTGTTTATAAAACTCCCTTTTGAACACCATAAAGGGTCGGCTAGTTTTACCCCCTCATGTATAGAGGGAGGGTGTTAATAGAATTCTCTCTTAGCATACTTATTTGCATTATTACTTTTTAATGGGGCCGCTTTGCATTTTCTGCAATGCCTCCTTGTTTCATTAGCAATTATTTCTGTGTGCAATTTAGAACTAGATCCTCTAATATTTTTCCAAGTGTAAATTCTCTTGCCTGGGAAAGATATTAAGTAGTTCCAATAATTTGGATGTTTTATTGAAGGGATTTTGGCAATAACAGTTCTTTGCACATTCTTGAGGTCAGCAACTGCTCCAGCTCTGAATAAGGCTGTTACTGTGCAACAATATTCCAACATAGATACTGTAGATAGTCTTTAAAATTATCATCATTGATTTGTTATCTGTTGTTTGAAAGGTTGCTATCCTGCTTATCATTTTTCTTGCAGTTGTGATAGGTACTTTATTTTGGTCTTTAAATGTTAAGTCTCCCAATATGATTTCTTCCTATACTGTGGTGTGACTTGACTGAGTTTTACAATATACTGTATTTGGTTTCTGTTTTTATTTACTTTTATCATATTGCTGGAACTTGTCTTTATTGAACATCATGTTGTTTCATGCGGCCCTTTGAAAGACTTGGTTGACATCAGTTTGAAGGTTTGTTATATTCTCCATTCATTAGTGTCAATCCTCAGAAAAAATCCTAGTGTCATTTGCAAAGAATGACTCAGTACTATAGTTTGTGTCCTTGTTTATGTTTCATATAAGAATAAAAAGAGTACTGGAGCCAGCACAGTACTCTGGGGAACTTATCATTTCAAGGTGGATGATGTCGATTTTAGTTTGTTAAGAATACTGTATTACTGTTTGGGTTTTGTTAGGAAATTAATGATCCATCTTCATACTTTGCCAGTAATTCATTTTATGCACATTTTTTATGCAATTACACCATGGTCACATTTGTTGAAAGCTTTGTGAAGTCTGTGTATATCAGAGTTTTGTCTGTCTTTCATGGCATCCAATGCCATATCACAGTGGTCTAGTAATTGTGAGAGGCAGGAGCCCCTGCTCTGAACCCATGTTGTTCAGGGTTATGTGTACATTGTAACTTGTGTTTTGTGATTTTACTTGGCACACTTTTATGATGTGTGATATTAGTGCTATTGGTCTATAATTCCTGGAATCTAGGCCTAGAGCAAAGTTCATGGGCATGCTGTGTATGGCTACCTCAATGTCCAATGGAGTTAGGATGATATCCAATATATGAATCAAGGGTGGTGTCACATTCATGAAGAAGTCATATGGGTTGGGGATCTTCAATGTGTTTAGAGGTTCACTGAAACAAGAGTTGTACTGTATCTTCAGTATGTCACTTGATTCTTTGTCATTTGTGAAAATTCCATTTTCCATTGTGCAAAGATGCCATACTAGATAGCTTTTATCTAGAATTTGCATATATGAAATATTTTGGGTTCCTTTTGATTTCACAGACAGCATTTTCTTTTCTTTGTCCTTCATGGATTTTGTGATTCTTGCAGCTTTAGTTCGATCCTATTTCTCTACATAACTTTCTTGTTGCTGACAAGAGAGTTGGGTGCTTGAGTAGTTCTGTGATTTGTTTTCTTTGCCTATAGAGGGAATGCTGCAGGTCAGGAGGGAATGTGCAGGTCAAGTACAAGTACAGTAAGTTTATTGAGAAAATGAAATACACTTCAAAATGATAGAGTAGCTTAGGTTATTTCATCCCTCTATGCAGGTCCATACTTGTCTGGATTTCAATTAGATTGTGATATGAGTAATGTGTAGCATATGCTCCTCACACAGTGTTCTTTATGTGGTTTTCAGGTGACAGTTTTCTTTCCAGAACCTCACTCCTAGATCTCTTTCTTTATCAGAATTCATTAAAGTTTTTCACATAATTTGTAGGTTTCTGTGTGGCCTGTTTTCTCCTATTCTACTGTCCATAAATTGGCATTTATTCACATTCAATTCCATTTGCCAAGTGTTGCTCCATACACTTATTTTGGTGATTGGTTGTGGCGTAGTGTTGAATTTCTACACAACCAGTATGGTGGGTGATTGTTTACCCGAGTTGCTGCTCTAAGTAATGGTTGTTGATACTGGTATTGTACTTATTGATAGAATTGACATTTGTACTTTTTGTTTTATTTTTATAGACCTGTGCTTGGGCTATTTAGATATAAAATAATGTAATGTAATCCAACATAAAATAACCGATACTTAGATCAGAAACAGCTCAGACTACCTGGATTTTTTCGTAAATGTGATTCGTGCCATTTCATGAAGTGCAGCGAGCTGCTAAGTTTTGTTTAATACTGTATTGGAAATAGAATGGTCTTACCTAACCAAATCTCTCTCTCTAGGCTAACTTAGCATTGCCTAGTATTGTACATTAGCCTTACCTTACCCTTTCCTTTCGATAATTCTGGGAATCGGCGTCCCTGTGGCCCTGGTCTCTGACCAGGTCTCCTGGTTAGTGGACTTGTCAAACAATCTATTTAATGTGGCTGCTCGCAGCCTAATGATTCACAGCCTGGGTAATCAGGTATCTTTTCAAGGTGTAGCTGAGAAAAATTCAAAATTAAAGTGACCAAAGAATGTAGCAAATTCTATAGGAGTATCAAAATTCAGAGTGTAAAGAGTTTAAAAGTAGTTAAACAAATAACAAGAAAAAGTTCCTCTTCATTCACAAGTGAGGAAAGCACATTATAGTATTTAAAATAGTAAATGACTTAATATATAAATCTCTTATAAAATTAATTTAGATTATTTGTGGAATAAGTTTGTTATTTTATTGTATACACTAGTTCAAATGAGTGTCTGCTGTTGCCCATACTGTTTGTCACTGCCCAGAATGTCCACTTGCCTGAGCTGGCTTGTGGCAGCCTGAGCCTCAGGCATCTGTTCTTGCAATCACTGCTCACTGTACAGTACTGTATATCTTACTATAATATGTAAAGGTGTATTAGTAAATAGTCTTTTTTTTTTGTAAGTACAGTACAGTACAGTATAATATATGTTTATCCCAATTTCAGATTATTCGTCTTCAATGATGACTTTTCTACATATGCTGTGGCCAGGCTAAGGATGTTTTCCTTGCGTATAGTAACAGTTGACCATTATCAGGGGACGCCTGTAAATGGTTTGGATCCCCAGTATTCGACTTTTCGGGGAGCTCCAGTAAAGCGTGTTCCAGTGTTACGTATCTTTGGTGCCACACCTGCAGGTATGTCTTGGCTCATTAAATTAATATTGTGATTGCAGAAATGTTACACAGTTCTTTAGTGTGAATAAACCAGCAAGATTATTTACAGCAGTTGTCGTTGATAACTTACAAGTAATACTGTATTCATATTGTGTGTGCTTCATTAGTATGTGTAACTCCTATCCCTACAATTGTACATTACTCTTTTGTTTTTTGTACGCACATTCTTTTGAATAAAAATTATTATTAGGATTATTGTTGTTGTTGTTTAAATAAAATGCGTTGAATATAAAATTAAATTTCTGACACCCAGGACAAAAGGCCTGCCTTCACATCCATGGAGTTTTTCCATATATTCTGGTCCCATATGATGGAGCCGAGCCTATCGCCCGTCTCGTGTATACTCTGGCTGCTGGTGTGGACCGGGCGCTTAACATTGCCTTGGGCCATGCTACTTCCAACACACATCATGTATATAAAGTTACACCAGTGTCTGGCATGTGAGTATTAGTGTTCGAACTCCCTTTTATGGTGAGGGACATTTTATTCTTTACTTCATACAATGGCAATGGCAAAAGTGCTATTGGCTGCCCTGTCTAGTGGCTGTATTAAGACAGGAAACTCATGGCTTTTTTCTTAATACAGCAGTCTTCAAATGTTTTGTTATTTTTATTGTTTAACTTTAGTTATGGATGTCGCAATAGAATACAACAATATGTAATTTTAATTATACATAATTTGTAATAAAAAAATTGATAGATATTTTTTAAATCATTAATAGTTTGTGTTAAAAACTATTATATTTGAGTTAAGATATTCTGAAAAAAAATTCAAGTTGGTTTAGATTTACTGTAAGCTGGGAAGTTTCACATTATTGGGGACCGGGACTCTGCTAGGCTTTTTGGCATACGCCTGGGCCGTTGGCTGACCTTTCTCAGGATACAACCCACAACAGGTACCTAATTACTCCTAGATGAATGAAGGTATTAGGTGTAAAAAAAGTGAACCCAGATGTCTCTTCCTGCTTAAGAATTAAACCCAGGACCAATCGGTTGTGGGTTGACTGCAAGATCAGCTACATATCGGAGGGGGTTTTGCTATTAACTAGTGGCAATCATTTGTTCAGTTTATATATTTAAAAGGAAATAATTTAAAATTTTAATGTGTAATGAATTTTAATACAATAAAATTGTTGTATGTTGTACTATTATTATTTATTTGTTTGTCCATTCATAATAATAGGGAACTCTTATGTTATGCATGTGTTTCTGCTTTTAAATTAGAATGAGCATAAAGTTCTGTAATTGATATGCATTGCATTACCCTCAGGTGTTCAACACTTGAAAGTTTAATATGAGTGTTGCATGTTTATTTTGACTATTGGAGTTAAGTGTATGGACATGGCAGTGACTATCATTTTTTTATTTCAGATAAAACCATAAAAGTGATCACAAAATTTTGCTAAAAAGTGTTTTTCATTTCAGACCATTTTATGGATACCATTCAAAGGAGCACCAGTTTCTTAAAATTTTCTTCTACAATCCACTTATTGTAAAAAAGGCAGCAGAACTTCTTCAAGTAAGTATTTAAGCTTTGAATTTTATTACATAGTTTATAATTGTTACTGTTATTTTTACTGCTGCTGTTTGTCATTACGCTGTGTATAAATATTGTCTTTATACAAGATGTCCCAAGATTAAATACTGTATCTGTTTTTATGAAACAAGATGAATCTATTTAAAAAACCCACAATTTCATGTTTTTTACCTAATTATAATACAAAAGCAGAAAGATTTGTAAATCAGAAGTCAAATCTATATTTAGAACTTTCAATGTGTGTTCTGTCTGTATCCCTGTATATTTCAAATCTAACCTTAGCATTGCAAAACACATTTTGAAGCATGTCATTAGTTATGTCCTGCACAGCCAGCTGATTGTGACGATGTACCTCTGTTTTTATGAACCCCCATACAAAGAAATTTAGGGGCAAGATCAGCTACATATCGGAGGTGGTTTTGCTATTACTGTACCTGTAACTAGTGGCCATCATTTGCCACTAGTTAATAGTCAAATCCAGAGAACACAGAGGCCAAGGTCGAGGCTCTCCACATCCAATCCACTGATTGGGAAAGCATCTATTGAGATGTTCTAGAACAATTAGTGTATAATGACATGGTGCTCCATGTTGTTGAAATACAACATTATCAAGAATGCCATCGTCAAGAAGCTGTGGTTCGAGAAACTGCTCAAGCACATGAAGTTAGATGGTATCTGGTACAGATGCTTCATGAAAGAAGAATGCCCCCCAAAATTTTGGATTTAGTCATTCCAAGCTACTTGTTAACTTTTGGAGTCTGCCATGCTATGAATTCAGATTTTTTTTTTTTGAGATCAGTTTTTGATTCAGATCGGACTGGATATAACAACTGTGTTGATTGATATTACCACATGTGTGGAAAGTCACCTCATCTCTGAATAAGATTTTATCCAATAAACCTTCATTATTAATTTGATCCACAAATTCTGAATGCCTAGCTGCTCAATTTGCATACTTCTCTTAATTTAGAGCATGCGGTACATGAATGTGATGAGCCTTTTTCATCAGTGTTAAACACAAGATTCTATGAACTGTTGTCTTGGATATGTTGAGTCTTCGACTGGCTTTCCTAACCGACGGTGTTGGTTTCTTCCTCAAACAATTGTCACACAACTTCAATACCGTCACGTTCTGATCTTGGGTGTCCTTTTCCCATGTTGTTGTGTACAGGTCCAGTTCTTTTAAATTTATTAACAAGTTCTCAAATCAATTTTGTCTGTAGGACTGATTCTGTGAAATTTCCTTGTAAATCTTTCTCTGATTTCATTATATCACAATCCTTTCATATGGGATGTCACAACGAAGGTGCATTCTTATGTATTTGTTGTTTGAGTTAAGGTTCTGAAACGAGTTGAAATAATTTAGAAAATTTACATTTAAAACACATTAAACATGATAAACATTAATAAACATGAGTTTTTTTTTAAATTCATCCAATTTCATAGAAAAAATTGCTAATTCTGGGACACCCTATATAATATTCAACTGCTGTACCTACTAAAGTAACCACAGTAAGCTGTTCCTTTGTACAGCATATTTATAAATATAATATTATATTTACAACTTAAATTGAAAGATAAGTGTATTATAATTGGTATAAGAATGTTAGGTTTATTTAGACTGCTGAACACCTGTTTATTACAGCCAGAATTGCAAATATCCATATCAGTTGTTATGAATAAAGCTTCTGATTATTCATGAAAGGCTGTGATATATCTTGCAATTATCTTCAGTGAATAATTAAATAATTCAGGGGCTAAACATTCTAAAATGTTCTTTACATGCATTTTGCTTTTGTAGCAGTTACACTATTTTTTTAAATATTTTTTTTTTATATTTAAATATTAAGTAAATATAATTTATTTGAAAGCATATCACTTGATGACTAGATTTTGCAGATTAAGAATGAGAGGAATGTTATGGTGCAACAGGGTTTATTGCACATTATTTACAAGGGTACTCAAGTTCATCATTTTCGTATTGATGCCCTGGAATAAGTTCATTCATATTACAGTGCAATCTCAATTTGGCAAATCTTATTTCAGCAAATATCTGATTTCAAGACTCATTTTCCAGGACAGATATACTCATCCGCTTTGATGAGCAAGTGTTTGTTAACTTGGTGGAGCAGGGGATGTGGGGGTTTGCTTAGGAAGTAGGCCAGAGTTCACTAATCTGTGGGAAAGTTGTCCATTATATGATAGGTCGAAATAAGAATTTCACTCGGTGAAATTAGCCCTTAGAGCATGGAAAATGTTAGGGTATTAATGGGAACACTAAGACAATCAATAGGAACCATGAGGAGGTTTCAAACTTGCTCACTTGGTACTCCCAACCTAGCACCCTAGATCACTGTTAGAAAATCCTGCTCATTTTTCTCATTGATACATCACGTTAATGTGATTTCATTACGTGAATGGGTAACACACTTAATATGGCTCCAGTCATGTTTGTAATGATTTTCGTAGATGAATGCAACATTAGAAGACAGAGTTGGAGCCTTGGGAAATCCATTGGGCACATTTGAAAGCAAATTATGTGAGTTTACATTTTGAAATGTCATGGGTTTTGTTCATTAAAAACATTTTGAAAAAGAGGTTTTGATGCTAGGGCATGGGAAATATACCAGATGTGATTAAGTCTCTTTACAGACAGGTTCTTTTTGTAGATGTCCCTCATATAATAGGTTGAAATTAAAATTTCATTCAGTAAAATTAACCTATAGAGCATGGGAAAAGTAAGTATGAATGGTAGCGCTCTTAAAATCATTCCATTCACGTTTTTAATGATTTTTGTAGATAAATGAAACAGTATTTGAGAGAAATAATGTATTTTTCCTTTCTTAAAATTTTTTCATCACCACCCAATTGCCTCCTGAAGCATCTATAGTTGCTATGAACCCCTTATTTCAAATTGATCCCATATAGTTCGGTGAATCAAGATTTCCCTGTAATTTACTACTGTACTACAGAAAAGATAAATTTTTTTTTAGTTAATTAACTTGACAAATATTCTAGTTTGCTGGTATTTTTAATGCATTGCCACCATTGAATGCCATTCATAATTCAAGTTCTGAATTATTTAATGTTTTCAGATGGTTAGAGAAATTTATTGTATTTACTATTGTGTTATAGTTTGAAAAATATTTTCAGAATGGGGTCATTCACAATAAAGTATACCAGCCACACGAGTCTCATGTACCATATGTGCTTCAGTTTCTCATGGACCATAATCTTCATGGAATGAATATGATACACATGGCAACATGCAAGTTCAGGCATAATGAAGGTAAGCATAAAATGGTTATTTTAGTGGCTTCATTCTCCTCTATCACAACTAATACCTAGTTTCACCATATCACTCTACTGTACTTATATGTGCATTCCTAAATACTTACATTTATTTAGTACTTTATTATTTATTTGTATGTATTTGTCAAAAGGTATGTTATTATTTAATAACAATAGAACAAAGGGACACGGATGGAAGCTTGAGACTCGGATGTGTCATAGAGATGTTAGGAAGTATTGTTTTATTAACATTAGGGTAGTGAGTAAATGGAATGACCTAAAGGAGCAGATTATAGAGGCTAACTCCATTCATAATTTTAAAAGCAGGTATGATAGAGATATAGGCCAGGAGTCATTGCGTTAGACAACCAACGGCTAGAAAAGTGGGGTCCAAGAGCTAGAGCTCGATCCTGCATGCACAAATAAGTGAGTTCATAATTTCAGCATTCTGGGCCAGGATTCAATAAGCCTTTATGCATTTACCTACGAACCTGTATATCTTTTCTCAATCATTGGCAGCTTTGTTTACATTTATTAAACAGTTTTTGAGGATTGAAACTTCCCAGTCAAATGTTGTTATTGTTATAAACAACCTCTTAGTGCCTCAGAGCTCTTAATTAATAAATGTAATGAGAGCCGCGTAAGAGTGACAAAAGATGTACAGGTTCGTAAGTACTTGTGTAACTTCTTGATGAATATGGCCTCTGAATTTTCGATTTTTTAAGGCTATAACGGTATCTTATTACTTTGAAGTTAGGAATGTGCAGTATTTCAGTCATGTCTTCAGATTCATAATTATGATCTCCCCTCATTGATCATCTCGATGAATACTTTAACTTCTGCAAGATCTTAATGGGGTTGTAGGAGAGGAGATGAACACTCAGGGGAGAGTGACAGTTTGCACTGACATAAAACTGTGTTTGTGATGGGGGCTCATTCTTTATTACCTCTCTAATGTGTGTTACAATTTCATAGTGTCCTTGATTTTTCTACCAGCCTTTTTATTAAGTGGAGTGTGTTTTGTCTTGGGGTATATCCATAATATTTGTTGAGAAATATGGCTGACATGTGTACTGGGGGATTCCTCCCTTGATCAGCTGCTTGACATAAAAACTGCTGTTGTTAGCTAACATATTCAAGGTATCTTTTGCATTTTTCTAAATCATAGGGTATGATAGTCTTCAGTGCCCATGCATGCCTTGTGGACATTGAATGGGTCACCCCATTCATGCGCAAAAAAAAAAAAAAAAATACATAAGTGGTTGAGGCAAGTGGCAGCACTGGTAGGAGTATGGAAAATAGTGTTTCCCTGAGTCAAGTGGAATAAATATTCATGAGTTGCATGTATAGGCTACTGATTTTAATAAATTTACTAATATATTGTCCCTTGTGCAGTTGACTTGCAAGATAAAATACTATTTGAAAGTTAAATTTTTTAGATGTTACTAATTCTTCCATGAACCTCATTTAGGGCCCGATGATGCAGAAATGCTCTCGGCACCATCCCCTGCTGGCATACCAGAAGTCTCTCCATCATCTATTCAAACATCTGGAGATGTAAGCAGCTCCTTGCGTCCAAGTACCAAAATATGGACTAGAGAGAGTGTGCCACAGCACCTGTGGCTGCCTGAAACTGTTGCTAGAATGTCCAAGTGTGAACTTGAAGTGGATGGCCTTTCTTCAGATATTCTGAACAGATTGCAGATTGGAAGTAAGTGTGTTTAGTGTCTATAAATCGGTTTTAATTTCATATTGGTTAATGATATTGAAGTAGCCTTATTTATTTTGTTTTTTGAACACAAGGTTGAGTTACATTGGTGAAATTAGTATTTTATCAAATACTGTAGTCAAAATTAGGGATGTTTCAAATGTTTTGTTAAATTAATACTACAGTGTATAATATTTTAAGGTCCCTGTATTTCCTATATGAAATGTAACATCAATAATTTAACTAAATCTAATGTAAAATTTTCCCTTTAGCCTCTGGAGAAAAAGCATAAGGTGCAAAGAGCAAAAAAATTTATTTTACTTTGTAAATCCGAAATGGTCTTAATGCAAACTAAAATATGTTGAAGATTGTAGGCAGGAAATGTGAGAGAGCTTAATGATTTAATAATGTCAAATGTTAACACATCAGACATCCAAAGAAGACAAGCGGTGTGGTAACTGTGAATGACGTTTGTTTGTTTGTTTTCTTTGTTTACTTTTGGGGAGTTCTGTTTCTCTGGTCTTTTTTTTCTTACTTTCTTAACATGTGGGGTTTGTTTTGGGATACCAACCTTTCTGGGTGTCTAACCCTGGTGAATGGCAGATGGAATACCCCCAAATACAAGGGAGTTTTCCTAGGGCCATTGCTCCCTGTGCCGCTCTGAGGTGGCCATGTTCTGGCTAGTGGACTCCAGTAGGCAGAACTTCATTGACTGAAGCCCCAGACTAATATAGTGTATATGTGTCCGATAGCTCCAGGGAGCCGAAGGGGTTCCCACAGAAAAATGAGCTGATAATATACTGTACACTCAAACCCCTGACACTCTTGCTATTTCCCTTGGTTGCTTGTTCATATTTCTTCAACTCTGCAATACCCATATACATAGATCTTTGCGGCCAATGTTTCTCTGACTACCTGGTTGTTGTTTTTGTATTTGGGGTTTTGTTTTCATTTCTTTTCATTCACTGGTGTTCTCGTCCTGTTTCGACGGAGGTGGTTTGCTTCTTATTAGGCAAACTTAGGTTGTGTTGGTAGTCCTCCTCTGTTAACCCCGAGGTTTCATACCTGCTGCTGTTTGTCAGTTTGCCTGCTACCTGAAAGGGTTCTACTGTCTTAGTTGGCCCCCGGTGCCTGGGCTTCCCGTAGAGCTAATTCACCCTACAGGCCCTGGTAAACCCTGTGGGCTTGGTCGTACAGTGACTACTTTTTCTGAGCTCACTCTTGCCTTGTGTGAAGTAGAAGGTTGTTTGTTGTCCCTGCCTCAGGGAAACGATCATCCGTAGTGCCTCCATCACGCTGTCTGTTGGGTCGGGGACACCACCAACCCGGAGTCTGGCTTGCCTTGTTTCCCACTTGTACTTCACCACCTTACTCATTCCTTGTCTGAAAAGTTAGGCCTGAAAAAAGCTTTGAATTTTATATAAATGCACTTTCAGTATATATTTTGGACTGGATTGAGTACTCAGTATCTCCCTAGTACTTTTAGGATTGGTTCAAGACAATTTGAAAAGTTTGTTGCTACATAGGTGTTGAATACTGAACTTCCTTGTCTGCCAGTGTAACCAAGGGTCAATAGGAGCTTGCTTTGGAAAGCAACATTTGTCTACTACTCAGAAAAGTTTTTACATACACTTGAAGGTTAATTTGTTTGTCAAGTTTCATTATGCCTCACTCCACTGCTAGAAACATTACCATTATACGACTAGTTATGTGCTTATTCATCTAACTTTTCTTTCACAGCTGGAGTAGCTACAAATCCTGGGTTGTCGTACATTTGGGAGGATGAAATAGAGAGGCGCGAGGCACGAGGGGGATCACGAGAAGATCTTCAACCACCAGACTCTCCACCAAGGACTAACATCACCACTTCAGATTCAGAGCTATTCTACAGATCAGTTTTAAAGGAGAAATTGACTGCTCTTCTTGTAAGTTTATGTAGTTTGTATTTCATTACGGGTAAAGTTAAGTTGTGGTGATCTTCAACATTCATCAGTATGTCACTTGCATATATTATAAACATGTTTCTGTATGCAGTTATACTTTATAGAATATTACTGTTGCATATTACATTTGTGTATGAAAATTGCCTTTGAGAGATGCAGAAGAAACAAAATATTTACACAGTGTATTATATGCAAACTATAATTTTTAAAGGAAAAGTCAGTGGAACCCAGTCAAGAAGTACCAACTGGAGCTTGTTTGGCTGCTGTTACTCCTGATGATTCAACCCTGGGCCCAGCTACAGCAGTAGATGTTAGTGACCAGGAACATACTTCATCTCATACAGTTAGTCATCAGTAAATTCTCTCTTTACATCACTTGGTATTCCCAGTAGGGATACCTTATGCTTTTGTTAAAATTATTAGTTTATTTTTTCAAAAACTTGCATTGTGTAACATCTGGGAAAAGCAGTTGTACTGTATATTGGTTTGAAACTTTTGGTGAGGATTCAAATGGTCAGTATTCCTTCCTCCCTGTATTTTTTAGAGCTTTCATTTTCAGCTGGGTACTTACAGCTACCCTCTGTGGCTCCAGGCCTGACACTGCAGTTTTCATTTTTTTCTGGATGGCATTTAGCAATTTGGTCATTCAATGTATAATGTCCTGTGGTCATTCCTTTGGCCTCTCTTTCTGCCTGTAAGGTGTGGAACTCTCAGGATCTGAGAGCTGTTCTACTTCCCAAGCTCAGTCCAGGGCCTGACTTAAGAGCTTGGTCCAACAGGCTGTTGCTTGGAGTGGCCCGTAGGCTCACATATCCACTACTGCCTGGTTGCTCTAGCACTTCTTGCAGAAAAGTGTCCTTTTCACTTGAAGACTTCCACTTTTGTTTTGGCAATATTTCTTATACTTGCTGGGAAGATATTGAATAATTGTAGACTTCTGATGTTCATACTGTGTTCTCTGATTGTGACTATGGCACCTCTACTCTTCACTGGCTCTATTCTGCATTTCTTTCCATATCATATAATCCAGTACATTTGTTATTTTACTGTGTAAATTTGGGACCTGGCCCTCCAATATTTTACATTATATATTATTTGTAACCTCTTGTTTTCTTTCTAGAGGTGGTACAGCACCAGTGATTTGAATACTGTAGTATGAGCATTGCTATGGGAGCCCTGGATTTTAAGGTTCTCATAATCCATCCTATCATTTTTCTAGCTGGCGCTATATTTGCTTGGTTATGCTCCCTAAACTTCAAGTCATCAGACATTATTCCCAGATCTTTCACATGTTCTTTTCTTACCGCGTTTTTTCAAAACATTAGTCAGTTCTGCTTCTGTGTGTGGTGCAAATTGCCAGAAGTGTTTGTTTTGGAGCTTCAATCTCATGGTGTCATGTGAGAGTGTGTGCTGCCCTTTTTGAATGCCAGGGAGGTGGGAAGGTTTCTTATAGGGTCATGTGATGATGATTGGTTTTACTTTTCTGGTTGTCTGAGTGCATTATTCACCAGAGAGGTTTGCTTATGCTGTTTGCCTCTTCTGCATTTTGCAGATGTTTTTCTTGTGCAGTCACATGCATGTGGTGGCCTGAGATGTATTCTTCTGGATGGTTGCCAATTTCCCATTTCAGCTGGAGCAATACTTTTTCTCCTGTTCTGCACTTGCCTTCTTTAATTGCAGTAATTTTTTTTGAGGTTCTTTGTCAACTGTGATTCCATTTGTAGCCTTGATGTTCCTGCTGGAAACTTGAAGGAACCTCTGGTCTCTGGCCCCGGGGTAAATTCCTAGCATTGAGAGGGAAGAAGGGGATGATGCCTTACAGGGTTATCTTTCAGATTTCTCTTCATGTTCCAGTCAAGTTCTTGAGGTTTTCACAGTTTTACAGCCTTCCTTTGTTGTGGATTGGGTAGATACTAAGGCTGCCTAGAAAAGGGCCTTACATTACATTCATAACTTAATATTAGTTAATATTAATATAGTACAAGTACTGTACTATATAGTTCCCTAAGTTAACTTTAGTACCTAAGTGCAAAGTGACGGGAGAGTCATGATTATACAAGTATCTATAAGTATTGAGTGTGTTGCTACATTATCTTGAGTATTTGAGGAGGCAGAGATACCTAGTGACTGAAATATTATTTTATCAATTTCAGAGTACAGGAGCAGGCATTAAGATACAGCAAACAGCTGAAGAACTTTTAGAAACCTCTGTTGTTGATGAAGAGCTTATATTAAGTCTTACACAACAAGCTTCATCTCAATGGAGTAAGTCATTACAAAGCTCTGAGGATGCATATCTTACATTATGTTTGGTAAATGTCAGAACCTAATTACATGGGTAAATGTCAGAGCCCACCTCTTACATTGCACAGTAAATGTCAAAACCCACCTCTTACATTGCACAGTAAATGTCAAAACCCACCTCTTACATTGCACAGTAAATGTCAAAATCCACCTCTTACATTACACAGTAAATGTACAATTATGAACTAAATTAAATTAAAATTATGACCATTTACTATGACTTTCAGTGGATTCAGCTGATGAAGAATTGTTAAATGTTATGGCTGGATTAGCTGACGGCTCACAGATAGTTTCTCCCGAAGATAATGATGCAGTCCTCTCCACACAACATTCAATAAGTAAGTGTTTAGTGTCACTAGATATGTTGAGTTTAAAAGTGATTTGAAGTTGGAAAGCATAACATATGCTCCTCGCACAATGTCTTTTATGTGGTCCTTTGGCGACAGTCTAATATCCAGAACCCCCCCCCCTAGATCTCTTTCTTTCTCAGAATTCTTGAATGCCTTTCCACATAATTTGTAGGTTGTGTGTAGCCTGTTTTCTCCTATTCCATATTCCACAACATAGTATTTATTCACACTGAATTTCATTTGCCAAGTGTTACTTAATACACTTATTTTGTCCAGATTATCTTCAAGAGCATGACAGTCATCTAACTCTCTTATCTTCCGTAGTAGCTTAGCATCATCAGCAAACATATTTATATAATTCTGTATTCCTTCTGGTAGATCGTTTATATAAAAAATGAACATTTCTGGTGCTAGGACTGAACCCATGTGGTTCTCTACTAGTAACACTTCTCCAGTCTGATACATTATATCTGATTACTGCTCTCATTTTTCTGACATAATTTTTTTTATCCATGTTAGAAATCTTCCTGTCACTTCTCCAACATGTTCCAGCTTCCAGAATAACCTCTTGTGTGGGACACACTCAGAAGCCTTTGTTTAGGTCCAGATAAATAAGAGACAACCCACCCACCTCTTTCCTGTAAATCTCTGTGGCTTTTTCATAAAAACTAAGTAGATTTGTTACACAGGATATTCCTGTTTGAAATCTATACTGTCTGTCTGTTATTGTATCATTTCTCTCAAGGTATTCTACCCATTTGGTTTTAATAATTTTTCTTGCTGCACTAGCTGTCATTAACTATCATGCTCGTCAGTGATACAAAGTCTATAATTTAGAGGGTTTTCTCTGCTACTGCTTTTGTAGATTGGTACAATGTTTACCTTTTTCCATATATCTGCTAAGACTCCTGTATATGGTACCTCAAGATTATTTGAATTCTCCAATATTTCTCTGTCTTTAATGCCTTTTTCTTTTGTTTTTTATATTTTGTAAATGATTATTCTATTTATTCATTACAGGTCATTCTGGAAAATCTCTGAGCCAGAATCCAGCTTGGGAGGGAGATACTGGCAGAGATCATCATAGCGATGAGGAAGAAACTTGGGAAATGACGCAGCGCATATGGGATTCAATACTGCCAGGGGAGAACCAAGATAAACTACCTAGGGACCAGTCTGTGGTGTAAGTTAATGTTATGCATTTTGGAAGCCACCATTGAAGGACACGCTGCAAATACACACACACTTATAGTATATCTAGATCTTAAGTCTATAAAGTTGGATGGACCTCATTCAACTCAGGAAGGAGTGAGCTAGTAAAACTGGTATGAACTTAATCCTCAGTGATGTTTAGTTAAATAAGAGGCTGTACTCATTTTGTCATTTATCCAGTTAATACTCCACAACAACTGTTGCTGATCTTGATTGAAGGCATTTATCATCCCCTATACCAGGCCAATAATTAAAGTGTGTACATACTTGGTCACTCATTCTCTGAGACATACAAATAAACAAACTCACTCTAACTTATCATTAGAAAGTGTTCAAAGATAAATACATAAATGTATGTTTATATATATATATATATATATATATATATATATATATATATATATATATATATATATATATATATGTATATATATATATATATATATATATATATATATATATATATGTATGTATGTATGTATGTATGTATGTATGTATGTATGTATGTATATATATATATATATATATATATATATATATATATATATATATATATATATATATATATATATATATATATATATATATATATATATATATATATATATATATATATATATATATATATATATATATATATATATATATGTCGTACCTAGTAGCCAGAACGCACTTCTCAGCCTACTATGCAAGGCCCGATTTGCCTAATAAGCCAAGTTTTCCTGAATTAATATATTTTCTCTAATTTTTTTCTTATGAAATGATAAAGGTAATCATTTCATTATGTATGAGGTCAAATTTTTTTATTGGAGTTAAAATTAACGTAGATATATGACCGAACCTAACCAACCCTACCTAACCTAACCTAACCTATCCTTATAGGTTAGGTTCGGTTAGGTAGTCGAAAAAGTTAGGTTAGGTTAGGTAGGTTAGGTCGTCGAAAAACAATTAATTCAGGAAAACTTGGCTTATTAGGCAAATCGGGCCTTGCATAGTAGGCCAGAAGTGCGTTCTGGCTACTAGGTACGACATATATATATATATATGTATGTATGTATGTATGTATGTATGTATGTATGTATGTCATTTTTACTCTTTATTCCACTTTCATGAGATGAATATGCAGAAGAAGATTGGAGTACTTTATAAAAGATACTGTAATTGACACAAAGTCTTCAAACTCGACAACAGTATAGAAAGCCAGTACCATCACATTCCAGAAAATTGTAAATTCTGCTTGTTTGTGTCATTGACTTTGGTAGGTGTAAACAAGGATGCTGTATATGAAGGCTACTAAAGTTGTGTGACTAGAAGATGCCACTATATTGTAAAGTTTGACAAAAGGTCAAGACCAATTCAAATTGGTCAAAAACTTAGGGCGAGGCAGTTGCCAACTGACCTTGAACAAGTATTCATTTTATGCTGCTCCTCAAGTACATTAGGTCTGCCTTCTGTCAAGCACTCGCATCCTTGAGCAATATAGTTTATGTGCTAGCTCTCATTAGCCTAGCATTTAAAGTATGGTATACTGCACTAGCTGCCATTGGGTAGTATTGTACAGTGTACTGCAATAGCTGTCATTAATAAGATTGTACAGTATACTGCACTAGCTGTCATTAGTGAGATTATACAGTATACTGCACTAGCTGTCATTAGTGATCTTGTAAAGTATACTGAACAAGCTGTCATTGGGTGGGATTGCACAGTATACTGCACTAGCTGTCATTCACGAGATTGTATAGTACAGGTATACTGCTCTGTCATTAGGTGAGATTGTACACTATACTGCACTGTCTCTGGGTGAGATTGTACAGTACAATATTCAGCACTAGCTCTCATTATTGAGATTATGCAGTATACTGCACTAGCTGTCTTTAGTGAGATTGTAAAGTATACTGCACTCGTTGGGTGAGGATGTATAGCATACTGCACTGTCATTAGCGAGATTGTACTGTTTACTGCATTATCATTGGGCGAGATGTATATTATATGACACTAGGTGTCATTGGGTGAGATTATACAGTGTACTGCATTGTCATTGGGCAAGATTGTATAGTATACTGCATTGTCATTGGGCAAGATTATACAATATACTGCACTGTCATTGGGTGAGATTATACAATATATTGGGTGTCATTGAAATTGTGAAAATTTAAGCCATCTTGTTATGACAGAAAAAAAGTGTATAGATTGTATAGTTTTAATACAAGTAAATTCATTAACTAATATACACAATTTATTGGCATTGTGAAAGGTAAATAATTGTTCTCTTCCAATAAATGGTTATTAATGTGCATACAAAATTTATTAGTAAAGGAATGCAGGTAGAAGTTGATGTTGAACTTCAAATTTACAAGCAATTTGATCCCAAATCACATCCAACTTCTCATCAAGCTACTAGTCAACAACTTGGCCAAATTTATAAGACTATAAATTATTTGTACAAATTAAAGAATTTGGTGATAGCTGGATCCCTGCAGGTTAATCATACAAATTACCTTGTATCATTTTTGGTGAATGCAGTTATGGGAAAGAAGCCTTTTACAAGCCTTGGAAACAAACAATACAATGCACGCTTTCCCCTAATTGCAATAGAACTACCCTAATTAGTGTATTTATTCTTATATCGTGTAATTAGTCCATAAGTATTTATTGCAACGGGTAGTTTTTTGTGATATGAATTCTTTTACATAGTAGGTATTAACATACATACTGTCATAAATCAAGACAGATTGAAAGCAAAAAGTCACAATAACATGGCTGAAAATTAGACACCTAACCTAGAAATCTGAAAAAAAAAATAAGTGATATTTCAGTCTGTCCTGGATCATTATCAATTTGATTTAAACACCTTGGTAATGGTCCAGGAGGGACCAGAATGTCAATTCTGTTTTTCAGATATGTGGGTTAGGTGTCCACGACAGATTGTACAGTATATTGCACTAAGTCTGATTAACCGAGATTATACAGCATTATACTAGTTCTCATTGGCCGAGATTTGAAAATTGTGCTTGCTATATTGGCTGTGTGGCCATGAGGAAAAGTTATTCCGAGTATGTGATATAAGCTGTACTGTTCAATACTGTAATGTATTTTTATCAATTTTATTTGATGAGAAAAATAATTTGAAAAGGGTGATATACCTATGATTTACCTATGGCTCTCATATCCATCACATCAAATATGAGTGCTGTTCTGGGTTTAGTAGGCTAGTACTAAACTGGACATTCATGTACAGTACAAACTCTTATGTACTAAGGCTAATAAAAATCAGTATTCAAGCTTAGATCTATTTTACTATGTATTTTACATTTTAATTTGCTCTAAAAATAATTGTATAATTTTGTTTCTCAGGATGGAAGCAGACCGAGATATGGAAGATACTGAACCGTCATTTAGCATACCACAACTTGATGGTCCTGCTGATTCTGAGCCTCAGTTTAAGTCTGCAGTAAGAACTAAGAGTTTTAGTGCGCGAGAAACCTTTGTGCCTTCTGGTAGTGCCCAAATCTTGAAACAGAATCCTGTGATATTGAAAATAACACAAGACTGTAGTAACAGAGACAAAGCTGCTACTTTTGGTAAAATAACTCAGCCTAGCCAACAAGCTTCTATTGCAGTGACAAATTTGCCCAAGAAATTAGTTTCGTACGAGAGACGTAGTGTTACAAGAACTATATGCTCTAGGGGTAAAAAGGTAACAAGTTGTAAGTGTAGTGATAGCGAATCAAGTGATGAAGATTTTGTGATTCCGCAGTTTGATGGTGCAAATGATTTTATTTCACGCAAAAACAGACGACAACACACATCTCACAACAATTCAAATTCCCAACGTAACATTGAAAGAAACACATCTTTTGTGGCATCTCAGCGACAGACTAATCATAATAGTAGAACTGCCTCGGATAATGCACGTGATACGTTTCGTGAAAATATTACACAAAGGAACAGAGGAAATGCAAATATAGGGTCTCGAGTTGCATTAACATCTCAACACTCCCATTCACAGCACCAAGGCCATCATGTGAGACATCATGTCTCATCCTCTGTGCCTTACTCTACAGCTTCCCAGGGTCCAGTGCCTTCATCGCTTAACAGTGTACCTGGTAATTCTTCATCCTCTGTTCCCTCTGACTTAGGTATTAATACAATACCTGATCTCCCAGACTTCATGGATATATCTTCACATATGAATTTAGGGGATGGCCAGAGTTCTAGTATTATTAGTAGTAGTGCTTTACAGGGTAACACATGCTCACAGGCTAAGAGCAAGTCTTCCAGAGGGAGTAGAAAGTTAACCAATCAATCACAGCTTTCAACCACTGCCCTGCTGAACAAGGAGTCTCATTCACCTATGCAGTCTTCAGCATTGACGGCCATGCAAGGACCAATGAATATCACTCCTTTGTCAAACATTGGGGTATCTCAAAGAGTTCCTGGCATTGGGAAGGCTCTTGTTGTACCAGCACTTGTTACAAACACAAACACTAGAGTAAATGTCAGTGGTCTCACCAATTCTCATATGGGGCTGCCACCTAATTATGTTTTACAACAACCTAGTAATCTCGGTATAAAACGATCGCCTGCACCGTCAACAAACAACCCAAATCCATCAGGCTTATTGTTAATGTCAAAGGCATCATCCAATTATAGTGCTACCTCTTCTCATGAGAGTTTACACAGAACAATGAATATTCGGGGGCATAATAAATTGGAATTGGCTGTTTCTCAATCTCAAATCTATCAACAAAATTTAAATACACACAGTAGTGGTCAGCAGCCCAATTATCCTGAACTGTCTAGTCAGAGCCATAAAGCCGGTCGAAGAAACTATGCTACACAAGCTCAGCAGGAATCCGAACCAAGTTCTTCAGACACTGCACTTTTTCCTGGGTCAGTAAAGACAATACTACGTCAAAACTCTGAACACTCGGTATACTCACCAATATCCGATGAATCTGATGCAGATGTACCAAATAATACTAGAACATTAGCTGCAAATAATGATGTCATGGAATCAGTAGATAACGAGTCAAAAATTACTGAACCCTCAGACAAGGAAGATATTTTAAAGCAAGCATTTGATATGACACTTTTTGATGGCATTGATCTTGAAGTTGAACCAATGGATGCTAGTGACAGTAATGTGGAGAATGAATCAAATAATTTATCTGAAGAAAGAACATCAACTATGCCAATCCAAGAGTCACCTTATCTAACCTCTTATGCAAGTGACTATGACAATGCAAATGCCATAGAAGTTGGTAACAATTTTGAAGATGAAAATGTGTCCAAAAAGATTATAACAAAAGAATATACCAAGCCAGTGGAAGGCAATAAATGTGTAGGTGGAAGTCAATCAGTGAAAAGCCTTACTGCAATAACAAAAGACATTCCTGGGACAAGTACAAAGTTCAGCAAGAGAGAGAGAAAGGAAAGGGAGAAGACACAAAGCAAGCAAAAAAATTTAAGGTAAGACAATTTTTGTTTTTGTTTTTACTTAATATCTAGGCCTAAGGATTTTATCTTAAGTGTGCTGTTCTCTATTTCTGAGCTATCCCATGCAGTTGTTTCTTAAGATAATGCCCAACTGATCTCTGGTTAAGATCTAGGTCACTTGGGGCAGATAAACATTCTGCACAGGAACAGTGGGGAAAGTTATTAAATTGTCCCAACTTAGTCATGCAGTACTGGCACAAGGGAGACACTGGACTGCTAAGAACCACTAGCTGACTACTAAATGGCCCATTAGGTCACTAATCCTGATCACTACCAGGTGGTACCTTGATACCACCCCCCCCCTTGAACAGACCTCTTTACATTCTTACATGATTGGCCCCAGCTGCAGGATATATGTGCAGATGGAGATAAAAATTATTCAGTTAATGAATAGTGTTATCCTTAAGATAGAGATGGGTTCCATTACTTCCTATTTCAGCATATTCCACTTGGTAACCATATTTAAGGGTCCTGGTAGTGTAGTTGGGTTCGTTCTCGACACGATCGAGAATCCCGGGTTCAAATCCCAGTCGGGACAGAAATGGTTGGGCACATTTCCTATCACCTAATGCACCTGTTCACCTAGCAGTAAGTAGGTACCCAGGAGTTATTCAGCTTGTTGTGGGGATGCATTCTGGGTAGGGTCAGTAATTTGACCTTGGGGGAAGGGGACCTTGATAGGAGCCTGATGTGTATGAATACACTCTGGCTTCCTGTTCCCTGACACAGTGAATTATAATTATGTACAATATATGAGCATTTCCTCAAATTTCTTGAATTCGTTTGTTTTCAGCTTCCACCTATGTCTTCTGGTCTTTTCTCTCAATTTAATGATACTAGCCTTGTCTACTATTATTTATTTCCCCTTTTATACTATGTATGCAGTGATTAAATCCACTCTGCTTCTCCTTTTCTTCTCAGTCTATAAGATTGAGCTTTCTTACCTTGCCTTTGTAATTTTTTCAGTTGATTCAGACACTACAATACAGTAGCCTTATTGCAAACCTCTAAACTATATAATTAAAGTTTGTGCTTCATGTGGGCATTCCATGCTGTTTCTGCATATTGTAGTATTAGCCTTAATAGGCTGTGTAGGTTATCGTAAAAAAAAAAAGACCTAGTTAGGTTTTAAAATATTCTTATATTTGTCAGCTGATGTTATCTTGTTTGTGAGCCTCTGGTGTTTTTGCTGGAATTATATCCACTCTCAAGTCTTCATTCTCTTTCAGATTTCAGTAGTATCTTTTCCCTTACTGTGTAAATTGTTTCTGGTCTCTTCTTCCTTTCCCATCTTCATTACTTTACAGTGGCCAGGGTTGAAATTTATCAATGTGTGTGTGTGTGCACTTTTATAGTTTGTCAAGGCCATCCTTTAATGCACTGTACAGTAATCTTCGCTTGTACTGTACATGTCTCATAAGTATTGTGGCATCTGCAAACATTGACATGTAAGAGCTTTCAATGAAAAAAGTCATCTCGTTACATATAATGCTTGATTTATTTATTCCATGATGGCCTGGGAATACTTTTTCTTTACTGGCTAAGTTCAAAACATGTCCAGTTACTAATTAATTTTTTAGATTTTGCCTTCTTGTACATTAAAAAAAAAATTAATTATTTTTATGCTTTTTCAGATCCGAGGCACAAAATGAATTATATGCCAGTGAAATTAAAGGACAAAATCAGGTAAGTGCTGCCAGCTCCTCTTATATTCCTTCAAGAAACAATTCTGCAAGAAAAGAAAGTAACCACCAGTCAAAACTTGCATCATCTGTAAGGAATCAGGAATTACAAAGCTCTCAAAAACCTGGCCAAAGTGTTAGAGGTATTCCTGAGAAACTGGTCAGGCGTAATTCTCGGGCAGACAGCACAGAAGGATCTTATCCATTTGATGTTGACTATGATGTTGCTCCCCATACACCAGGAAGTTTTCTGCCAGTCCATGATCAATCTCCAAGTCCAAGACACTCACCATCCTCACAGCTGAAGCCATCTCAGTCTTCCTCTTCTTACATGTCAACTTCTACCAAGAGAATTCAGTCTTCACAACATAGGAAATTGTCTGATGTTGAAAACCCTGACTGGTATCATCTTGATTGCCCACCAACTCCAGGGAATCCACTGAAAGAGTCTTGGTCTCTACAAGAGGAAGTTTCCAGTCCAGATGCAGGAAAGAAGGATGCTAAAAGCAATACATTAAAACAGAGTACAGGTACAAGCAAACCTTCTCCTTGTTCTAATGAGAGTAGTCAAGCACCTGAAGTAAACAATGTTTCTAAGAAGAAATCTCGTAAAAAAATTGCCAGATTATTTGGATCTTTTTCGCCTCCATTATCTGAAGTTGAATCAACATCAGATAAGATGAAGTCTCTAACTGTAGAGCCATCGAGTGATAGCTTCGACTTTGATGATGAAAATGATACTCCTGATCGTCCTCAGACTCCTGGTCGAGAAGTTGGTGGAGATCATTCATTTGCTGCTCCTTCCAAAGATGCTTTACAAATACAGAAGAAACAGGTGCATGAATATGTCTTCGATTTTGATGTGGGTAGTCCTCCCGAGAGACCAGTGACCCCAGGGGGTAGTCAGGAAGTGCAGGATATTCTTTCCAGTGAAGCAAGTAAAGATTCAAGTCAAATAAGTTATCAGCAGTTTGAGTCTGTATTTGATCCTGACTTCATGCCTCACACACCTTTAGAGCGACCCAGGACACCTGGAGGTGGGTCTTCATCCTCCACCCCTCAAACAACCGATAAAGAAGCCTCACATTCGTTGGGATTGGACAGGTTGCCTTCATCTACAGATTTGACAAGTGGTTCTTCAATGTTGCCAAGAGGTCTTCACCACAAAGAGCAACAAGAATCTAAGTTAAGTGACCTGTTACCTGTGAACAATCAGCCATCTATTACAGATAAATCTAGAAACAAATTTTCTTCTCAACAAAGAGCAGAGAAAGAGAAGTGTGGTGTGAGTGATTCCTTCAATAAAACCAAAAAAAACTTATTATCTGCTGAAGCAAGCCAAAGACAAAATGAAAAGAATAAAAAAGATTCAAAACAAGTACCCTCATCTAGTGGATATGGAGGAAGTTTGAGCTCGTATGGTCATTTGAAAGAGCCTAGGTCAAGGTATGCAGATCATAAAAGTGATGTGAAGGATACAGTGGAACGTGACACTCAATTCAAATCTCATTTTGGAGGAAAAAATCAGGAACGAAAACCACAAACTGAGGGAACATTTGAGCAAACAACCCCTGGAGATTTATATCACAGAGACAGAATTCCACAAAAGGTAGAGCGCATTTCAGAGGATAGGAGAACCACTGTACCGAAGGACTATAATAAAATAAACAGCCAGCCATCGACTTCGGGGGGATATGAAATTGATAAAAGCATTAACACATCAAGTGGCTCAAAAATTGATTCTAGAATTCGGCATACTGTAAGACCCATACAGTCCTCTCATCATTTTGAAAGGGGACATAGAGAGTCCAGTAGAGAAGACAGTGGGAAAAAACCAACTTTAGTTCCAACTTCTGGCCAATCAACAGCATATACTTGTGACACCGGGTCAAAAACAAACAAACCCCAGTACCGTGCCTCAAGGCCTGTTGGGATCCAGAGACCAGGAGGAAGCCGGCCGTCATCTCAACTTTCGAGAATAAATAGCTCTAGCATCACGGCAGATAATGCTAGGTCATTATCACAGCCTAGTAGTCGCCATCAGTCTCCTAACAGAAGTAAACTTCAAGTGGAAAATCGCTCCCATTCATTACCAAGAAACCGATCCCATTTTTATCCAGGGATTAGGAGTAGTCAGTATGGAAGCCAACAACATGATAGAAATATGAATTCAGCTTCTACAACACACCAGTCTGTTTCTTCACCAAAAAATAGGCCACAATATTCACCAAGAAACCATCCACAGTCGTCATCAGGACACCGATCACAGGCATCACCAGGTTACCAACCATACTCTTCATCTGAAAATCAAACTCAATATTCACAGGAAAATTGGCCTCATGTATCACCAGGAAATAGGTCAAATATTTCACAGGAAGATAGATCACGAACACTTCTTAGGAATGGACCACCACAAAGTGGAAGATCCATGCAGTCTTCATCAGGGAACTATAATTTGTCAGGTCAAAGATCCCATAAACATGAGAACCAGTCATCATTTCCATCAAGACATAGACCTCATTTTCAGCAATCTTATAATAATAATTTTCAGTCAGAAAACCGGTCTCGTCCACCAGGAATTCAATCCAGATCATTAGGTGGTCAAAATCAGTTTCAGCATGACAAGTTTCAAGGGTCTTTTGGAAGAAAGCAAAATGAACAGAAACCTGTACATGAGTATGGTTTAAAGCAGAAATCTTTAAAGTCTTTTCCTACTTTAGAATCTAGCTTTTGTAAAGGAAAAAGCATTAATGTGAGTGAACCAACAAATTTGAAAAAAGATTCTCCAGATCAGTCAAATCGAAAAAGTACTGAAGACACAATGAGCGTTAAAGCAAAGCTAGATTCAAAGAAGCAGCCTGAAAATTATGAAGATGACTTTGTCTTTCCCCTGATAGATGCATCATTACCACTTATGAGTCCTATACCATGCACCCCTGCTGCGCATCGAGATGATTCGGGCCCTCTCTCGGACAGTAGTGCTAGTTCTCTACCTACTTTGGATACAGTACAACCGCCGATGAGTCCCATGGCTCCAACACCAAGGCATCAATCACAAGATGATGTTATGTCTCGATTGCAACCTCTCAGTCCAGTTGAACCGTCTGTGAGTCTGGCAGGATCCATAACTCCATCCAGCTCATCTTTTATATTGCCTTCAGCCCCTGGCCCTATGATGAGTCCTATCCCTCCTACTCCAGTACGAGTAACATCTCCATTCCATGTGAGTCCTATGCCGGTGCTTCCTTCTTTAATAGGGCCCATGGTTAGTCCACTTGCTAATACTCCATTGCATATTATGGGGGACAACTTCTCAGTGACAGGAACATTACTGAGTCCCATGCCTGCTACACCTCGTGGAATGCCAGATGGCGAAGATCACCCATCATTGGCTTCACATGAAAGCCAGTTTAGCAGCCTTCGGGAGGCTACTGAACACTTTTCTGTGGATCCTGTAATGAGTCCAATACCACAAACACCAGCTCATTTACCACAGATGCCACCAGCACAGCTCCCCACCACAAATTATAATTTAAGAACAACTTCTCCAAACCCAGCCAAAAGTCCAGTCCCTCCAGTGCCTGAATATTCAGAGGATGATTATTTTCATCAGCATCCAGGGTGGAGTCCAAAACCTGTGTACCCATCGATAGGACCCATTATGAGTCCTATGCCACAAACACCTAATCGCCTTGGAGCAGAAAATGATGATCATAGGACTAATGCATTAAGTCCTCTGCCTACATTGCCTTCAGCACCTGGCCCCTTGATGAGTCCATTACCTCAAACTCCATCATATGTATCACAGTGTTATGTTCAACAATCTCCTGTTTACATGCCCTTCACTCCAAATGTTCATACCCCACAGACACCAACACATACTTCTCAAACACCTCTTCATATCCCACAGACATCTGTGCCTACATCTCAGACTCCAGCTCATACATCTCAAACAACAGCAAGTGTTAGTCATTCACAAACTCCTCTGACACCACCATTGGCTTCATTGACACCTATACCAGCACCCTTGACACCTATTCAGACTCCTTTTCAAAATCCTTTTACGCCATTACAACCTCCTTTGACACCTTTACAAACATCCTACACTCCACGGCAAGACCTATTGACATCTCATCAAACTCCTCGAGCTTCTGTACAAGATTCAGATAGATTTAATACTCCTGCAAATTCTACTTCAGTGGCAAGTCCACTTAATGAGTTAGGTTATGGGGGGGGAGATTATAGCCCCATGCCTGTACTACCATCAGTGCCAGGACCAGTAATGAGCCCGATGCCACAAACTCCTGTACATGTACCTCAAAGCCCTTTTCCGAGCCTTCCTTTAATGGCTGTTTCTTGTAGATCAGAGGTAATTAATTCTTCAGCCACATCTGATATAACAAGCACATCACATGAAACAAAAACCTCCACAGGGTCTTCTCAGCCTTTTGATGACAATAACACACACTTTAATTTGACATCACTTGATTCAAATAGGAAAACCCCCGTTGTCTCGGCTACTGGTGACAATTCAGAAACTTGTATAGCCAGTATTTCTGGGGATACTGTACCCAGTGTTATAACTGTCTCTTCACCTTCAATATTTTCTCCTGAGAATAATGAAACAGACATAAGGTCAGTTGAATCTCCTGCATCTAATCTTCCGGGTCACTTTGTTCAGTCCCAGACGAAGCAGAGTATTCTAAGTCCATCGCCACATTCACAGTCATCTGGTAGGATTGTACTTCAACTTAGCCCTGCTCACCATTCCCCAGTGTCTGTTGGTACTGGTTCTCTTCCTGTGTCTGAGCCTCAGTCCCAAGTGGGCACAGATGCTGGATCTCATTCCAGTCCAGTCTCCCATATTTCCCAGGTGTCTGTAAGGGATGTATCTTGTCCCAGTTCTGTTCCTCCTCCTTATCAAAGTCCAGTCTTTCATTCACATATTGCAGCAGGCTCTGGGTCTCTTTCCAGCCCAGTGTCTCAGTCCAATATATTTGTTGAAACTGACTCTCATCCCAGCCCATTGCATCAGTCACAGCTGTCTATTGGTACTCATTCTCATCCCAGCCAATTGCATCAGTCACAGCTGTCTATTGGTACTCATTCTCATCCCAGCCCATTGCATCATTCTCAGTCATCTGTTGGCACACATTCTCATCCCAGCCCATTGCATCATTCTCAGTCATCTGTTGGCACACATTCTCATCCCAGCCCATTGCATAAATCCCAGCTATCTGTTGGCACACGTTCTCATCCCAGCCCAATACATCAGTCCCAGCTATCTGTTACCACTCATTCTCATCCCAGCCCATTGCATCAGTCCCAGCTATCTGTTGGCACACGTTCTCATCCCAGCCCAATACATCAGTCCCAGCTATCTGTTACCACTCATTCTCATCCCAGCCCATTGCATCAGTCCCAGCTGTCTGTTGGCACACGTTCTCATCCCAGCCCAATACATCAGTCCCAGCTATCTGTTACCACTCATTCTCATCCCAGCCCATTGCATCAGTCCCAGCTGTCTGTTGGCACACGTTCTCATCCCAGCCCAATACATCAGTCCCAGCTATCTGTTACCACTCATTCTTATCCCAGCCCAATGCATCAGTCCCAACTGTCTGTTGGGACTTGTTCTCATCCCAGCCCAATGCATCAGTCCCAGCTGTCTGTTGGCACTTCTCAGTCCAGCCCCTTGCATCAGTCCCAGATGTCTGTTGCCATTTCTCATCCCAGCCCATTACATCAGTCCCAGATGTCTGTTAGTACTGGTTCTCATATTGGCCCAATGCCCGAGTCTCACTTATCTTCAGGTGTATGTCCTCCCTCTAGCCCTTTGCCTCAATCCCAGATGACTGCTGGTGCTTGTCTTCATACTAGTCCAAGGCCTCATTCTCAGGTGTCTGTAGGTATCGATTCACATCCCAGTCCAGGTTTGCCTTCACTAGTAACTGCAGACACTTCTTATCCTACTCCTGTATCTCATGCACAAATGCCTTCAGGAATTATTTCTCATTCAAGTCCAATAGCTCAGGCACAAATTCCTGTAAGTGTTGGTTCTCACCACAGTCCAGTGGCACAGTCTCAGATTACTTTGGATGTGGATTCTACAAACATTACATCAGACTGTGTTTCTGTGACGACGCATTCAACTGTCACAATGCCAGCTGTAACAATGACAGTGTCTGTAAGTTTGCCATCATCACAAGTAAATACCATTGATGTTTTGGTTGGGAATAATAATCAAGTGAAACTTTGTGATAATTTTTCTCAGGGCCTTCATACATCTCCCGTCATTGCTAGTCCTGGCAATATTTTGCAAAAATCTTCTTCTCAGCCATTGTGGCCAGACTTAGCTCCTGAATCACAATCTAATGACAGCATTCATAATTCACATTTACCTACCATAGAAACCAGTTGTTCCTTAACCACACCAAACACAATTTCGTGCATCTCCTCAGATACTGGCATAGCTTTTTGTACAAGTGGGCAAACAGCACCATTAGTAACATTACTACCATCATCCACATCAAATATGGCTTCTCATGAAATTCATTCTCAAAGTATTTTAAAGGCAACTTTATTATCTAGGCCGAATCGTAGAGAAACATTTGTAAAATCAGTGCCCTCATGTGTAAAATTACAAGATTCATTATACTCTAGTGGTATCCCTCAACTTCAGTCTCATCTCAATCAAATTTCAGCCTCCAGTTTGCTTCAACCTCAGTCTGCTTCAGTTGGTAATAATCAGAATATGGAACAGGGTGTCATAAATGCTCAACCAGAAGCTGCACCAGTATTATTCTCAGGTGTTATTCCACAGTTACCATCGGGCTCTATTTTAGATGGTGTACAAGCCAATCTTACTGCATCCCAAGCTCCATTTCCATTAGAAGATGGCCACGAGGTTACTGTTTTACCTCAAGTGATATTGATGCCACAATTGCAAGGGCCTGTTCAGATCAGTATTCCACAGGGAGCTCCTGCATCTATATCTGGCCAGCCACTTCAGTTACCTCTTATGATAGGAGCTGTTGTTTCTCAGGAAGATACTCAGTCCAGTCAAAATATAACTTCTGGATCAGCTGCAAATCTTGATGGAATAAATAACTGTAGCGTTACAAAATTACTTCCGGCTGTGTCTGCTTCAGTGCCTGAAGTTACTATTCCATTTTCTCAGAACTCGGTAGATGCTATGGGAAATAGCATTGTTGATTCAAATATTCAAGATCTTCAATATACTGAGCCAATCAGCTCTATAGAAAGCAGCATCAATACAGCGAGTGAAGTGCAGCCTTCTTCAGCATGTGATCTGTACCAGGCCACACCTAGTGTTTCAGAAACCAATATTAACCACACAACATCTGATAATAGTGAAGTTGAAGGGACCTTAGATATGGTGCAGCAGGCTTTCCAGTCTTCTCTTCTTGATACAGAAGACGATTTAGAGAAAGGTAACAAGCCTACTAATAAAATGCTGGCCGATATTGTAGATGAATTAAGTAATAAAGACTTCTGCATACCTACTGAAGCCTTATGCTCTCAAGCTTCATCAGTGGATATAGAAAACAATGGGAATCTTAATTCTGAGCACAACATTGTGGCAGTCACTACCAGCTGTGAAACAAGTGAGCCATCTCTGAATCCTACACTAGTGCAAGTTGTGAGCTATGACATGAGGGGCACACATTTGGCTGTAGAAAACTGTGACGAACCATCAGGTGATAATCATAAAGAGAATATAGGCACAAATCAGCCCTCACAGTTGCCACTATTTTTGAAGGCAATTGAAGCTATGCTAGAACAACAGATGCAAGAAGATGCACAAAAAGAGCAGGACATTGAAAAGAATGATAAGGAAACACATGATGAAAGCATAGATTCTGAGGAGAGTAAAAAGTATGAACCGCAGCGAGTGGATTTGAAGAGGGCAGCTGAAACTAGAGATTGTGAAAAACCTAAAGGTTCATTAGCAGGAGATGCCACATGCTTGCCACATTCTGAGCAAGCAGTCATAACATCATATTCATCACCCGTTTTGCAAAGTTTGTTAAATGGGACAAGTACCTTGGGAAATATATCAAGATCATGGGAAAGTCCTATTTTTCCATCAAATTCTTTCCTTACTAACAATTCAAATAGTGAAGCTTTACAGACTAAAGCAACTTCAGTGGGAACATCTGCAATGTCAGCTACCTCAGCAGGAGTTTCTTTACAAACAGATGCTGTTATTACCAGACCACAGACCTTCAGCATGGAAAAAGAATCTCAGTTCACATCCGTGATTAATTCCTCAATAGGAACAGCAGCACTTGCATCTACAGTGAATATTACAACACCTGCTTCCTCTCTTGGAACAATGGTTGGTACTACTTCATTTATCAATAATCTACCAGTTTCCTCTTCAGAATCCCTGAACCTTGTTTCTTCAGCTCCTGGGAACACTGACGTGTATCCAGTTGATGTGCCTACTCATACACAGTCTCCAGTCATTCTGCCCACTACAGTTACTTCATTGTCTGAAGAGGGAAGCAATAATTCTCCATCTACACATTTTAAAGAGGCATCTCTGTTATCAACAAGTGCCACATCAAAAGCCATTCCTTCAGATGCTGAAGCACACTCAGTGTCTGTGGAAACAAGAGTACAAATAGTGTCAACTGATGTGGAACAGTTAGAGATGTCAAAAATTGGTGAAATGTCGTTGTCTTGCATACAGTCTGTGCAGTCTGTTTCATCTGTAACTAATGAGACAGCACACTTTGAAAATTCTCAGAGTGTTATTTCAACCGAGTGTTCTGACTTACCTGTGTCATTTGTAGAACCGTGCACGGCTGCATCATCGGCAGCATTAGTCTCACCTGTGTCATACATTAAGTCAGTTTCACCACAATACACAAGATCTCTGACACCGTCATTATCTCGGAGCTATGATACACTGACTTCCACCACAGACTGTTTGAAAGGGCCCACTCACACAAGCTCTATGAATTCAAACACTTCAAAAGAGTCAGCCTTACCTGTATCATCTATGGAAACACTGGTACCTTTGCCCTTGCAAGTGTCTGCAACAGCTGTATCACCTATAAGTCATGTTTCTTCTGACTTGGCATCACAAACGAATGTAAGTTATAGGACACCACAACCTGTGACTTCTCCGGCCTCAAGTGAGGAGTGTGTGATTATTAATTCACCACTGATAACAAGAAATGTTACATCTCCAGCCATATCTTTGATGTCACCATCTGTTACTGTTGTTCTCCCAGTCACTCCTCCATCAGTCACAACAGCTACAACTTCAAACATTTCTCAAGGTTCACCTGTTGTTACAATATCTAATGAGCTACCAGCCAGAGAACATCAATCAGCATCTCCTGTTGAAACAGTGGATTATATCAAACCTGCTTTAAATATCTCGGCTAAATCACCTACAGTTTCTTCTGGTATCATGGCCCATAATGCAATTGAAGGATTCATTCAGCATTTATCTGCTCCAATAAGTTTTCAGAAACACCAGTCCAGACCTATAGACTTTAATCAAACAAATGTAACAGGTGAAAGGGAACTCCATCACTTACCACCAGGTGCAATGCCTCAGATGCCACAAAGTACTCATGCACAGTCATATGCACCACAAGAATTAGAAAACAATGTACAGAGAATAACTAATGTGAATGCACCCTCAGAGTGTGCACCACAGCAGACACCACATATGAGATCACATTTTAAAAAGAAACTGATTTCTTCAACAATTAATGCCACACACAGCTCTGAAGAGTCTGATTTAGGACAAACATTAAAATCTCCTAATACTATATCAAAAGTTGATCAAGGGTTCACAGAAAAGGTTTCTCTTGGAAGCAGTAGTCCAAATGTATTATTAAATCTACAGCCAAATAGGTTTGAAGCATATTTATCTGCTTCAGGTTCTGGAAGCTATTCTTCAGTATTAATACCTCGTCCTGGAGCTTTTGAACATTCTGGCTTGACAGCATTGAAAGTAGACTTACCAGGGCCCCCTACAATTCCTATTGCACAGGCCAAGCAAGTCAGTCTTGGTTCACGGCCTGATCTAGTTGGACCTAGCCCAGTGTCAGACCATGATACACAGTCTGTTGATTCTCTTGGATCCATTGGAGTTGAATTACAGCATCCAATGTCTAGTCGGATGTCATCTAGTAGTGACTTAGAGGCTCCACTACCTCCAACTCCAGTTGGTCATATTCGAAGAATTAGAGAATCTCCATCATCGTCAAGTAGCTCAAAGAGTAGAGCAGATAGGTCAGCAGAAAGTACTCCCATTAACTCTTTCAAGATACCAACATCTTCACCTTATTTGGATCCACAAACTCAGCAGACATCTCCCTTGTCTTTAGTAATCCAGAAAGCTGGCACAAGCAGTACCAACAGCCTATCTGCTGTGTTTCATGATGGCCTGCTTAAAAAGTCTAGCATTCAAGTACACTGTGACGAACAGTTATATCGTGACTCTATATCACAGCATATATCTCAACGTCACCAATTTTCACTTCCTGTACCAGTTCAGGAAGTATCTGTACGGGATGAACGTGTTTGGCCTTTTCGTAAGAGGTCAATTACAATTTCATCTGAGGATTCTGAAAATTCAGAGGTACAATATCAGGGAAATTCTACTCCATCACAAGCTGTTTCTTGTCTAAGGGGAACCCCCAGTTGTGTAGTGACTAAAGCTGGAACTGCTAGTCCTCCTCCTGGAGACAGAGGCATACCAACAATGGCTCCTCCTAGTGTACCAGGTGTCACTCCTTTGGCACAGCACCTCATGAATTACCCACTATATTCAACCTTGAAGCACAGATCAGAAATGGTTGGCAGATCAAGTGATCATCAGGTATATAAAGAGCATCCTTATTTAAGAGAAACTGTATTACCATCCACAAAATCAGGACCTCCACCCCTGCTAGCCACTGCAGAAGTTGCCCATCAACATTCTGGGTCATATGGAGCACAACCCAGTACCAGATCCCATTTATCTTTGAAAGAAGATTCTCCTACACAGAATGTTGCTAAGGATGATGATGGCCATGAGTATTGGAGGTATCCCTCTTCAGAACTAAGGGAAATACAGCCCCGCCAGATTGAACTGTTAGCTCACCTAAGCAGGCAAATGCCATCAGACATGAGACGGTGGCCAGGCATGCCAAATCAAACTGTTGCACACATTAGATCTCGTCAGAGTGTTATGTATACACCTATGAATCGTTTTTTTGTGAGAGGACGGTTTCCACAAGCTCCTGTAATGGAGCGTCTGCAAATACTTCCACCAAATTATGCACCATCACAGTTCTATCAGCAGCCTCCCCATGTTTCAGAAGGACATAGAGTTTTCACTGACGAGAATATTGTTAAGAAAGATCACGAAAAGGAACAAAAACAGTGCCAGGAGAATTCCCCAGATGATAGTCCCATCAATGTAGTAGATGATGCACCTGACCCTATATTTCCAACGCAAGAAATTAACATACCCCCTCTATCAGAAGCAGTTTCTTTAGGCTCTAACAGTATTCCCATTGTAACGGAAAATTCTAATTTAGAGGGGCTAGGAAAATCATTGCAACACCATGTTTCATCCCAGAAACTTTTGAATGATAGCAAGTCTAAGACAGCCGTATCAAATAAATCTCCTCCTCGCCAGTCTAGTCCAAATGTACCTGTAATATTGTCTGATAGCCCTGAGTGTGGGATGACTTACAGTTCAGCAGATACATCTAATATGAGCCAATGTTGTGCAGTGATCAGTGCCAGTGGAAACACTACTCAAACAACAGGTGGTGCCAGTGGAAGCACTACTCTCACAACAAGTTGTGGCAGGGAATCCATTACTTTTACAAGTGGTGCCAGTGGGGGCACCATTATCACAAGTGGTGCTAATGGGGGCACTACTCTTACAAGTTGTGCCAGTGGGGGCACCATTATCACAAGTGGTGCCAATGGGGGCACTACTCCCACATGTGGTGCCAGTGGGGATGCTAATTTTACAAGTAGTGCTAATGGGGGCACTACTATCCCAAGTGGCATTGTTTCTATAGAGAGCAACAGCAGCTCAGTCAATAGTAATATTTGTGCTGTAGATGAGAATGGAGCCAATACAACTACTAATGACACTGTAAATACTTCTTCAGAAAATGGAAGCAATAGCAGTAACATGGATGATAATGGATCTCAGAATGATGAATTGGACTTTCCCACAGGAAGTGCCCAGCATATCAGTGATGATCAGAATGATGGAACGCGTCCAGAACAAGCTGGGAAACTTGGCAAATTTCTCATGAGAGTTAACAGAGGATCAGTTGACCATCCACGTGCAGAAGTCAGCACTCCTCTTAGTGTAATTGGAGTAGATGACAGTTCTAGTGTCATGGAAGATGCCCCAGTTTCAACAAAAGAAGAATCTGAAATAATTGTTAAACAACCTTCTAATGGTTTAAAGGAACCAAACTTTGAAGTAAGCCTTTCAGAAACTCAGCTTAGCGATCTACGGAACATTCACCAGAGTCAAGATGCTGAGCGTCAGTTCAGCCGTGGATTCAAGAAAACCATTTCATCAAAATTTGAGGATGATAATGCTACCAGTGAAACTGAAATGGTGACATTGAAGGATGATGATACTTCAAGAGATATTCGTCCTAAGAAAGGGCCTAGTTCGTCTGTGGAGAAGACTTTGCCATCTGACCATCTAGGTGAGACATTGTCTATTCTTAAAGTTATGGCTGGTAGTTCTAAGGATCAAAGTCTCTTAGATGTACTTGAAGATAAAACTCATAAAGAAAGCCTTGATAATAGAATAAGTAAGGAAAGTGATTCCACAGAAGCCAAGCAATTAAGAGAAGAAATGAGATTGTGTGAAATTAATGAACAGTCCTCGTTATCCTTTATTTCTTCGAAAGCTCACCTAATGCAAGCTCATGATGACAGTGACGCTGATTCTATTGATAATGTACGTAGCTCAAGGATTATAGGGCGGCGGAGCAGTTCATCTAGTCAGACAAGTGACTCGTCACAGTTTTCTGGTAATTCCCCCCCTCCATTTTCTCCTCCACGATCTCCAGGCTTAGATCCTTCTTCAGAAGAAGAGGGAGCAGAACAAGAAATAATCCAAGGAGAATTCTCTGAATGTGATTTAGCTAGAAAAGAATGTACGGAATGCACAGAAACTTCAGGAGATAGTTTAATTCAAACTGAAAGGAAGAATGTTACTTCAGAGAACTTTGGTTGTGAAAATGAAACCAGCACAAATCGGGAAATGTGTTTTTCTAATGATCATGTTCTACCATGTTCTCCATCTAAGGGACATGAGAGCATATTGGAGTCATCAAATGAAATTTATTGCTCTACTTCTAAGCAAGATATTCTTTCTCAAGAAGAATCAGGCATTCAAAGTGCTGCATCATCAGCATCTAGGTCAGTGCACGAACCAGAATCTTCCCTACCAAGAAATGTTACATCTGAAGAGAGTGTAGCTTTTCAGAGCAATCAGTCTTTTGGAATAGACCCTACAGTTCAGACTGATGTTTATACCCAAAATGATGTAAGCACAGAAAATATGTGTAGACCAGAGATAGAGTTATGTTCAGTAAAATACATGAATTCTGTTGTAGATAAATGTATATTGGATCATAATGTTGAGGAGAGACCAAAGCTTGTTTTAAAACTACCAACAAAAGCAGCACTCAAAGATTTTGGTGTGGACTTTCTTCCAAAGGTGACACAAGACAAAATTAAAACAATTGAACATCAGACACCTGACAGCAGTTCTGAAGTAAGCTCCACAACCCCTGACAACCCAGTCTTAGCAATACCAGAAAAAAAGTCACGTGGAAGACCACCAAAGAAGGTAAACCGTTCATCCCCAAAAAACTCAAAAAATAAGCAAGACGCACACGTTGAATTAACCACTTCTAAGAAAAGTCCAAAGAAGCCAAACAAAAGGAAACGATTATCAAAAAAATTTTCCCTTGTAAATGAATCTACCGTTAACAATTTAAACGTTAGTAGTCCTAAGAAAACTGAGCAAGTTAAAGATATTCCTTCACCTGCGACAGAAACATGTCCAACACACAATACTCGAGGAGGAAGAAGACGAGCCTGTGCTAATGTCTCTTATGCAGAATTCTTTGATTCTGATGCACCAACTCCATCTGTTAAGGCTCTTCCTCGGACAGATCAGTTTGTTTTACATAAAGCTGCAATAATACAACTACCAGAAGACCCTGAAGGTGTTTCAGTTCATCCCACCAATAAGAGGCGTAGGGGACGCCCTAAGAAAATAAATCAAAAAGTTGATTCTGGGGCAGCTAAAGAAAGTTCATCACTAAATAATACTTCATCATCTGCAGATACTTCTTACGAAGAATTGCCTGCAAACAGCAAGGATGATGAAGCTGGATTAAAGTTTGCTAGTGAAGGAAAGACAGATTCATTGTTAAATCAAACTTCTAAGAGGCCAAGAGGAAGGCCCCCCAAGAAATTTATTAATGCTCATTTTTTGTCAAGTGAAAACTCATCACAGTCAGATAAAAAGCGATTTAGTCACATGGTTTCTGAATGTGTGCAGAGTAATCGTGAACCAGACCTTGTAGATAAATTGGCTACATCAGATATGGGTCCACAGCTTACTGTCAAGGTTAACAAAAACTCCAATTTGAAGATAACTATCAGACGCACATTGGTGGGTAAGAGAATTGCAGATTGTTCATTTGAGAAATCATCAAGAAAGAAAAGAAAAACTTTGAATTCTGATATCTCAGATATTCACCAACAATCAAGAAATATTAGTGGCATCAGTGCTCTGAACTCTGTTGTAAGTGATGATGATGATGATAATTTGGATACATGTAACCTCTCTCCAGCATCAAGAGAATCACCAGAAACTGTCCCACTACACTGTGATCCCCATGACCCACTAGGCATTGATTTTGTTGATGAACCAAATCAAGTTTCACGTTCAAAGGCCAACACAAATATTTATGAATTTGATGATATAAGTGATGAAGATGTGCCTGTTGCTCAGAGGCTGAAAAGTCTCCATAAGGGAAGCAATCCCATGTTCAAAAGAGCTAGAAAGATTGTGAAGAATGCTATTAAAACTCCACTTAGAGACCCAAATTTCAGTTATTTGAGAACACCCAGTCGCACTCCTTGTCATACCCCAGGTTACTCTACTCCTTCATATACTCCCATAAGTTCTCCAATGTACACCCCTGTTCACAGAATAAACTACACAGGTCCAGGCTCGACACCACGTCACTTTTCTCAAGGCGATTTTAAAATACGTCTTCGTAAGAAGCATCGATCAGAAAGCCACGTCATTCTTAAAATCAAGAAACCTCAGCTTAATGAATTTTCTTCAGAAGCTCAACAGCAGGATGACTTTACTGATATACCAAATGCTCTATGTGCAATTAGTGAAGAAAATAACAACAGTAAAGGAGAGGAGAACATTGATCATAATGCAGTGACATCACAGTATCAGGGAAACACCTCATCTTCAACATTTGCTAATGCTCAGACATGTGAACAAGGAGAACATTCACAGACTTGTCCAGAAATAAGTCTCCCAGCACCAGAAATACTCAAGGAAGTAACACTAGAAGGAACTTCCAATCTTTCAGAAAATGCCTCCCAACCATTAGTGGAGGTTGCTACAGTTTCTAATGCAAGGGAATCCTCATTAAGTGCAAATGACTCTGGAAATATTAGTGTTGAAACCCCTTCTAAATCAAGTCCAAGAAAGATGGGATCTCAGAATTTAGAGGTCTCTCTTGTAACTCATTCACAAAAATGTTCAGTGACTAGCACAGAAAAACATTCAGGCTCAAATAAGGAAAATACATTAACATCCAATATGGAGAAAAATACTCAAGGTAAACCAGCCATTCCTACACTTAAAATAAAAAAGTCTCTACTTTCTGGATTTTCTTCCATTCTAGAAGAAGCAAGTGATAAGCAAAAAAGTCAACAGAGCACAAAAATCAAGAGAACAGATGATGGCTTTTTGATTCCCCAATCTCCAACTCCTGGTCATGTTACTCTAAGATTAAAGCGATGTAATTCCCATTGGGAGCAAGATGAAAGTATGTATGATAAAGACAAGACTAATAACATTTCATTATCTGACACCGATGGACAGCAGGAGAGGGATGAAATGTGTGTTGACAATAATGATGAAGCATTTACTAGTGGAGGGGTGACAGACAGTGAGAACAACGAGCTAAATGACAAGGTGATTGCAAAGGTACAGATGCCCCTTAAGATAAAGATACGTGCTGCAGTACCACCAGTGAGTAATGAGGAAAATGTGTGTGATTTAGAGAATATTCAAATATTAAGCAGCAAAGTAAATAGCACTGAGAAGGTGCAAAATTCACCCAAAGATAAATCAAAAGAAAGTTTTATCAAAAGTAAGCTGAATGTTACAGCCAGTTCAGTGGAACCATCAGTCTTTACAAATTTGCCATCATCATCCCCATCCTCATCTCATTCTGAATCTGATTTACAATTATCAAACTTATCTACACAAGAGTCTTCTGCAGTACAACCTATTACACCACTGCCTGGTGCTTCTTTGCCAAACACTTCAGCGATTGTTACACCGCCACCAGACACTTTACTGCCAAACACACCACCACCAGACTTACCTTTCTCTGATGCACCTGCATTAGATACACAACAACTTGATAAATCATTACACAGCACCCTCAACCCTGTTGAGGGTGCAACACAATCAGATAAATCACCACCTGATTCATCACAGTCAGATATATATTCTCCTGTCACACCACAGTTATCTGTTCCGCAGGTTTCTTCGCCAGAATCTTCCAATTCACTTACTCTGATAACACAACCTACCTCAGCACAACACACTCCATTACAGTCTGCCCAAATAAAACCTGCTCCGACTCCTACACCATCTCCTGTCACACCACGCACTGCTTATTCCTCCAGAGTAGACTCTGTTGAGCTAGAGTTGGCAGCAATCCTTGGCTCCCCAAACAAAAGTTCGGAAAGAATTGAATCGTCAGATATCAGGGCAATGAATGATGCAGACTTGGAAGCTCTGCTACTAGGAGACAAGGGTGGCAGTAGTGTCAGAAGTGTTACACCAACTGTGTTTCAAGAGAATGTTAAGATAGATGATGGAAGGCCTGCAAGGACTCCACCAGCTTTAGGTTCAAAAGATCTTTCTGATAAGCCTCGATCAGCAGTTCTTCCGAGTGATAATTCTAATCAAACAACTGTGTGTGACCCATCTCCACTAGATGAAAGTCAGTTGACATCACCACAAGAACTAAATGCACAAACTTTTCTTGTACAAGACATTAAGTTGAAAACTCCTCCTAAAGTGATGTTAGAAAAACTTACCCCTAATATTATTAGTACTCTTAAGAGATCATTTGGTTTATCTTCAGAATCGAGTACCCAAGCCCCAAAGAAACAATTGAGGCGGTTCCAACAGACTTCTACATCAGAAATGATCAATCTTGTTGAAAGGTATACAGATGAAGATGGTGAGGTATCACCATCATCCCAGGGTTCAAATTTTGTTGAGTCTGTAAAGAAAAGAATTCTATCAAGTCCATCTGAGGGTAATGAATGCAAGAAACCTCGAAGAAGTGAGAGGAATGTGAAGCCAGATGAAGTGAGTGGAACAGTACAGGTTAAACCTCAGATATTGTCGAGTGAGAGAGCCCATGAAAGATCAGAAATTAATGATGAAAATTGCTTAGAGATAGGCAAAACAGTTGTTGCTTTAGAAAGTATCAATGATGAAAGTAGTATAAATGAGGGTGAGGATTTAGCCTCAAAAGATGATGGTGAAAATCTAGGATCTAAAAACGGCTGTGACAGTGCCATCCCTGAAACTAATTCTGACCAGTTAAGTTGTGATAAACGTAATGAAAGTTCTAGTTCAATGAGTCCTGTAGAGGATTTGAGCATGGCTGAAAACGGTAATGGATTAAATTTAGAACCCAGAATTGATGAGACTTTAACTAGCACAAGCACTGAAGAGAATAGTCTCAGAAGTGCTGATAGCAGCTCCAACTTGACTTTTAACAGTGATAATTCTGGTGGTAACAACATGAAATTAGACTTGAGGACATGCAAAGAAAATGACATGTCCAAGACAGCAACAAAATGTAAGACTGGTAGCAATGAAATTATGGAAATGAGGCTCAGGCAGAGCAGTAGGGTATGTCGGCACCCTGGTTTGAGACAGCGAGTACGGGTACAGAAACACGAAAAAGGTGGTGTTAGTCTTAGAAAGACGAGAGCCAAATCTGTGGCTATTGAAAATTCAAGTGATTCAACAAGTGATTCACAGGGTGAAAGTATCAACTTTCACACTAAAAATAAGAACAAGAAGACTCTTTCAGACAAAAGCAGAAGGGATAGAACTAAAAGGAAAATTAGTACTGATGAGGAAGATAATCAGGGTGATCCAGATATAAATAAGAAAACTGTTAAAAATTTGATATTCAATAATGCAACATTTCAGGCAAGCATTAAGAGAAGTCTTAGAATATCATCTAGTGAATCTGACAGTGATATTTCTCATGCCATTAGCTTAAGCAAGCAAGTGAATACGGACATTAATGATAGAGAAAGTGACTTAAAAGATATTGAAGATCGTTGTAATGAGAAAAATGATCTTGGAGAAAATGTGGTAGCAGAAAGAAATAGTGAGAAGCAAAGTGATGATGAGAATAATACCACCACAACTTCTAATCAAGATGAAGATGACACGTTGACTATGGCTGTCTCTGCAAGGAGAAAATCTGTTAATTCAAGAAGCACATCGAGGGAAGATGTTCTTAAATTGAGAAAACCACTTGAAGAGGAAAACAGACACGATACCGAGAGGAGAATGCAATCTCAAACAACTCCTGTTACCTCAAGAAGCAGGCGAAGTTTGAGAATATCCAATAATCATCCCGTTAAAAAAGATGAAGTTAATGTAGAGAGCTTTTTCAAACAAAATCTGGAGAATGAATCATCAGATTTCACAGGAAACGAAGCAAACAGTTCAGCATTAGAAACACCAGAGGTGACTGATGATATTGAAGAAACATTAAGAAGACTGGATGGGACTTCTCCGGATGCTCCTGCATACAGTCCTCCTCGTATGAGATGTAGGAGTAATAAAAAATATGTTTATAGTTCTTTAAGCGAACTTAGTATTGACTGTAGGGAACCCAAGTTAAGTGAAGCTGTGAAGAAAGGAATGAAGGAAGAAAGGAAAGGAACTAGATCACTTAAAATGCCAGATGAGAAACCATGCCAAAAGAAAACTGATATTAAAAGTGGTAGAGGTAGAATGCCAACAAAAAGTACACACACAGAAAAGCCATGTTCAGGAAAAGTATTTGGTAACAGTATAGAACAAGGTTCAATTACCTCTTCAGAGACAATTGGCAAAATACAAGATACAGCTAAAAATTTTGGAAAGCAAGCAGTTACAAAAGAGGATGATGAAATTTGCAGGCAAAATAGGAAAGTTGATACTACTAATAATCTTACTGAAGCTGCCAAAGCATTAAATGCTTTTACAGGTGGTAGTGTTGGTAACGTCAGAGATGTTCATGTTGATAATGCTCCTGGCGGTGACCTTCCTGGAGAACTCTCTATTGAAAATACACCTTCAGGAGATGAATCTATACAAGATGCTCCTCTTGGAGATGCCCCTCCGGGACACACTGCTCTGGGAGATGCCCCTCCTGGAGATGACCCCCCTGGAGATGCCCTCCCTGGAGATGTCATTCCTAGAGATGCACCTCCTAGGGATACCCCATCTGGAGATGCCCCATCTGGAAACACTCCATCTGGAGATGCCCCTTCAGGAGATGTGCCTCCAGGAGATTTCTCACCAGGAGAGAGTCCTAGTGGTGATAATCCTGAAGATGTTCCTTCTGGAGATGCCTCACCTGGATATAAGCCTGCTGGAAATAACTCACCTGGAGATGTTCCTTTGGGTAATGCTTCATCTGAAGATGCTTCTTCTGGAGATGTTCCTTCTGCAGTCTCCCCTTCTGGTGCCTCTTCTTCTGGTGGCACTTGTGCAAGAGATGTTCCTGCTGGAGATGCTCGTGCTGGGGATGCTTGTGGTGACTCCTCTCCTGGAGATATTACAGTAGAAGAATTTGACGTCAGCATTATTGATAATGATGTAAATGGAGGAGAAAATGACTGTGATGATAAACCCAGCAGCACACAACATGCTCATCACAAATCAGTTCAGTACAGTGATGGTGCCAGTGATCACGACTCAGAATATCGAGACTCCATGTGGAATATGGCCTTCCTAACACCGGAGCGCAGAGAAAGGGACGAAACATCTCCTCCTCAGCCAGATTCTCCAGGTATGTTTGTTATTGTATGTTGATACCTTGCTAGGAAATTATCATATATATATATATATATTGAATTATACAATTAGTAGCTGAAAATAAGTTTTGGATGACACTTGACAAATGTCTAATTTCAAGTTTTGTAACTTGTTGATGGTCTAGGTTTGAGGTTGGAACATTTTATCATATGAAGGCCATATTTTACTTAGCAAGTACCTGTATGACCTGTATACATTCAAATGTCAAACATCAAATAAAATACGTTAAAGGTTTCAATAATTTAACATTATGGCTATTCTTGCCATATTTACTTGTATTAAAAATAAATAATTCAAAGGCAATATTTATAGGTTGTGTGTGGTTTATGTTCTCCTATTCCACATTCCATAACATGGTATTTATTCACATTAAATTCCACTTGCCAAGTGGTGCTCCATATACTTACTTTGTCCAGGTCTTCTTTAAGGGCATGACAATCATCTAAGTGTCTTATCTGTCCTATTATCTTAGCATCATCAGCAAACATGTTCATATAATTCTGTATTCCATCTGGTAGATCATTTACGTAGACAATGAACATTACTGGTGCAAGAACTGAACCCTGTGGTATTCCACTTGTGACATTTCTCCAGTATGATACACTTCCTCTGATTACTGCCCTCATTATTCTATCAGCTAAAAAAATTTTCATCTATGTTAGAAGCTTACCTGTCACCCCTCCAATATGTTTGTTTCCAGAACAACCTCTTGTGTGGAACTCTGTCAAAAACCTTTTTGTGAAAGCACAAAGAAAGTGTGTGAGAGTGAGTGTGAGAGCGAGTGTGTGTGTGTGTGTGTGTGTGTGTGTGTGTGTGTGTAATTACCTAGGTTCAGTTACAGGATGTATGGTAGTTATAGGATTTGAACCATCGTTGAAGTTGTTGGGGTGTGGTTCGTTTTAGTTTTGTTGCACATACAGTAATTTGTTGTTGTAAAGTTGTTTAATGTGGCACGTGCAGAATATTCTTCATTTGTCAGTTTTACCTTGAAAATAGATAACATTCACAAATATGATCTTGCAAGGAAACTAGTTTGTTTGCCAAAAATATATTTCTGTTGCATATTCTGTTGTACTGCACAGTAATTCATATTTTTTTAGGATGTGAAGGTTAAGTGAAAAATTCCAGGTTAGTGCCCTTATTACAACTTTAACTAATTGCACTTAACTGTTTGCTATTACAGTACTATACTCGTCTAGTACAGCAGAAAATGTTGTTCTTTATTTGCAGAGAGAAGTGTGCGTCGACGATCCTCCCGGTTGCTACAGGTTTACCCGACACTTATGACACTACAGCTTGGAAGGTAAAATAAATAACACTTTTTAGTACAGTATGTGTATTCATTGTCAAGAGCCTTGCTTAGTGTGAAATATTGGTGTGACTGAGGTTTGGGTTGATGAGTTACAGAAAGGCTATAAATTGTTCTTGGGATAAACTATTCATAATAAGTGTACCTTATGGTTTTGTTGTTTTTGTTCACTTTCTTCCTCAAGGTTTACATTTAGAATCTTGGAAACACTTCATAACATTGGCTTTAAAATTTAAATACATGAACTTTAGATTGAGCAAGAAGTGATGTATTGAAATTGAGTTTCAGAGCACCAAAACAATAATGTTTCTATGCAATATCTCTGGAAAGCCTCATCATGCTAGATTACAACTGTCAGCAGTTGTGTGTGATCATAAAACTAAGGCTCAATTGTGAGAGATGTTCTCTCTCTTCTTCGTGTGTGTGTGTGTGTGTGGGGGGTGGGGTGGGGGGGGGGGGGCAGCGTCTACCCTACTCACAGAGTTATTTCTGCTGGTGCAGCAGCATTTTGTGTTTGTCTTGATGCACTTCCTGTGCTGTAATTTTTGTAAAATTTTCATAGATACTCTGGACAATATTTCAGTGATATGAAAGTTAATTGCATAATTAATCAACTAGAATGATAATTAGCCATGTTAATGTCTTGGTGGCTTCTACTGATTACTTTTATTGATTACTGTACTTGCTTAGCCCTATAATTTGTTACATGTTTTGATTTTGATTTTACTTTCAGTTTTGAGAGTCCAATCAGAAAAGACCATTCTGAGTTGCCTGCAAATCTGAATTGCAGCAACATAACATCACCTGGTAATACAGAAAGCAAGACTTGTATCACTGTTGGTACTCTCCCAAGTGTTGCAAAGGATAGAAAGAAAGCTAGTAGACAAAATTCACCAACAAATGAAGATACAACGAATGTTGTAACAATAGAAGATACAACAAATGCTCTGACAACAGAAGATTCAGCAAACAGTGTGACAACTGAAGATTCAGCAAACGTGACAACAGTAGATGCAACAAATGTTGCGACAACAGAAAATACAACAATTGTGACAACAGATACAACACACACTGTGACAACAGAAAATACAACAAACATTGTGACAACAGAAGATACACCAAATGTGACACTAGAAAATACAACAAATGTGACAACAGAAGATACATCAAATGTGACAACAAAAGATACAACAAATGTGACACCAGAAAATACAACAAATGTTGTGACACCAGAAAATACAACAAATGTTGTGACACCAGAAAATACAACAAATGTTGTGACAACAGAAGATACAGCAAGTGTGACACCAGAAGATACAACAAATGTGACAACAGAAAATGCAACAAACATAGTGACAACAGTTACAACAAACTTGACAACAGAAGATACAACAAATGTTGTGATAACAGAAGGTACAACAAATGTGATAATGGAAAATAAAACAAATGTGGCAATAAAAGATACAACAAATGTTGTGAAAATAGAAGATACAACAAATTTTGAAGATGAATGTGATGGCGGTGAAACACAAATATTGCCTCTTGAACAAATTGAAGTTGTTGAAGTTTTGCCTGAAGCAGAAATTCCATGTGACTTGGATATTCAAGACCCTTTGGCTGATGTTATAGTGAGCAATCGGGAAGTTTTAGAGCCTGGAGAATCAAGAATTGATAATTTGACACAGGAAGGTGTTGAAATCATTCTTAAAACTGAAGACTGCAATTTAACTGGAAATAAAACAAAATCAACTCAAGAAAAAGATGTAGATGAAGAAGTAATTGTGCATTTTGAAAAGATTAAAAAAGATGAACTTCATTCAACGGAGAAAACTAACCAAAGTCTGGTGTGTACCTCAATACCTACAGAAAGTGAATTACATAATATAAATTTTGGCAGTAATTCAGCAATATCAGCACAAAGTTTAAGTGTCACAGAAAATTCACCCAGTAAGGAAACAATAGATGGGGAGACTAGACAGAGAAACACAGTCCCGCCTGTTGAAGAAGTCTTTGAGACAAATTGTGTGTTAATGCCATCAAAAGAGAACAGACAACAGGAAGAAAGAAATCCATGTTCTCAGGAAGTTATCCAAACTATGTACAATTTGAACGATGAAGCTGACTGTACTCCTCCCAAGTCTGAAATGTTAGAAACAAACACAACAGAGCAGCAAGTTCAAGGCGTTCATAATGTCAAATTATTCTCTCCCTGTATTAAAGACTCCCTGGAATCAGGAGAGAGTAGCTCATGCCTTTCATCTGATGTTGATTTTGACATATTGGAAGAGGATCTTTTTGGAACTTACCATCAGGAAAAGAGAAGAAGAAGAAAAGGTAATTGGTCAGCTAAGCTAAAACCTACTGGTAATTCATCTGCCTCCAATCGAGGTAGGCTGTTTAAGATTGCACCTGCTGACAGTAGCATTACACCTAATAAGGCAAATTCTAAATCTATTGGAAGGATTCTGAAATCTGATGGCAACAACGAAACTTCACTCTCTGACAAAGAAGCTACATCAATTTCTGAACAAGTATCAGATGATAACAGACAGGATAGGATTAAACCGGATTTACCTGAAACAGAAAAAACAATGTATATGTCAAATAGAAACACAAATCAAGAGTCAACTACTAGTCTGATGCATACAAAGTGCAATGACATTCCTGTCTCAAATGATAGGGTTTTGACTAAACTCACATCAGGTATTGAATTGCTATCTGGTGATTGTGCAAACATTAATAATACTCGACAAAAAGCTGGTAATACTGCACAGGCATCAAGCGAAGGGCATTCACAAATGTTAAATAAAGAATCAGAGATGTTAAGCAAAGATAATTCACAGATATCAAAAAGACATGATTCACAAGTAACATTCATGGTTGATTCAGAGGAGGCAAATAAAGATAGCATAACAATACCAAATGATGATGACAGACCAGTGTCGGATGAAGGTGAGCCACCAGTGTCGGATGAAGGTGATCCACCAGTGTTGGAGGAACATGTTCCACCAGTGTTGGTGGAAGATGATCCACCAGTGTTGGTGGAAGATGATCCACCAGTGTTGGTGGAAGATGATCCACCAGTGTTGGTGGAAGATAATCCACCAGTGTTAGATGAAGATGTTCCGCCAGTGTCGGATAAAGGTGAGCCACCAGTGTCGGATGAAGATGTTCCACCAGTGTCGGATAAAGGTGAGCCACCAGTGTCAGATGAAGATGTTCCACCAGTGTCGGATGAAGGTGAGCCACCAGTGTCAGATGAAGATGTTCCACCAGTGTTGGAGAAAGATAATCCACCAGTGTTGAAGGAAAATAATCCACCAGTGTCGGAGGAAGATACTCCACCAGTGTCAGATGAAGATGATCCACCAGTGTCAGATGAAGGTGAGCCACCAGTGTTGGATGAAGATGTTCCACCAGTGTTGGAGGAAGATGAGAAAGATGATCCACCAGTGTCAGATGAAGATGTTCCACCAGTGTCAGATGAAGATGTTCCACCAGTGTTGGAGGAAGATGATCCACCAGTGTTGGTGGAAGATAATCCACCAGTGTCGGATGAAGATGATCCACCAGTGTCAGATGAAGATGTTCCACCAGTGTCAGTTAAAGATGGTCCACCAGTGTTGGATGAAGATGATCCACTAGTGGCGGAGGAAGATAATCCACTAGTGTCGGAGGAAGATAATCCACTAGTGTCGGAGGAAGATAATCCACCCATGTCGGAGGAAGATAATCCACCAGTGTCAGTTAAAGATGATCCACCAGTGTCAGATGAGGATGATCCACCAGTGTCAGATGAGGATGATCCACCAGTGTCAGATGAGGATGATGTGTCGGTGTCATCTAAAGATGATGCATTAATGTCAGGTAGAAAAGATGCATTGAGCAGAGTTAAAGATGATCCACCATTGCCAGAGGAAGATGGTCCACCAGTGTTAGATGAAGATGGTCCACTATCAGCTAAAGATGATGCACTAGTGTCAGATGAAGATTATGTACCAATGTCAGCTCAAGATGATGCATCAATGTCAGCAAAAGGTGATGCATCAGTGTCACCTCAAGATTATTCTACAGTGTCAGTTGAAAATAATGTATCATTGTCACTTCAAGATGATGCGCAGTTGTCAGCCAAAGATGATGCAGAAGTGGCAGTTAAAGATGCACCAGTGCCAGCTAAAGATGAAGCATCAATGTCAGAAAATGATGCTTTGTCAGTGTCAGATAATGATGCCGCACCAATGTCAGCTGAAGATCATGTATCAGTGTCAAATAATGATGTTGTGCCAATCTCTCTCAAGTATAATCCAAAAGTTTCAGATGAAAATGGTCCAAAAGTTTCAGATGCAAGTGATCCAAAAGTTTTAGATGAAAGTGATAGAAAAGTTTCAGATGGAAATGCTCCACCAGTGTTGGATAAAGATGTAGCTGCAGAGTTAGTCAATGATGATCCTTCATTGTCAAATAATGCTCCCGCTTCCAATAATAATGATGAGGCAAGAGTGTCAGTTAATGATGACCCTTCATTGTTAAATAGAGGAGATTCACTAATTTCAGATGTAAATTATGCATCAGTGTCAGATAGAAATGATCGGCACTTGTCAGCTGAAGATGATTCACCACTGTCAGATGAAGGTGATGTACAGTTGCCAGAGCATTGTATTACAGAGATGTCAGATAGTGAAGATTCAGACTTGTCAAATAAAAATGACTCGCATGTGTCGGACAAAGATGATACACGAGTGTTCGTGTGTGATACCCAGGTCTCCAATGTTACTGATTTAATCGCATCTGAGGATGATGCCCAAGGTACACCAAGGGATGATGATCTAGTCACATGTGAGAATGAAGTCCAAGCAACACACAAGGATGGTGATGTCACATTTGAGGACAGTGTCCAAGAAACACCCAGAAATGATGCCCAAGAAACACCTAGAAATGATGCCCAAGGAACACCCAGGGCTGACGCAGAGATATCACCTGAGGATAATGTGTATCGCTTAAAGAGAGAAAAGCAATCTGTAATGTTTGAATGCGACGTCTTACTGTCACATGAGGACGATGCCCATAAGTCAGCCACTGTAGAAAATGATGCTTTAGTACCAGTAATAGCCAAGATGAAGGGCAATACCCAATCATCAGGGAAGACCAACACAACATATAATGCCCAAGTGTCGACCAACACAGCAGATGGTGCCCAAGTGTCGACCAACACAGCAGATGGTGCCCAAGTGTCGACCAACACAGCAGATGGCGCCCAAGTGTCGACCAACACATCAGGTGGTACCCAAGCGTCGAACACAGCAGACAGTGCCAAGCTGTTAACTAACACTGCAGATGATGATCTAATGTCGGCCAAGAATCATCTGTGTGTGTCAACTGAGAACAAGGTAGATGACCAAGGGTCATCTAAAATAGAAAATGATGTACTTGTGTTGTCTTTAAAGGAGAAGACTACAACCAAGGATGTAGAAAAGGAGAAGACCGCAACCAAGGATGTAAATAAAGTCATGATTACAACTATAGATGCAGATAAAGAGGGGACCACAACCAAGGACATAAGTAAGGAAGAGACCACAACCAAGGATGTAAATAAGGTGATGACCACAACCAAGGATTTAGAAAAGGAGAAGACCACAACCAAGGATGTAAATAAGGTGATGACTACAACCATAGATGCAGATAAGGAGGAGACCACAACCATAGATGCAGATAAGGTGACCACAACCAAGGATGCAGATAAGGTGATGACCACAACCAAGGATGCAGATAAAGTGATGACCACAACCAAGGACTTAGAAAAGGAGAAGACCACAACCAAGGATGTAAATAAGGTGATGACCACAACCAAGGATGCAGACAAGGTGATGACCACAACCAAGGATACAGATAAGGAGGAGACCACAACCAAGGATGCAGATAAGGTGACCACAACCAAGGATGCAGATAAGGTGACAACAACCAAGGATTCAAATAAGGTGATGACCACAACCAAGGATACAGATAAGGTGACCACAACCAAGGATACAGATAAGGTGACCACAACCAAGGATGCAGATAAGGTAATGACCACAACCAAGGATGCAGATAAGGTGACCACAACCAAGGATGCAGATAAGGTGACCACAACCAAGGATGCAGATAAGGTGATGACCACAACCAAGGATGCAGATAAGGTGACCACAACCAAGGATGCAGATAAGGTGATGACCACAACCAAGGATGCAGATAAGGTGATGACCACAACCAAGGATGCAGATAAGGTGATGACCACAACCAAGGATGCAGATAAGGTGACCACAACCAAGGATGCAGACAAGGTGATGACCACAACCAAGGATGCAGATAAGGTGATGACCACAACCAAGGATGCAGATAAGGTGATGACCACAACCAAGGATGCAGATAAGGTGATGACCACAACCAAGGATGCAGATAAGGTGATGACCACAACCAAGGATGCAGATAAGGTGATGACCACAACCAAGGATGCAGATAAGGTGATGACCACAACCAAGGATGCATATAAGGTGACCACAACCAAGGATGCAGACAAGGTGATGACCACAACCAAGGATGCAGATAAGGTGATGACCACAACCAAGGATGCAGATAAGGTAATGACCACAACCAAGGATGCAGATAAAGTGACCACAACCAAGGATGCAGATAAAGTGACCACAACCAAGGATGCAGATAAGGTGATGACCACAACCAAGGATGCAGATAAAGTGATGACCACAACCAAGGATGCAGATAAGGTGATGACCACAACCAAGGATGCAGATAAGGTGACCACAACCAAGGATGCAGACAAGGTGATGACCACAACCAAGGATGCAGATAAGGTGATGGCCACAACCAAGGATGCAGATAAGGTGATGACCACAACCAAGGATGCAGATAAGGTGATGACCACAACCAAGGATGCAGATAAGGTGATGACCACAACCAAGGATGCAGATAAGGTGATGACCACAACCAAGGATGCAGATAAAGTGATGACCACAACCAAGGATGCAGATAAGGTGATGACCACAACCAAGGATGCAGATAAAGTGATGACCACAACCAAGGATGCAGATAAGGTGACCACAACCAAAGATGCAGATAAAGTGATGACCACAACCAAAGATGCAGATAAAGTGATGACCACAACCAAGGATGCAGATAAAGTGATGACCACAACCAAGGATGCAGATAAAGTGATGACCACAGCCAAGGATGCAGATAAGGTGATGGCCACAACCAAGGATGCAGATAAGGTGACCACAACCAAGGATGCAGATAAAGTGATCACCACAACCAAGGATGCAGATAAGGTGATGAAGACAGCCAAGGATACTGCCCAGTTAACAGCTTCAAGGTATGGGGTATCTGGAGTGTGTGTCACGGATTCCAGTAATGTTACTATTAGTGTACCAAGGGATGCGATTGCTCAGTCACCTGGGGAACCTTCGGAGTTAACAGCTAGGAAAGAATCTAGGAGTGAGAAGAATGTTGAGTCACCTAATGAAGAATCGTCCATAAATATATCATTTGCAGATTTAAGCAAATTATCGTTGAAGGTATCAATTGATAGGTCAATAATAAATTTTAATGATCTTAATATTTGTCAGTCTTCTACAAGAAAGGGACCAAATAACCCCAGTTCAATCTTGCAAGACCACGATAAGGATGACAATCAAATAACTACTACAGTACTTACACTAGACAAACAAGTATTAGAAGTGAGTGATTCTGAAAAGCGAAAGGAAAAGACTCGCCAAGAACGTACTCGGATAAAAAAATATTCAAGCAAGTCATCAAAGAGAGGGAGTCATAAGAGTAATGCAGCTGATAGTAACAGATCTGAAAGTGAAGATGCTCAAAAAGAGAAGTCTTACACAAACAGTAATATAAATAAGGAACTTGAGAATAAAAATGCAAAAGAAAGTTCAGCAAAGTTTAAATCAAGTAATGACTCTGAGGGAAGAGACAATAAAGAGAAGTGTGCTGTTATGTTAAATGTTCACATGTCGGAGTCTACTGATCTCTCATCCAAGTCGAGTAATTCATCAAAATCGGCCATGCATTCATCAGTGGAGAAACATGACAATGAATCATCAAAAGATAGATCTAAAAGTAATGAGGACAAGAAATCAAATAAGGATCCTAAAAATCTAAACATTTGTAGTTCTATACAAGAGGAGCAAAGCTCTCTCTCTATTGAATCAACTTTAATTGATGTGAGTATTGACCAAGACATTGAAGGTACTAGTCACAAAAATCTCTTAGTGGAAAATGTTGATGCAAACAGAAAAGAAGATGGTTTGTTAATCAAAGATACTACAAAAGAAAGTGGGGATGGAGAAACTTTGTCATGTAATGATATACCAAGTACATCCACAAATGAAGAGAAAAGACCCAGTAGTTCAAAGGATAAAAAAATTAGCTTAAATAAGCTACTAGCAAAAGACGATGAGACTGCAGACAGTATGGTAAGGAAATTAATAGATGTCAAAACACAACAGAGTGCAGAAAAGACACAGATAAGAGCAGACTGTATGAAAGTAAACACTGACTTAGTGGAGAAAGAAAACAGTAATACTAACCAAAGAGATACTGGCAAATGTTTGGAAAAGATGCCACTCCTCTGTAATGCTGACAAGGACCACCAAACTCTGCAGTTACAGGAGGGCTGCAATAACCTTTCCATGGAAGGTTCAGGGAATCGTGAAAACCTTACTTCAAGCACTTCAGGAAATAAAATTGATGCCGTGTCTTCACTGGCAGTGGAACATCAGAAGACTGTTAGTAGTTCAGAGAAGACAGAAGCATGTCTTGTTAAAAAAGATGATACTCCGCTTAAATTAAAACTAACATTTGATAACAAAGCTCACATAGTGTTAGAAAATTTAAAAGACAAATCTTTTATTACAGGTATAAATGTGGTTACAGATTCAGAATCTGAAAATAATAGTTCAAATATTTTATTTGAAAAAGATCAGTCTGCTTCTTCAGAGAGGGAGAGAGAGAGAGATACTAAGAGAAAAGAAAAGAGAAAATTGGCATCCTTGGAGAAGGCAGAAAATTCTAGTAGATCGCCAAAAATAATTAAGATGAATGAAGTAATTTCAACTAATTTTGACAAGGAAATTGAGAAGATTTTTGGTCAAGATTATGAAACTATTAGTTCAAGTATTAAATCTGAAAAAATTTCATCGACTTCATCAGACAGACATAAAGATCAGTTAAAAGTTAAAGATATGCACTTAGATAAGGGAGAAAAGCTTAAAAGGCCATCAAAAATAAATAAGACAAAAGAACTAATTCTAACTGGTTTTGACAAAGAAATGGAGAAAATATTTGGTGAAGATAAAATAATCAAGACCAAAAAAAAGAAAAAGAACACTGTTGGTGTTTCCAGAGACAAGAAATGTGGAGAAACAACTGATATTAAAGAAAATAATGTTAAGCCTTTATCCGAGGAGCACAAGAGCCAGCATGTACCGGGCAACGATAACGAAGGATTACCCAACAAATCCAAGGGTCTGGCAACAAGTGAAGAACTAAGTAAAAAATCCGCAAGAGGCCAAATGACCAACGGGAGGTCTTCAGGTAAAGACAAAATTGAGAGGTCATTGATCAGGAGCAGGTCATCAAGTAAGGAAAAGAGTCATGAAGCATCATCCAGTAAAGAAAAGCACCAAATATCATCATTATCAAAAAAGGGAAAGTGTCATAAATCATCTCATGGTAAGGTCAGCAGGCATGGGTCATTACGAGATAGTGATAAGAGGCAAAGGACATCTGCTTCCAAAGAAAATCACCATGACACATCTTTAAGTAGAGAAAAACTGCAAGATTCATCAACTTGTGAAGAATATAGCGTTGACCCATCAAGTAAGGAGGAGATGCAAACATTATCAGTGGTTGATAAGTGCCTAGAATTACTGAAAGGAGAGGCAAGTCAAGAATTAAGTAAAAGTCAAGATCAGAAATTATCTGATAAGCATGAGAGCCACAAATCTAGTCGACCTACATCAAGTACTGGTAAGGGTCTAGAATCGATTAAAGAGAAAAGTAAAATATTTTCAAGTATGGATGAGAGTAAAGAATCCTTAATTAAAAACAATATGAAAGAATCATTAAAAGAGCAAAATGGTAAAAAACTGTCTGATCCTGTTAAGAGTGGAACTCGAGAATCACCGGGCTCATCTAATAAGGAAGTGAGTCAAGAATCACTTAGCTCATGCAATAAGGATGTGAGTAAAGAATCACTTGATACATCCAGTACTGAGATGAATCAAGAATCGCTTATCTCATCCAGTAAAGAAGTAAATTTAAAATTGCTTAGCTCATCCAAGGAAGCGAATCAGGAATTATTATGCTCATCAACTAAAAATGATCTGGAGTTACTAAATTCACCGAGTAAGGAAGTAAATCAAGAAACATCAAACTCGTCTAATAAAGGAGAGAATCACGAAATATATATGTCGTCCAGAATAGAGAATCAAGAGAGATTAATGCTGTCTAACAGTGAAGAGGATCAAGCAACTTCATGTAATAAAAATGAGAATCAAAGATTAAACTCGCCCAGTATGAAAGAGAAAATGGAATCGTCAGACAAAAATTCAAAGCAAGTCTCTTCCAGTAAGGAATTGGTTACAGCATCACCAATTACTGAAGCTAGTACAACATTGTCGAGCTGTTTAAGAAAGGAAAGGAGCCATGAATCACAGGAGGTCACTAAGCAAAGACTTGTTAAGGAAAAAAGCGGAGAGTTGTCGGGTAAAGAAAATAGTAGCATGTCATCTGGTAATGAAAAGAGCAGAGAATCGTCAGGGAAGGAGAAAAGCAGAGAATCATCAGGGAAGGAGAAGAGCAGAGAATCATCAGGGAAGGAGAAGAGCAGAGAATCATCAGGGAAGGAAAAGAACAGAGAATCATCAGGGAAGGAGAAGAGCAGAGAATCATCAGGGAAGGAGAAGAGCAGAGAATCATCAGGGAAGGAGAAGAGCAGAGAATCATCAGGGAAGGAGAAGAGCAGAGAATCATCAGGGAAGGAGAAAAACAGAGAATCATCAGGGAAGGAGAAAAACAGAGAATCATCAGGGAAGGAGAAGAGCAGAGAATCATCAGGGAAGAATAGCAGAGAATCATCAGGAAATGAGAAGAGTAAAGAATCATCAGGAAAAGGGAAGAGCAGAGAATCATCAGGAAAGGAGAAGAGCAGAGAATCATCAGGGAAGGAAAAGAGCAGAGAATCATCAGGGAAAGAAAAGAACAGAGAATCATCAGGGAAGGAAAAGAGCAGAGAATCGTCAAGGAGGGAAAAAATTAAAGAATCATCAGGAAAGGAAGAGAGCAAAGAATCATCATGTAAGGAAAAGAGCAGAGAATCATCAGGGAAGGAAGATATCAAAGATTCTTTGGGAATGGAAGAAAGCAGAAAGTCATCAGGAAAGAAGAAGAGCAGAGAATCATCAGGGAAAGAAAGAAGCAGAGAATCATCAGGAAGAGAGAAGAGCAGGAAATCATCAGGTAAGGAAAAGAGCAGAGAATCATCAGGAAAGGAAAGGAGCAGAGAATCATCAGCGAAGGGAAAGAACGTAGAATCATCAGGGAAGGAAAAGAACGTAGAATCATCAGGGAAGGAAAAGAACGTAGAATCATCAGGGAAGGAAAAGAACGTAGAATCATCAGGGAAGGAAAAGAACGTAGAATCATCAGGGAAGGAAAAGAACGTAGAATCATCAGGGAAGGAAAAGAACGTAGAATCATCAGGGAAGGAAAAGAACGTAGAATCATCAGGGAAGGAAAAGAACGTAGAATCATCAGGGAAGGAAAAGAACGTAGAATCATCAGGGAAGGAAAAGAACGTAGAATCATCAGGGAAGGAAAAGAACGTAGAATCATCAGGGAAGGAAAAGAACAGAGAATTGTCGGGGAAGGAAAAGAACAAAAAATCACCAGGGAAGGAAAAGAACGTAGAATCATCAGTTAAGGAAAAGAACAGAGAATCATCATCGAAGGAAAAGAGCAGAGAATTGTTAAGGAAGGGAAAAGGCAAAGATTCATCTGGGAAGAAAAAGAGCACACACACATCAGAGATGGAAAGGAGCAAGGAGTCTGTGTATAAGGAAAAGAACCAAGAAGTATCTGGCAAGACAAAAAATCCAGAATCTTCAGTAACTGAGAAAAGCCTAGAAATATTAGGTAAGGAAAACAGCCAAGGATCTGTAAGTAAGGAAAACGTAAACAAATTGAGTATCACAAATGAAGAATCACACAAGGAAAAAAGCCAAAAGCCAATAATAAATGAAAACAAGAATCTAGAAACAGAAGAATTTAGCAAAAAAAGTGTACCGGGTTTATCATCAACTGTGAAGGATGTAGGAGGCTTACTCCATGTTAGAAAAACAGATCAAGGCCTTCATACATCGACTGGTAGGGAGGGAGGTCATATTACATCTAGTACAAAGGATGATTTATGCAAAACATTAGAGAAGACTAAAGTATCGTCACCTGTAAAGAAGGCTGTTGAAAACACAGATTGTTGCACTTCTACTCAAAATCTAGAAGGCAAGATAATTCTTATTACTAGAGAAGCAAGTAAGTGTGTTAAGCGGAAATTGCATGTCAGTCGCTGGGATGTTGTTGATGTAAAATCTGGAGAGTCTGCTAAAAAGAGGAGCCGTTGGGATGTAGTTGAAAATCTAAAAGATATAGTTGTTAGGACTCCAGGTAGTATGGAAGATAATGACAAATTAAAGGGACTTCAAATGGGTGAGATAAAAACTAGTAAAGTAGAAGTTTGTGGTGGTGAAATAAAGCAATTTGAGTTGAATTCATCAGAAGCTCAGAAGTTTAGAGAGAGCAGTTCACCAGAGACCAAACTTACATCCTCACAAGGGGAACACCAAGAAGTTGGAGAAAGAAATGAGAAAATTAAGAAAGTTCTAGATGATGTGTTTAGTGATGTGTCGGTTAATATTGACAGCAGTGATATTGATGGAAAGTCTAGTTCAACTTCTGAAGAGCTGCTGCGCAAAGCTAAATTAAAGAAAACACTATGTGACCTGTTTGGTCATTCGTCTGTATCTCAGGCAAGAGAGTGTAGTAACCAAGGTTCATCTGATGGAGCCAGTGAACATATTCCTGAGTATCCCAAAAAATCACAAGTTTCAAATACCCTTAAAACACCTAAAGTGAAAACCTTACACGAATCTAAAAACCAATCTAAGAAGGCTTTAGAGTTTTTATTTGAATCGGACTCGACCTTGAAAGAACAAGATGTATGTACACAAAGTATACAGAACTATACTGAGACAAATCCTCAGTGTATAAAGGAAAATATGGAAGAGGAGCAGTATACACCGCAACCATTATTTAAGGTCAAGAAAAAGTCAGGATGTAAAACAAAATCAGATCTTGATAATCGTACTAAGAAAAAACAAAATACCACTTTGAAATATAAACCCCATTCTGCTTCAAATTCAACCCCAGAACTCGAGTATCAACCCCAGTCAATTAGAAAAGGTCTATCAGAACCTGAGTATGAACCCCAGTCCATAAGTAAACATGCCATAACATTAGCATATGAACCTTTGTCCATCAGTAAAGAGTCTCCAAAGCCTGTGTATGAGCCAAACTCCATCACCAAAGGAACCTTAAAGCCCGAGTACGAACCCAAGCCTATTCGAGGGTCTTTATGGGCCAGTAAAGAAAACAAAAGCAGCACCCTCCAATCTCTTCAGATTAAAATAAAAACAAGTGGGGAAAAATTAGAGATAGATGATAAAATTGACATGTACGTACCCAAGCCACTTTCAAAGGAAAGTATTTTAACAGAATACATACCCAAGCCAATGTATTTGCCACTGTGTAATAAAGAACAGGAAGATGAATATAGCCCTCATTCAATTGGCCTTGATAAGCCAACACCTGAATACATACCAAGTGGGATTTGTGAGTCAGTGGAGCGTGAAGAAGAGTATGTACCTCTACCACCGAAAAGTTTACCCATAACAAATATCCAGTCAGCAGAGAGTGAGGGAGACATTGCTTCATTATCTTCTCAAGTGGAAGATGATGATTCACCAAACCTTGGCAAAGATTTAACAACAAGGAAATCATCAGTGATTACACCTGAGACAACTTCATTATATACAGCTGACACATACAGTCAGTATTCAGTAACATCTCATACTGGGGAGAAGATTACCCCTGGGTTTTATAGGGAACAAGGTAGCGATAATAGTAATCAAGAGAGTCAGAAACAGAATTCAGGAATTACAGGTAAAGGACTACCACCAAAGAATCAGAAACATGTGCCTTCCAAGAAGAGTGAAGTTGGAAAGCATAAAACAAAGCCACCAAGATCTGAACAGAGTAAGGAATCTTCCAAGATTCTCATATATGTTCCTCCTCCTCCAACATATGACATGATCCTTTCAACTCTTGGAGACTATAACCTTCCAGACGTTCTCCACCCAGCTGCATTCTGCAGCAAACCAGCTGACATACCTTCTAAACCTCTTGAAGTTGGGGGCCAGGTCTTGAAGTTAAAGTCAGGAAGGACATCAGATTTAGAAGATTTTGAGGGACGTTTTCAAGAGGATGGATTGTACAATTGGCGTTTATTGCTAAATGCATTAAATTCAGAAGCAAGTTTACAAGTATCTCATGAATCAGCTTTTCTGGAAAATCGAACTAAATTAAAATGCTCAATTTTAACTCCTCTAAAACCTCCCCCTTCCCCAGAAGAAGTTATTAAATGGACGAAAGCACGCAAAATTCTTGAATCAATTAAGAAGAAGGGTGACCATAACAGCAAAGATGATGATAATGATCCTTCATCATCAAAAGGACAAAAGCAACTACCATCTGGCAGTAAAAACCAAAGTACCAAATCCTCTAACACCACAACCAACCAGGAAACAAGACCACAGAGGGATTCCTCCAGTGGATCGAGTCAAGTTCAGGCAGAAACCAATTTTCAGTTATTGAATACCAGCACACCTCGACCCAAAAATGCAGTCGCTCTAGAAGCTTTACATCTAACTCCAATAGGAAGTGCTTCAAGTCCATTATTATCTACTGAAAAGATAAGTCATTGCAAGACACAGTCTCAGAAAAGAAGAGCAAAGCGTAGAGTATCTTGGGAAGGGGATGAATCAAAATTGAGAATCTCTCCAATTACTCTCAAGAAAAGGAGAACTTCCTTTGAAGGCCTAGAACCTTTAGAGGAGGAATCTGAAGATCAATTAAGCCCAGACTCAAACCCACATTCAAAAAGAAGAGTATCTTTTGAAGGATTGGTTTTGAAATCCAGGGTTCTGGAAGAAAATCCTGCTGGCAGTTGTATGAAGTTGTCTGAACATTTAGATAATGAAGAAGCAACTACAAGTAATAAGATGGAAACAGAAGATGCAACAGCTGTCTCTCAGATACCTGAGCCTGCAGGAAGTTGTCAAGGTAAGATATAGGCTATTGTGTGTATTTCATATAATATTAAAGTAAGGCATAATTAATATTTCAAAATAATGTAGTATATTCTATATATTGAGTAAATTATTATTATATCTATTATATATTATATAATATATATATATATTATATATTATAGCTCAGTCGAGTAATTAAGGCAGAGTCCGGGATGCTCTCGGACGTAGGTTCAAACCCTCGTCACGGCCCTTGTGGATTTGTTTCATTTGTTTATCATTTTTTTTTCTTTTTCAAAATTTTACCTCTAAGATAGCATGTGTCCATATTAATTTTTTTTTATTTTTTTTTTATTTTTTTTTTTTAGGTTTTGATACTAATCTTGAAGAAAAGACACAGGTGTTAGAAAGAACAAAGAAGGACTGCCAACCAATTTTTAAAGATAACCTTGACAATTCCCAGTCTCTGTTGTCACATATTGCCATCTCCGTAGCATCTAAAGTAAGTACTAATACCTAAGTGAAGCAACAGGATGAGAGCTACGCTCGTGGTGTCCCATCTTCCCAGTACTCTTTGTCATATAAAGCTTTGAAACTATTGATGGTTTTGACCACCACCACTTCACTTTTTGATTTGGTTCCCTGTTCCAAGGCTCACATTTCTCAGGTTATCTGCAGTATCACTTATTTCAGCCAGCCTTCAAACTACCCTTGTACCTATAATTTTTGTAAGCATGCTGCTTTCGAAGCGGTCTTTACTAATATGTCCTAGGCCGATATTCAAGTAATGGGGGAATTTGACAGTCTAACGGGGTCTTGGTGGCCCAGTATTTAGTTAATTTTCCTGGGCCTTGTCATGATAGTATTGCCTTGGGTCAGAAAATCAGCATTGAATATAATGAAATTCCTTTTTCTGGATGAGTCCCTATGGCTCCCTGATACCCTCCTGGTTCCTTCAGTTGGAACCTATGGCTCCCTCCCTTCCTTCTAGGTTCATCAGTTAGTGTGTATTCTTCATATTTGCTGCAGAACTAGCATGGTAGGCTGGGGATGACCTGGAGCTCCAGGCCCTTCCCTACTAGTGAGAGTTTAATGCTAGTTTTGAGAGATTCTATTGTTTATTTACATTGGAGAGTTCATGTGGCAGTTTTGAGGCTTCTGTCTCTTTGAACCCAGGAGTGGTCTGTAGTGGTTTGCCAACTTTCAGGATGCTTTCCCGGTAGGGTGGCAGTGTGTGTGTGTGGGAAGGGGGGGGGGGGTTGCCTACTCTGATTCCCAGTAGGTCAAGCAGAACTCAGCGGCTGATATGACCTACGAGTTGGGAGCCATCTCAGTGAGATAACTTCAGGGAGCCACTGGGGCTCATTCAGAAAGAAGTGTTTATTACATTCATTCTGGTTTTATGCAAAATATCTTAATTAAAATATATTTGCTATAGAAACTAGTAAAGACTCTTGGATATATTTTGACTAGAAAATAAGGGAATACTCCACATTGGTTATCCAGATAGATGAGTTGTTTTTGCTGCACAGTAAACCCATATAGCATACAATCACATTATGAATATCACATTGTATTAAAGAATCCTATAGGACTTGTTGTGTGTGGCATGAGTTATGGTCATTTTTGGGAACCCACTTGCCACTCCAGACCAGTACAGGCATGTGGTGTTCTCACATGAATTGATGTGGTACTCTGAGAAAAGAATTAATATGGAACTTAACAGCCAGGAGGTTAAGAAGGTTGAGAGAGACACCTAGAAATGGATGGTAAACTAACTGCAGCACCCACTATCTTTATGACCTTTGACTGCCTCAACCTTTCCTAAGTTTAAAGAGGAAATGTCATGCAGGCTGTTGGTTATGCCATATATTCCTAAACCATACATATATATACTGTCATTATCTAGCTAATGGATCAGCCAATTCTGGTAGAAAAACATTAACAATGAAAAAGGTATGTTTCTCTCCTTTAGTCAACTGTTACATGAATAATCAGTTTATCTTGATTCACTGTGTTGCTTCCATTGCCATGGAAAGAATGCTGCATATTTTTGAGTCTTGATTAATCTGGCTTGAACTGATTAGTAGAGAGACTAAATCTATTCCATTCAAAATTTTGTTGCATATGACATTGGCACAGGCTCGACCATTAATTTCTGATATTAAGCAATGGTTGTGGAGCATATTTTGACATTTACACTCACAGCCAGCATTGGTCAATAGTGTCTTCACCCAAGCAGTAATAGGGTAGCTTTCCCCGAAAAATGTCAGTGACCTTTGTTATGATGCCAGCATTATTATAATGAATCTATAATCTATCATATGTATTTTGTACTAGCTTAACTCCAGCACTTGCATACGAGATGAGAAAATTTGTTTATGCTGATTTTTAAAAATGTGTAACTACTATATATATATAATTCTATATTTTGCAATCTTAAGTTTTGATTAGGAATTGTATCAAGGTTCATTAACAGATCATTGTGAAAATATAAACATTTAGTGTTAATACTGCTTTCTTAATATGAAACAGTTAACAAGTCATCAGTCAAGTGAGCAGTCAAGTCAGCACTCCCACGACTCTACTCTTCGCCGCCACCTCATGAATACCCAGTTCAGACAACAGTTCCTCAGTTGTTCTCAAGGACAAGGATCTTTTTCACAGGTATCATTGTCCTTACTACCATATGTATGCACTACTGTACACTATTGTTAGAGTTGTATTAATAAGCCTATTAATAATACTAATGATTCTTACAGTATTCTTATGTTAAAGAATAAACATGTTTTACACTTATAGCAGTCTATAAGTGTTTGAATGGTATATTATTTTTGTTGCCCAAAATGCTATGTGTGTTAATGACTTTGCAAAGAATGGTAAAATATCAGTCTTATGTAATCTCACATACCCATTGTACCTTCTTGTAAATAATAATAATAATTATTATTATTGTTATTATTATTATTATTATTATTATTATTATTATTATTATTATTATTATTAACCCTTTGGCTGTGTAGTTAGATGCCTGAAGTCTGAATGATTTTAAGAAGTGCACTTTAAACCTTTTAATTAAGGAATGCTATTTTTGAGAATTCCATCAGCTAGGAATCATGTTCACTTCATTTCATAAATGGGGGGGAATGTATTTCAGAAACTGTATGCGTTTGATTTGTGCCCTTTGTTTTGAAGGTGGATTGCATTCAGAACAACTGCTTGCCAACATTTAAAATATAAGTAAACACCTTACTTAACTAACTGCTAACTGTCACTATTTTCAATTGACACCCAGGCTTGATTATTTAAGAAACGAGCTCCAACTCTCAGAGATGTATCCCAATGCATCAAAACAGTAAAGCAATTGTAACGAATTTTCAATGTTATTCAAATATCGCAGCCAAAGAGTTCAATAAAGATGAATTTGTAATTCATTGCTTTGTCATTTCTCAGGGCAAAACTTATTATTTAATTTCAGATGTTCTATAAGTTAAATAAAATTCTCACTCAATGATGATTAAGTTGTTCAATTTATTCTTCCAGTCTATTGATGGCCCATCACTGAACAATACTTTTGGTTTTAAATTCTCAAATCACAACTTATATGAAGCAAAGGCTCTGCATGAGGTATGTACACAGTGATTTTCATGCATTTATATTTTCTCCTGTAACAAAGCCTCTTTGATCGTGCTCTTTATGTTTAGTTTGTTATTATATTATGTGAAATTTAAAATGTAAACCTATGACCTGTTTAAAAATATATTAGTAAATATATAGGGTGCTTTTCGGTAGAAATTATTGTGTGTAGACATGAGAGTTTTCCAGCGACACTACTTTTTTTTCCTGTGAGAAGTGTGGATGTGAGGGATTTAGTTTGTGTGAGAGAGCAAAATAATGGCAAAGAGTGCTTAATAGTTTTGAGTGTACTATATGATGGTGCTTACTCTGAGGGCTTGATTCACACTTATCAATGAAGGTACAATATAGATTTTTTAACATGTATTTTTCAGGCTGTATTTACATAGTTGTACTCATCTAGTTATGCTTGTGGGGGATTCAGCTTTGGCTCTTTGGTTATGCCTCTCTTTCATCAGTCCTGACAGTAACTGAGGTGTACAGGAACCTGTCCTGAAGGTGAAGAGGTTCCTGAGCCTCTTGGGCTCCATCATACTTACATTTGAAACTGTTGTGAATGGAGTCTTCTTCCACCACATCACTTTCTAGTACATTCCATTTATTAACTACTGACACTGAAAAAAATCCTACTAATGTCTCTGTGGCTCATTTGTGACCTAAGTTCCAACTGTCTTTCCTTGTCCATGTTCCACCCATGCTAAATAGTTTTTCTTTACCCTGTCAATTCCTCTTGAGTATTTTGTAGGTGATGATCATATCTCCTCTAACTCTTCTGTCTCCCCAGGACATGAGGTTTAATTCCCGTAGCCTTTCCTCTTAACTCATACCTCTCAGCTCTGGGACTAGTCTGGTGGCATACCTTTGAATCTTTTCTAGCTTTGTTTTGTGTTTAACTAGCCATGGACTCTAGGCTAGAGCTGCATACTCCAGGATTGGTCTGACATGCATGCTATGCAAGGTTCTGAATAATTCCTTATACAAGTTTCTAAAAGTAGTGGTTATGTTGGTCAACCTAGCATAAGCCTCTGATGATATCCTTGTGATGTGGCCTTCTGGGGACAGGTTCAGTGTGATATCAACCCCAGATCTGCCTCTCTACCTGGTTCTTGAAGGTTTTCACCTTCCAGGTGGTACCATGTGTTCATTCTCCTGCTTCTTTCACCTATTTTCATTATTTTACACTTGAGTTAAACTCTGGTAACCATTTGCTAGACATTCCTTCAGTTCGTCCAGGACGTCTTGTAGTCTCTCAATCTTCCTCTGTCTTTATCCTTCTCACAATTTTAGCATCATCAGCAAGCATTGAGAGGTAGATCATTTATATATATCAGAAACATGATTGATCCAAGTACAGAGCCCTGTGGGGCTGCTTGTAACATCTCACCACTTTGAGGTCTTTTCCCTCAGAGCAACTTTCTGTTTTTTATTGCTTTGATACTCCTTTATTCACTGGAGTGCCTTACCTGTTATTCCTGCCCATTTCTCCAACTTCTGTACCAGCCTTTTAAGAGGTACTGTGTCAAAGTCTTTCTGACAATCCAAAAAAATACAGTCTGCCAACCCTTCTCTTTCTTGCCCAATTTTTGTGCCCTGGTTATATAATTCTATTAAACTTGTGAGGTGCAATTTACCATCCCTGAACCCTTGCTGGAGGTGTTACAATGCTCCTTCTCTCCAGATGTTCTACAAGCTTTTTCCTCATAATCTTCTCCATCATCATGCATGATATACAAGGTAGGGAACCAACCTGTAGTTCAGTACCACTTGCCTGTCACCCGTTTTGTATATTGGGACTTCATTCCAGCTTTCCAATAAGTCCTGTTTCTAGTGACCTATTATACACCATGGAGAGTGGCACACAGTGCTTCTACGCCATCTTTTAGTATCCACAGTGAGATTGTCAGGCCCAACAGCCATTGTCACATCCAGCTCCAACAGATTCTGTTAAACTTCATCTCTGGTAAACTCAAATTCTTCCAAGGTTGCTTGGTTTACCACCACCTCTCTCAGTACAGGGACTTCTTGCTGTATTTTGAAGACCTCATGAAGCCTCGTGTTGAGTTCTTTACACACCTTGTCATTTTCTATGTATCTGTTCTCTTTTCTCAGTTTACTGCTATTTTCCTTGTGAAGTGACTGTGGAGCAGTTTTAGTTGGATCTTGGTTTTACTTGCTATGTTATTTTCTTACTGTCTCTGCTTCTCTCCTCACAATGAGGTACTCATTCCTAGCCCTCTGGTATCTTCCTCTGCTCTTTATGTTATTTCTGTAGTTTCTCCATGTTCTTGTACTTAATTGCTTTGTTTCCTTATATGCATGATTGAACCCTAGATTCCTCTGTTGCTATTAAATTTTCTCCTTGTTGGGCAGTGTGCAGTGTCTTTAGTATTTGAATAAATTTTTGTGTGAATGTCATTAAGAAAATAATAATGTTCTGTAATATAACATATTAAGAGAAATGTTGTCATTAAAGGATATTCTTGTTTTTAATTATATTGTTCAAATTCTTCAGTGTAGTTTAAGGTTATTTTATTTATAGTTTTGTTTCACATTCTTCTCTGTTCTGTTCTTTTTATACATACTGTATATTTTGACATGAGACATGGTAGTACTGGCTGTTAAGTTCTGGTGTTTTAAACTGCAATGTTCTGTTATTAAATAGCTTTCATAATCCAGCCAGTTAGATTGGTGTGTATTTGTTGTATATATCTTTTCTTTAGTATACAGTGGTTACATAAGTTTCATGGAAATAAAAAACTAATACAACTGGATTGAGAGAGATGCATAATGTGGTTAGTATATGTTAATACTTTTGTGTATCTAGCAAAGGCAGTAAAGATACTTCTCTAACAAAATTACCAGAACATAGGACTAAGTACTTATGTCTTCACTGTCTGATGAAGTACTCCAAAGATACAGTACTCCAAAAGATTGCATGTTGGAAAATAAACAACCAAATTTGTACAAGAAGGTATTTTGGAGCACGAAAAGGAAGTAGTCATCAGCTTGACTGATACAATAAGGAAACAGGTGGGACAAATTAAAGATACTGTATTTTGAAAGAAAAGGAGAAAATAAAAGGTAAGGGGGAAGAATTTGAAGTTGACAAAGTGATAGAAGTATATGGTCTAAAAGTCTTAAGTTAGGTAAGGTATGCTAAGATAAAATTAGTGGGCAGCTCAGATGAAGGTTGCTAAAGGATTTGAAAGGTGCATGATGGACATGAAAGAACATACGCAAGTTGTAAAAAAAAGAGAAACAATTGAAGAAGTGTGTGTGTGTGTAACGAAGTCAAAAGCAGAAATGAGCAGTCAGGAACAGACATTAGACAGGCAATTAGGAAAGAACTAGCTACAACAAGTAAATTAGTACAAAATATGATAGATAGGAATAAGTCCATAATAATTTTTGATTGCAAGGAAAAGGAGATACCGTCTAGGGTGGTGGACAGAGCAGCAAAAGATGAAAAGTAATTGAGAAATAGTACATTTAGCATAAGGCCTCACAACAAAGGAAATTGTCAGTGATTTTAGGAGGATAGGCAAATACAGTGGTACCTCTGTTTTTTAATTTAATCCGTTCCCCCGAGACGGTTCGTAAACCGAAACGAATTTTCCCGTAAAAAATTATGTAAATTTTATTAATTAGTTTAACACTCCCAAAAATGTTAACTTCAAAATACATTTTATACATAATACTACAAATATTTTGTACCTGTTCTACAGTTTGTACAAGTTATATCTTACCTTTACTGAGGACTCTTGTTGGCGTATAGAAGACGGTGAGGAGGGGGGGTAAGAGGAGAGGTGTTAGTGTTTGGAAGGGGAGTCTCCTTCCTTTATAGCATCAGGCAGTGATGATTTCTCAGGGTTACTCCCTCTCCTACATTTTGCAGGTAATTTTGCAGGTACACTACTAGAACCTGGTTGTGGCTCACTGCTTGCTTGTCTTACTAAGAATCTGTCTAGACATTTGTTTTCCCCCATGCCTCACAACACTATGAATACCAATTCTTTTTCTAAATTTCTCAAACTATCCCTTGCTCTCCTTAACACTTTCCTGGAGTTTCCACTTGGAATTACGGGCGGTTTAGATAAGCGCTTGTCGGATCACGACGTAAATTTACGGACCGTGTTATAGTGGGTATTTACTACTCGATCGACTTGGGGGTTTGTATGAATATGTTTGCCATTAAATTTTTGTTTTCTCTAATAGGCACAGTGCCTATTTGAGAAAATGGCAATGTATTGTAACTTAGAGGAGAGACTATTGAGTTGGTGACACAACGAGGGTAATCGCCCACTCCACACACTCTTGTGTTGGCCGCGATCATGATTCTACATTTATATGCATATGTCTGTGTAGAGAATTTTATTCCGAACACTATACAAACAAAAAAAACGGTGTGAAACAAGTATAAACTTGAAAAAACATGAGCAAAGTAAAAACTTTTTACGCTCACGGGTACAAACACCCGTAAGATTTTATTCGCCGCAAATTTATTTGACGCTCTGTTGGCCAATTCTACTCGTGTTCTTATAGAACTTTCTATTGTTATATATAAAACTTTCTATTGCGAACACATTGCTATAAAAATGAAATACGTAGCTCAAGAAATGATGTCAGGACAGTGAAATAAGTATAAACTTTCAAAGCGCTGCATCACAACAGTGTCGTCGCTGCTGAAATCACGGCTAACGCTTCGCCCAGTTCCCACACTCGTGCGGAATATAATTAGACATTGATAGGCATATGTCTGGGTGGGGAATTTTATTGCGAGTTCAGTGATATTAAAATAAGCGCTGTAGGATGACTGTGAGGCTGGCAACAAACGAAAGAGTATGAACATTTACTTCCTGTTTGGGTGTCACGGCGAGTCATCTTCGTGTTTATTTACTTCGTGGTGGAATATCAAATGCTTTGGTGACATTTTATGCATATGATCTTGTAGAGAATTTTATTGCCAACGCATTGATACCAAAATGAAAAAC